CTCCCCCTTCCTTCCTCCTCTGCTGCAGGAACTTGGATGCTCTCATGGCGTTGCTGTAAATCTGGTCGGTTCCCGCGAGCACTTCTAGCACGAGGCAGACGTGACGGTGCACGCTCATCACCTTGCTGCACCTCCTCCTCCTCTTCTCCCCCATTCATTCGAGGAGATTGCCTTGTGCTAGTGCTGCTGCTACTCAGCTCCAAGGGCAGCTCCATATGCTCCAAGCCGGTACTCTTCACCTCTCCAAGCCGCAAACCAACCTTCGCTTGGTTCTCCGCCTTCCACTCCTTGTACGGTAAGTTCTCCATGAACTTGCAAACTCTGCTCACCAGGAACTTCTTGGTAAATGGGTCCCAAAGAAGCCATCCCTTGCTGTTTTGAGCCATGCCCAGGTGCACGGCCCATGTTGCCTTGGCATCAAGCTTGTTGTGCCGAAGTTTCTTAGGCACAAGTGCCTTGCAGATGTACCCGAACACCCGAAGCATATCCACCTTCGGCTTCCTTCCAATCCACTCCACATAGGGCACCCATTTATCTTCTCCCACATGATTCAAGGCTCTGTTCTTGGCCACACAAGCATGTCGCACTGCATCCGGCCAAAAGTAATTGGGTAGACCGGCTTCAATGAGAAGTCCCCGAGCCGTCTCCGTGAGTGTCCGATTCGCACGCTCGGCGATGCCGTAAATTGCAGGAGAGTAGGGCATGGTAAGAGAGTGCCTTATGCCCTGCTTCTTCAGCCAAGTTGAGAAGTCCTTTCTTAGGAACTCTCCCCCGCGGTCAGTGCGAATCGCCTTCACTAGCCGGTCTTGTTGCCGCTCCACCATCGGCAACCAATCGGTCTTCACCGTTTCAGCTACGTCACTCTTCTTGGGCAGCACATACACCCAAGTCATGCAAGTGTAGACATCCACAATGGAGAGGAAGTACTCTGATCCAGTAGCTTCAAGCTTCAAGGGGCCCACCACATCCATCACCACCTCATCAAGTGGTGCCTTCGTCGTTGTCTCCGAGCTATGGAACGGATACTGGGTGACCTTGGCTTGCATGCATGTTGGATAGCCAAGCACCTCATTGGGCTCCCCCTTGACACGTATCCCACTGACCATCTCTTGCTTAACTATCTGCTGCAAAATGGGCAATGCCACATGCCCCATTCGCCGATGCAAGGTCAGCCAATCACATTCTCCCGTAGCGGAAGTCGGGTTGGAGAAAGCGGCACTAGCAATTGTGCCCCACAAGCTCTCTCCTTTCTCATTTGCCGCTGCTGCTTTGCTGATCTTAGCCTTCCCCTCCTCATTTCCACCATCTTTAGCTGCTGCACCACTCTCCTTGGGTTCACACGCCTTGCTGGTCTCTCCAAGATTGCACTCCTTCGAGTCACTCTTGGTGTCACTTTGCTTTCCGTGATCACCACCACCAACCGCTTCACTCTTGGTGCTGACGCTTGCTGCCACTTGCCTCCCCTTAGGCATGGGGACCACTGGTATTTGCCACATCTCATTTTAGATGTCCCTGTCCTCATGAAGGTCCCAAAGCTTCCGCTCACCAAGCCTCGCGGTATATATTTTGGAACCCGTGGAAGATGTATCCATGCCGGCTTTTTGCAAACGCCGCACGGAAATCAGGTTGGCTGCTAGGTTGGGCACCCAAAGCACGTTCTTGAGGCTCACCATCTTCCCATCAGCACCCTTGAACATGGTCTTGCCCATGCCTTTCACCTCTGCTCGCTGCCCCAAAGCCGATGTAACATGCTTGACCGGCGACGGTTCGAGTTCAGTGAGCAAGTCCACACGAGGTGTCATGCTATAGGTGGCGCCGCTATCGATCACCCAAAAGTCCAGAGAGTGAAGGGTGACCTTTCCCACAGTAGCTGGCTCCTCAAAGCCTTCCACACCTCCTGCTGCAGCTGCCGCTTGCGTGGAGACAAAGAAGAATTGGCCCGTGTATCGATCTTGACTCGGGCCCGTCTCGTAGTCTCCACGTTTCATGCTTGCTGCTTCGCTTCCACGACCACCACGGCCTCCACGACCTCTGCCTCTTCCTCCCCTTGCTCCTCTGCCCTCTTGGTCTTGAGAAGGGGTCCATCTATCAGGCAATCTGTAGCAATCTCTCCACATGTGGCCGGTCTTGTGGCAAAAGTGGCATTCGCCATCAAATCGACCGCGCCCACGCCCGTAGCCATTGTTGTTGTTGTTGCTGCCATATCCTCCATAATTACGGCCTCCATTGAAGTTATTGCTGTCAAATCTGCCTCCTCGCCCTCTGCCCCTTCCACGACCATGCCCACGGCCCATGCTTGCAACTCCGGCACCATCGGGACCCGCCAATTCGCGACGGCGGAAATCTTCTTGTAAGATTTCCCGCTTCACATCTTCGAGTGAGAGGCGGGGAAGATCTAGATTTAGGTTGATGATGAGCGAGGACCATGAGTCCGGAAGTCAGGCTAGCAGCTTGGTCTTCTTTTGAAGGTCACTGTGGTTCAGGTCAGCTCCTTCGAGCCGTGTCCGTAAGTCGAAGAATTTCTGCACTCCTTCCTCCACCGGTTCACCTTCGTCAATTCGAAGTGCTGTCATTTGCCGCTCCAAAACCACAGCCACCGCCGCTATTGCAGGAGCGTGTAAACCCTTGAGAGCAGCCCATGTCTTTGGTCCTTGGCTAGTTCACGCTGAAAAGGCTTGATGTGACGGATTTGGCTGCTCCCCAACGCTTGCCCAAGTAGAAGATAGCCTTGTGCGCTCTTCCGCACCCACGGGCTCTTCTCCGGGTCGTTCTCAAGGCGCTTCTCCGTTCCTTCCATCACCTCTAGCAGATCATAGTGGTCAAAGATGTTCTCCATCTTGAAGGACCACTCAGCAAAGTTGTCACCGTTGAACTTGTCAAGGCCAAACACTCTAGGCTCATCCCTAGAGGGGCCAAGGCTAGGTTGCACGGGAGCAATGGGTGGATCTTGGTGTTGGCCTTGTACTTGGGCATCTTCTCTGCCTCCAGAACCTCTGCCACCCCCTTCCCCAGATCTAGGCATGGTCGAGGTGGCTCCAAGGGGCTCTGATACCACTTGTTATAATCACAATAGGCTTAGATGTGCCTAAAATGAGAGATAGAGTGCACAGTCGGATTTCCGTCAGACGGCTTCAAATATTGATAGCGATCTGATCTGAGCTTCAAACGGTGATTTGTAAGTTAGATCTCGAGCGCGTTGCTGTCGCCTATCAGCAGCAAGTTGAATCATGAACTTCCATGAAGATTTGACGACGCTATGGCGGTTTGACTGGCAGCAGGTATAGGAGCCACTATAGTCTTTGTAGTAAAAACTTAGCAAGAAGAATTGAGATTGAGATAGTTCTCAGCCTCTACAAGCCCCAAGAGCCAAGGTCCAGGGTGGTGGTACACCACCACAGAGTCCCCAACCACGAAGGGACTCGAAACAAACTCAACAAGGGGCTGGACCATGTTATGAATGAACAAGCAGAGTAGCGCGGAAATGAATAACGAGACGTTCACTCAATGAATGACGATACAAGGAATGGCAAGCCAAGATATAGGAACACCAGAGCTAGTCTAACCATGCGATGGGAAGGTTCGGGAAAGAGATCGAAGGGTCTCGAAGTGACGAAGCGAGGCCCGGAGAACTCCCGAAGGTCGAACCGAAAGGTCTGGAGAAGCCGAGGCGGTTCTGTCAGAAGGTCTGGAACAGTCCCGAGGCTTCGGGTGTGTTCGAGCGTACGCGCTAGCAGTACCGCTTGGTAAGGAATGGAAAATTCCTTACAGACCAAGTGAAATGTAACACTACACGAAGTAGCATTACTATGTTCACTATTTTTATATTTTTCCACTTCCTTTGGGCTTGAAATCTTGAGCTCTTGGTCTTGATTCTGCAAGATAAGTTCTTCTTGAGTTGATGAGGGTTTGCTGCACACACCTGTGATGCGATGGACACTTCACACTTGACAAAATAGAAAAAACGCATGCGACACGCAAACGACGACTTGACATGCGAGTTATAAAAACTCGCTAATGTCTTGACCGACACAAACCACATTGTGATACACCATTCACACACACACACAAGCACTATATAGCAATGACATAGACTCACAAGTCATTCCATGCCATGCATGCACACACACAAACAAGGACGACAAGCCGAGTGCAAGCCATAGGGTTTGTTTTTTGTTGTGGTGAGTTGTGGTGGGTTGTGGTGGGTGGTGGTGGGTTGTGATGGGTTGTGGTGGGTTGTGGTGGGTTGTGGTTGGTTGTGGTGGGTTGTGGTGAGCTATGGTGGGTTGTGTTGAGTTGTGGTGGGTTGTGGTGGATTGCGGTCTTGTCCTACCAGTCTGCGCTCCTGGCAAGAAATATCGATAGCGTAAGCTTACGTTTGGCCGACCTGCGGTGGCTCGGTCTACACCCCCTGTCCAGGTGCGATCTCGGTCTGCTGGAGCATCTCCTGCCGGCTCCAACGACGACGGTGGTCCCTTTCCCCTCACAGTCGCGGAGCTCCAGTTGAAAGCTAAGGAGCAGTGGCAGCGGTACTTCCCATGGCTGCTGATTTCCGAGACCTCTGAGAGGCGTCCATGCATGAAGTGTAGCATCTGTATGGGGTACAACAACGACCCCAACTACCAATATGGGCGCAACGGCGAAGGCGGCATCGACATATAGAAGCAGATGATGTGCAAGCACCACCACAGTCAAAAGCGTGAGGCGGCGATGGCGTGGAAGGAGCAGAAGGACGCCAAGAACGTGAAGCAGAAGTCCATCGTCGACTTCGTGAACGGGGATGATGAGACAAAGCGAGTGAAGCGACTCATGGCGATTGTGATGTTCCTCTGCAAATCTGACGCCCCCGTTGTGTCACTTGTCCAGTTCATGGCAGAGCAGGGAACACCAGACCTGCCCGTGAAGGACAACGGTACCTACCAGAGTGAGTAAGTGTTTTACGTGATACCAACCCAAAATACTGTTGATTTTTAACGTGCTTTCCAGAAGACTGGCCCTGTACTAATATGCATGCGCAGGTACGGTTTCAATCAGGTGGTCGAGAACATCGTCACTTACCTGCGCGACAAGCAAATGAGCCACATCAGGGCTTCACCATTCTTGGGCATCCAACTCGACGAGTCAACAGACCGCTGGCGGGGTAAACATATAATTGTTTACCTCACCGTCCTTCGCGACACGACGGTGGTGACAGAGTTCTTCGGGCATCTCACCGTCAAGAAGTGCGACGCCGCATCTCTGCAAACCGTTCTACTCACCCACCTCGAGTCTCAGGGCATCGAGCAGCACCGATGGAGCCTGTGTGATAACGGGTGCGCAAGCAGGCCTCGTGGCTAGGTTGCGCACCCGTATTCCACACTTGGTTTCCTGCCACTGCATCGCGCATAGGTGAGTCCGACATTCCAGAAAATTGCATATTTTAATAGTTTATTCCGAGACTAATCAAGTATTTCTGTTAATCTGCAGGGAGGCTCTTGCTGCCAAGGACACTACAGATGGTTTCCCAGACTTAGGCATCGTCGACAAGGTCGTGCGGTCACTGGCCGAGGTGCTCGGCCGGTCCATCGTCGTCCACAACCGTTTCAAGGAGCTGCAAGAATCCGTCACTAAAACTAACCTCGAAATGCAAGGCATCCACCAGATTCGTTGGCTTAGTCGCGGTGAGGCTATCCAACGGCTTGTTAATGTGTTCCCCGCCGCCATTCTCCTGCTGTACGAGTATGATACGAAGATGTATCACGTAGTTATCTCATTGAAGTTTCATTTCTTGCTGTACTTTCTGGCGGATGTGCTGCGGGAGCTCAACACGCTCAACCTCAAGTTCCAGCGTCGCCAGGTAAGCCAGTTGGTGTCATGTCGTCGGTTTTAGGGGAGTGTGATGATTAACGAGCAAAAGCACCTCCCCCTTCTGTCTGTGTATGGCAGGTCGACGTCACCCAGGTTGTGAGAGTACGACCTCGTTCCATTCCTTTCTCTTTTCCATCTTCCCTTTCCATTTCATTCCTCTTTTTATCCTGATTCATTTGGTCTTTATCTTATTCCATTTGGATTCCTGTTCCTCCTTTTCCAAAAACCTTTGGTTTATCCTGTTAATATCATTATATCACCGACCAGGCCCAGGGTGTACTGGCGCGCTATATCTAGCGTAATCATGTCGTAATCCCTTAAAGCCAATAGCCTCGCGTGGCTAAACGCAGGGTGATTCTATTTTCTAGAAGGGTCTATTCCCTTGGGATAGGATAAACCTGGTTACTTGATGAACTCTGGAAGTATAAAAGCGCCTTGTATCAATCGATAGTGGAACTTTTCCTCGACACATTCCATCCTGTGACACTTGGTATCAGAGCTTTTCTCATTCGGCCGCGCTCAGCTAAGCAGCAGCAGCGGGACTCCTGCCTCGAAAAACCGCAGGGGGCGACCAATTCGACGCCGATTCGGGTAAGCACCAGCTCCGCGCTTTTTCGAATTACCCCCTCCGCGCGTGTTTTGAATAGGATGGCGAACTTCAACAACGCCGAAGTTACACAGCAGCTCTTCGCAAGCATCGCCGCCCTATAGGAGGAGATGCGAGCCGACCGCGAAGCTTGGTGACAAGAGTTCGAGCGAGTAACTCGACTCCCCGGCGCGCAACACGAAACGACAATGGCGACGACGCAGCAGTCGCAGCAGTTTCTCGAGGCTCCAAAGCCGCGCCTACCTGAGCCGTTCGATCCGAGCGATCGAAATTCCGACGTCCGCAGATGGATCGCCGGCATGGAGATCTACTTCGCAACCGTCGGATGGAGCTCGCCAGTCTGGGACGGTCAACGCGTACGACTCGTGGCGACACTGATGCGAGGACCGGCACTCGAGTGGATCGGCGGTAATAGCACCTTCATCCACGGCAAAGCCATGTGGCAGCAGTTCTGCACCGACCTGCTGAAACGTTTCGAGCTGATAAATTTGGATTTCCTTGCCCGGGAAAAAAATCATCGCCATCGACAGTTCGGGAGTGTAGCACAGTACACGCAGCAGATGGAAGAATTTTATAACCGCATTCCTGATCTGACCGAAGGGGAAAAAGTACTGTCGTACCTCACCGGGCCGAAGTCCGAAGTCAAACGACAAGTGGCAGCGACAAACTACGCGAGCTACAGTGACGTCGTATCGGCCGCGGAATGCTTCGACATGGTCAACGCCGGGACACGACGAGCGCATGTCGGCAGTACGCGACAGGGCGACCGCTCGGCTCACCCCACGTTCGCCGACCTAATGGAAGTCGACAGGTTTGGAGGGCGGCCACGTCCGAAAAACACCAACTTCACGTGTGATTTTTGCGGGGTGTCGGGTCATCGAATCTTCGACTGCAACAAAATGAAAGCCGCACGCGCTGAGTATCGGGCACGTAACAGTGGCGGATATCCTTCGGCCAATCAGAAGACAAAAAACGGGACTCGCCAGTGATTGCGGATCTAGCTGGCGAAAAAGAAAAGATCCGAAAGCGGCCGCGGACTTCCGGAAAAATCAATATCGACGCAGCTGATTAGACGCGAATATGAGAAAATGATGGGGAAAAATCTCCACCCCACGACCAGTCTTTGCCAGAGGAAATCGTCGAGGAAAAATCTAACTCCGCGAAAAAGGACTCTGCCAAGACGGGGAAACTCCTTGAAGACCCAAGAAATTATAAGGATTCATTAAAGTTATCTTATAGAGATGCTTTAATGAAAACCTGTAATTCTCCAGGGGCTAGAGCCTTGGAGAAATTTCGGGAGGGACTCCAAAAGAAGCAGAAAATTGTGGAGATCATACCGGTACCGGAGAACTTGGGGACCAAATTAAGGAGTGTGGAAAGAAGCCGACCTTTCCACGGAGTCAACGTCCTCTCCCGACACCAGCCCACAGCGACTACCCGTTCCCTAGGGAAGACGTCGGTGGAGCTAAAGCAGCTTAAGAGGAAGCTGGGGGTCTACAAGAAACTGCGAAAACCCCGAACTCCTCCTTCGGATGCATCCAACTCGGCAACTTCGTCAACGACACGAACAGTCGTCACAGAAACTCCGAGCCTTGGAGAAGAGCCTTTCTCCAAGCAGCCTCGGCCAGCTGCCAGCTCAGGAGTAGGAAGCAACGAATACTGGGATGTACCCTATTACCCAATCAATGAAACTATCTTTGGGTACTCCTAGCAAGGCCTGCCCCTCGTGCTCGAGGTCGTCTGCAAAGGACGACGCCTCCAAGCAGTTGTGGACAGCGGAGCATCGCACACCGTATGCAACAAGGCAGTAATCGACCGACGTCGAGAAGAGTACAAGCCTTCAGCATTTTCTTCAACGATGGTGGACGGCAGCAAGTTACCAGTGTACGGCGAAGCAGTGCTACACCTACAAATCGGGCCACTGCGCTGGAAACCTGCTGTCCCCATCACCAACATAAAAGAGCTTGACCTGATCTTCGGGCGAGGCTTCCTTAAGAAATTCAACCCCGAGATCAGCTGGGTAAACCGCACCGCAAGCATCTACAACAAAGGAAGGAGAGTCCAGCTACCCAACTGGGAAGATACAGGAGATATCCCAGTGGAGACACTCGCAAGATTCGAGAAGGACGTCAAGCGAACCGACACCGGATTCCTGGCGATAGCAACAAAGGTGGAAAATGACGGAGAGAAAGCCTCGGAACCTCCAGAACAAATCAAGGGATTACTGAAGGAGTTCCAAGACATTCTTCCCGACGACCTCCCGGACGAGCTACTGCCATACCGAACGCACCAACACGAGATCGAGGAGGAACCAGGTTCGAAACCGACCTTCTGAGCACCATATCGGCTAAGCCCCACAGAACTAGCCGACATGAAGAAGCAGATCGAGTATCTCCTCGCCTAAGGACTCATCCGACCATCCACTTCACTATACGGTGCCCCGGTACTCTTCACGCCAAAACCGGACGGAAGCCTGCACATGTGCATCGACTAACGGGCTCTCAACAAGCAGACCATCAAGAAAAAGTACCCGATTCCACGAATCGATGACCTACTTGACCAGCTTCGGGGAGCCACGGTATTTTCAAAACTACATCTGCGGTCCGGATACTGGCAGATAAGAATGGCGGACGATTCCGTTCACAAAACGGCCTTCCGAACTCGGTACGGATCGTACGAGTATTTGGTGATGCCGTTCGGACTCACCAACGCACCTGCAACGTTCCAAGCAGAGATGAATCACATCCTACGACCACTATTGGATGAGAGCATGGTGGTGTAGTTGGACGACATCCTCGTCTACTCGCGCGACATGCAACAACACGTCGAACACCTGCGACGCGTCTTCGATATTCTTCGACGAGAACGCTTCTACGTCAAACTATCCAAGAGCGACTTCGCCCTCGAGAAAGTCCAATTCCTCGGACATATCGTAAGCGCTCAAGGAGTTCACGTCGACCCCAAGAAAATCGAAGCCGTGCGTACGTGGAAAACACCCGAGAACGTTAAGGAGTCACAGCAGTTCCTAGGCTTCGCTAACTACTACAACAGGTTCGTGCCACAATACGCGAAAATCGTCGCGCCACTCACGAATCTGCTGAAGAAGAACATGCCCTATAAGTGGGAACCACAACACCAAGAAGCCGTGGAGCAACTGAAACAAGCACTCACGTCCGCACCCGTACTCATCTTGCCAGACCCGAACGCGACTACATCATCGAAGCTGACGCCAGCGACCAGGCAGTAGGAGCAGTCTTGATGCAAGACCAGGGGAATGGACTGCAACCAATTGCCCATCTCAGCAAGAAACTACACGGGGCAGAACTCAACTACCTGATACATGACAAGGAGGCCCTCGCTATCATCATCACCTTCAAAACGTGGAGATGTTATCTTGAAGGACGCAAAACAACAGTCTACACCGACCATTGCAGCCTAAAAAAATTTAAGACGCAACCAAGCCTCTCCAGGCGACAGGTCCGGTGGATCGAATTCCTCGACACACACTTCCACTATGACATCGTGTACAAGCCCGGCCATAAAAACAAAGCAGATGTGCTTAGCTGGCCTGCACACGTTGCCGCTATCCAAATTGAAGGAACGAATCCACTCCTCAAGGGACTCTTCACACACGGGTACACCATCGACCCCGAAATCCCTTTGGTAGAAAAACGACATCTGTTACAGTGGGACAACGATATCGCGTACCGGAAAGGATCAACGAAGATCTGGGTACCCCATTACCCTCCTTTGCGTCAGTTACTACTCGAAGAATACCACGACGTCCTGTACGCAGGACACTTCGGTAGCAACAAGACGCTCACCGGTATCGCCAAACACTACTACTGGCCCCACATGGCAGATGACGTACAGAAATTCGTCACCTCGTGCACTACATGTCAGCAGATGAGGAGCAGCAAGCAGAAAAAGGCGGGTCTGCTACAGCCTCTTCCTGTCCCAGAGTAGCCATGGCAAGTGGTCAGCCTAGACTTCATCACCGGGCTACCGACTACCACAAGCGGTCATGACGCGATCCTCGTCGTCATCGACAAGTTCTCCAAAATGGGACACTTCATCCCAACACACACGACAGCATGCACCGAGTTGACAGCACAACTCTTTGTTCGCTACATCATTTCACAACATGGCATTCCAACCACACTCATCTCCTACCAAGACCCTAAGTTCACCAGTAAATTCTGGAAAGAACTGATGTCTCTACTCGGAACCAAACTCGCCATGTCCTCCGCATACCATCTGCAGACAGACGGACAGATCGAGCGTCTTAACCAAATTGTGGAGCAACTCCTCCGCGCAGCCTGCAAGGACGAAATCTCTAAGTGGGACTTGCATCTGCCCGTCCTGGAGTTTGCCTACAACAATGCTACTCACGCCGCTACTGGACAGATGCCATTCTTCCTCTGTTACGGACGCCACCCGCTCACACCACAACAGCCAACCATACCAGCCACAGTCCAACCCGCTCATGATTTCATCACGACCATGCACAAACTTTGAGATCGGACCCACAAGCGCCTTCTCGACATTCAACAACAACAGAAGCGCCAGGCCGATCGCCACCGCACAGACCACACCATCACTGTGGGAGACCGAGTACTGCCCGACATGCGCAATCTTGACATTAGCCATCTCCCATCCAAACTACAACCTCGCTTTTGCGGGCCTTTTCTCGTTGAAGCACAGGTCACTCCTGTTACCTTCCGCTTATGCCTGCCAGCTACCTGGAAGATTCACAACGCCTTCCATGTCCAACTCTTGAAGCCCTACCGAGTCCCCAACACGATCTTCTCTGGACGCCAACCGCCGCCGCCGCCGCCCGTCCTCGTCCATGATGAACCCGAAGACGAGGTCGAGTCCGTGCTTGGCAACGTGGAGCTTCTCATCCGTTGGAAGGGTTATGATCCTTCCGAGGATAGCTTGGTCTCTGAATCCGCGATGGATCACGCTCGTCGGCCTCCTCGCGACTACCTTGTCAAGCAGGGTGTTACGTCTACCACCCAGCTTTGAGGGGGGGGAGTGTGAGAGTACGACCCCGTTCCATTCCTTTCTCCTTTCCATCTTCCTTTTCCATTTCATTCCTCTTTTTATCCTGATTCATTTGGTCTTTATCTCATTCTATTTGGATTCATATTCCTCCTTTTCCATAAACCTTTGGTTTATCCTGTTATTATCAATATATCACCGACCAGGCCCATGATGTACTGGCGCGCTATATCTAGCGTAATCCTGCCGTAATCCCTTAAAGACAATAGCCTCGCGTGGCTATACGCAGGGTGATTCTATTTTCTAGAAGGGTTTATTCCCTTGGGATAGGATAAACCTGGTTACCTGATGTACTCTGGAAGTATAAAAGCGCCTTGTATCAATCGATAGTGGAACTTTTCCTCGACACATTCGATCCTGTGACACAGGTACTTCGGAGGTCGACAACACCGTCGTGGCACTGCGCGCACGCTATGTCAACTACAGCGCACAGTTCGGCCTACCTGAGGGGGACTTTGCCGACTTTCTGCATCTGTACGTGGGGGGCGAGGACGTAACGATCGAGGGGAATGACGCACATGGGGCGCCGACTGTGCACGCGTACACTCTACACACAAAGCCGCTGGATGGGCAGCGGAGCAAGGGGGATCTGAAGTCGCTACAGCAGCTCGTCACGGAAGTCGTCAACGATGTCATCAACCACCTGCAGGGACGCCTTACGGATCTATCGAAGCTCAACGGCACAATACTCTTCAAGCAGACGATGTACCCGAAGTCCAATGCGAGGCGCCAGCAGAAGTTTCTCGGATGGCTCCAGTCTCTGCGCGGCCTCTACAAACATGATGCGTCAGCGCCCGACACTCTGCCGGGTGAGTTTCATGGGGTTGTTAGTGTCGCCGTGGCTCGGGCGTTTTCTGGTTGTGGAGATCATTAACGAAGGCTTCTGTGCCTTTGTGTCACCCCCCCTTCAAGTGTCCACCAGGGCAAGGCGAAGGTCAAGCTCGTCAGTTTCACCACCATTATGTCGACACACAACGACGAGTTGGGCTTCCATGACGCGCTGAAGAACGTGCTCTCCAAGCCGGACTGGATGACCGCCTACCCTAATTTGGCTCTCATCTGGATTGCCTGCGCCGTGCTGCCGCTCAACACAGTGGAGTGCGAGCGCGGGTTCAGCCGCCATAACGTCATCAAAAGCTGGCAGCGCGGAAATCTCGGTGATGCGAAGCTAGGCCACTTGATGACGGTGTCGCTGCTCGACTACCCGATGGACTGGGGGAGTATGGTGGCTAGGTGGCGTGGAACGAAGAAGTGGTGGCCTGCCAAGGAAGTTGTCATGGATCAAACCGCACGGCAGGTGAAGCGGCCCAAGACGTCGACGACATTGAAGGCGGCAAAGGCAGCAGCAGAAGCAGCCAGAGTGTTTGAAGAGGATGGTGCGGCTGGCCCAATCTGGAGGAGGAAAAGCAAGGGCAAGAAGATCCAAGTTCCAGAGACCGACAGTGATGAAGACATCGAGGAGGTTGGAAGTGATAGTTCGGACTCCAAGTAGGCAGGTGGCGGCATGGCACAGCATGGTCTAGTATAAGGCTAATTCCTAATGTAGATTGTAGTGTAGGTAGTGGAGCATCAGTAACACCATAGAGTTTTTTCCATCTATTCCTAGAGTAGTTGCAGTTACAATGGATGCTAACGATGTTTATCAAGTGTAACAGCTATTTGAGTAGCAGTGTAATATAGTGCATTCGGCATTCATGTATAGTGAAACTCCCGCAACGTTTCGTCTGAACTGTCAGATCGTGCCAAATGTTTCGTCTGAAATGCCAGACCGGCAAAATAAAATCGTATGATAGTCAAACGAAAGTTTGAAACCCCGTCTGAACGTCAGACGGCCTAAAATCCTAGCTGAAACCCTGCTCCCAGGGCTATTGCTTTAGCCTTGGTTCGGGTGCCATCTCGTGGAGGTCCACTCGCTCCTCGTCTGTTGCCCAGTCTAGCTGTGAGGCTGAGATCTACGCCAGTGCCATGGCGGCACAGGAGCTCCGCTGGCTGATGTTCTTGCTCATCGACTTAGGTGAACGGCCTAGTTCTACCCCGGTCTTGTACGCTGACAACAGAGCCATGATCCTCCTGTGTCTGGAGCCTCGACTTGAGGGCAGAGCGAAGCACATCCAGCTGCGGTACTTCCTCCTGCGCGAGCTACAGCAGCGCCACCAGGCCCGCATAGTACACTTGGCCTCCGGTGCCAACACAGCTGGTATCTTTACTTAAGCGCTTGCGCCTAAAGATCATCAGCATCACTGTTTGCAGCTTGGTCTAGTTCCTGTAGACTCTCACTTGCTAGGATCTTGATTGTATACTCCTCTTTATATATATCTTTCAGACTGGCCTTGTGGCTTTTCTTCCACTGGTCGGACTAGTAGTGCCGCCTATCAGAATTGAAAATTGAATATTAGATAGAGTGAGAGTACACAAAGATATACCTAAGTCTTGTACTCTCTAAGAGGCGACCCTATACAGTCTATACAAACATGACAAATATACATGTTTGACACACCCCCTAGACTGCATAGGGGAATGCCCTAAACAAACAGCTCAGGGCGGCACTACTAGTCCAACCTCTGAGACAAGGGTCTAAGAGACCAGTCAGAAGGAGTACAAACAAGGCAAGAACAAGGGCAGGGCAGCACTACTAGTCCAGCCACTGCGAGAGGACACAAGTCCAGTCTGAGTATACGTATAAAGGACAGTACAAAGTCAAGGTCCTAGCAAGTGAGAGGCTACAGGAACTAGACCAAGCTGTACACAGTGCCGCTGATGATCTTTAGGCGCAAGCGCCTTCGTAAAGATATCAGCCGTGTTGGCACCGGAGGCCAAGTGTACTACGCGAGCCTGACGTCGCTGCTGTAGCTCACGCAGGAGGAAGTACCGCAGCTGAATGTGCTTCGCTCTGCCCTCGAGTCGAGGCTCCTGACACAGGAGGATCATGGCCCTGTTGTCAGCGAACAGGACCGGGGCAGAGCTAGGCCGCTCACCTAAGTCAGTGAGCAAGAAGGTCAGCCACCGGAGCTCTTGTGCCGCCATGGCACCAGCGTAGATCTCAGCCTCACAGCTGGACTGCGCTACAGACGAGGAGCGGGTAGCTCTCCACGAGACGGCAGCTGAGCCAAGGCTGAAGCAGTAGCCCTGGGTAGACCTGAGCGTCTCAGCGTCGTCTGCCCACGAAGCGTCTGTGTGTCCAGTAAGGACCACTGGCCTGCGTCCTCCTAGCACTAACCCCATGCCCGATGTACTAGCAAGATAACGCAGAACCCTCTTAGCGGCAGACCAGTGCTGCGGTCGGTGTCTGCCTGTGGCCACAAAGCGAGCCAGGATGCTGAGAGGGTATGCGAGATCTGGGCGAGTGCAAGTCATCAGGTACATGAGGCAACCCACCAGCTCTGCGTAGGGGCCGCTGGGCTCTACCAACTCCTCAGACACTGGAGCGGAGAGTCTGTGGTCTACAGGCAGAGGGGTGAGCTGTGCAGAGGAGAACTGAAGGCTGAACCTCTGAAGGACCTGGCGCACCAAGTGTGACTGAGTCAGGGTGATGGTGCGCGCAGCTCTGTCCCTGGAGATCTGCAAGCCAAGGTAACGGCGCAGTTCTCCAAGGTCAGTGCAGGTGTGTCTCTTCAGAAGCTCTGCCTTCACGGAGGCCAGTGCGTCCCTGTCTGCTGTGGCAAAGACCAGGTCGTCGACGTAAACAAGGATGTAGAACGGAGTCTGGCCAGCACGAACGAAGAGTGAAGGGTCTGCGGAAGACGGAAAGAACTGCAGGTCAGCAAGGGTAGCACGAAGAGTGTCGTGCCACTCACGAGGAGCCTGGCGCAGGCCGTAGACGGGGCGCCGCAGGAGCCACTGGGTACCAGGAGGGAAGGTGCCAGTACAGCCCGGAGGGCGACGCAGGTAGACCTGCTCGTGTAGGCTGCCCTGAAGGAAGGCAGTGGAGAAGTCGAGGGAGTGAAGATCGTAGTCACGCTGAGCCGCTAGGTGTAACAGAACCCGAAGAGAAGTCATCTTCGGGGTCGGAGCGAAGGTCTGGAAGAAGTCCACCCCCTCGCGCTGACTGAAGCCTCTAGCCACATAGCGCGCCTTGAAGACCGGCGGCTCTCCAGGAGGGCGCTTCACCTTGAAGAGCCAGCGGCCATCGACTACGTTCACCCCAGGTGGGGGAACTGCGTCGACGAAGGTGCCGGTGGATCTCCAAGATGCCATCTCCTGCTCCATGGCAGCTATCCACTGCGAGGCCCAGGGTCCCGAGGTCGCCTCAGCGTAAGTGCGAGGGGTCGGGATGTCGAAAGCGTCTGGGTCACCCTCAGGGACTAGCAGCATGGAACAGAGATGGGGAGCAGCCTCGGAGAGGAAAGCAAGCTCGAACTGGCGGTCCTCCAGGACGTCACTGCCAAGGGCAGGAGCACCCCCGACAGACGGAGGACAGGCAGGGTCAGAGACCAGAGCGGAGGCGTAGTCAAGGCGGCAGGTAGAGGCGAAGTCAGCGACAGCAGCAACAAGGGCGTCAAGGCACGAGGCCGGAACATACGGGTCGGTAACGAGAGAGGCAAGGACGCGAGGAACAAGAGGACGAGCGGCACGAAGGTAGTCAGACAGCGGGGGGGGTGCAACAACAAGGGAGGACGGAGGAGGCGACGGCAGAAGGGGAGGACGAGACGCGTGGGAACGGAGCAACATAGGGTGGGAGCGCAGGACAGGCGAGGCAGGACGAGCACGGGAGGGACGGTGAGACCAGACGTGCGACGGAGGAGTCGGGTCAGGAGACAGAGGAGGGGACACAGGAGGGGAACGAGGGGGGAGACGGGCCGGGGACGAGTCCGGCGGAGGGAAAACAGGGCCGTAGACAGGAAGAGGAGGAGACGGTCGGGGAGGAACCGACGCAGGGTCGGGGGACGGCAGGCCGAGCAGGCGAAGGGCTGACACCGGCGGGGACTGCTGCTGCGGCGGCACAACGGCGACACCGGGACTGCAAGCTGCTCCTCGGCGACCCCCGGCACTCTCCACACCAGCACCCCCAGAGGGACCACCCCCAGGGCTACCGGAACGAGCACCCCCAGAGTCAGCGAACGGGTGCTGCGACGGCGGCGGCGGCGGCGGCAACGACGGCTGCAGCGGCGGCAGAGGCGGTGGAGGAGGGGACTGGGGAGGGGACGCCAGGGGAGGGGCGGCTGGCGAGGACTGCACAGGAGGGCCACCAGAGTCAGACGACTCCTCAACCGGGTCCACCGACGGAAGGGGGGTGACGTGGGACACACCAGAGGGGGCGGGACGGGGAGGAGGAGGAGGAGGGGCAGGGACTACCGGGGAAGGAGGGACCAGGAACAGGGGGGGGGTAACCGGGGGACCACGGTGGGGGAAGCGACGGTAGTAGGAGACGGACTCGTCAAAGGTGACGTCACGAGAGTGAAAGAAGCGGTGAGACGGCGGGTGGTAAAAGTGCCAGTCGGACGCGTCAAGGGGAAAACCGAGGAAGACGCAGGGAAGGGTGCGGGCAGTGAGCTTGTCCGTGCTGGAGGCACGAACGTGAGCAAGGCAGCCCCAGACGTGGAACACAGACGCGTCACCAGGAGACCCAGTCCACAGACGGGTCGGCGAAACCTGCGGCTGCTGAGGGTGCGGCCACAGGTTAAGCTGGTGAGAAGCGTAGCGCACAGCGAACGGCCACAGAAAATGGGGTGCACCGGCATGGATCATGGAGGTGCGAGCCACCTCCATGACCAAACCGATGCGTCGCTCAGCGACCCCATTCTGCTGTGGGGAGTCCGGTAGGGTGAACGTCTGGGTGATGCCCTCCGCACGACAAAAGCGACCAAAGACACCTGAGGCAAACTTGCCACCACGGTCTGAGTGGAGACGCAAGACAGGGAGACCGCGGTGGACACGCGCAGAGGCAAGCCAGGGGATGAGAGCGCCAGGCACGTCAGCCTTGCGCTCCAGGGGAAAGACTGTGGTGTAGCGAGTGAAGTCGTCGACGAGCACAAGGAAGTAGCGCTCTCGACGCGGCCCAGGGACGGGGGCGGGGCCCCAGACGTCCAGGTGCAGGGTCTGCAGCGGCGCGGCGGTAGGGGGAAACGAGGAGGAGTGAGGGGCACGGCGAAGCCGACCCTCGACGCAAGGCGTGCAAGGTGGGGCTGGGGAGGAGGGAAACGCAGGGAGAGAACCTGGGAGACCAAGGACAAGACCGTGCTGGGACATGTGACGCAGACGCGGGAGCGCAGGGTGACCTAGGCGGTGGTGCCAAAGGAGGGTCGGGTGAGTGAGAGACCGACAAGAGCAGGCAGCAGCAACTTGGGTGAGCGCTCCAGCCGGGGGGGTCACGGTGTCCAGAGTGAACAGGCCGGACACCGGGTCCCGGGGGAACGTGGACAGGGGGGCACCAGTGGCGGCCTCGGTACAGACAGCATACCGCTCGTGACCAGGGAACGTAGTGGTGACGCCAAGGTCCTGGAGGCAGCCGACACCAACTAGGTTCCTGGAGAACGAGGGGATATGCAGACCTGTAAGAGAGCCCGAAGGAACCGCCGGACAGGGAAGGGTGGTGGAACTGCGGGCGACGACCGGACCGCCAGAGGGGTCAGCGAGAGAAACGGCAGCAGGGACGGGAAGCGGCGTCAGGGTGGTGGAGTCGCGGAAGAAACACCGAGAAGCGCCAGAGTCCAAGGTGAAGGAAAGCGAAGCAGAGGCGTCTGGCGACGGAACGACGGCGGAAGCACCAAGACTACACAAAGCAGGGGATCCTACGCCTGACGCAGCAGGGGAGGCTAAGCTAGGCACACCTACACTAGGCAACAGTGAGTAATAAGCTGGAAGCACACTAGAGTCATCAGCATACATCACATGCAGAGCAGAAACAATGGCATCCATGTCCATATCAAAGATCTGAATCTTACGACTAAGCAAACTGTGCCAGTCCGGGAGGTCTGGCAACGGGCCGAAGCGCTGACGAAAGGGGTCGTCCAGGCGACGAAAACAGCGGGGAGTGGAGTGACCGATCTTACCGCAAACGAAGCCGCGGCGAGGACCGGTCTGGATCTGGTACTGACAGCGCCCGCCGCTAGAGCTACCACTCGACACACCACCACGCGCCCGGCCACCGCCAGCGCCGGGCCACCCGGGCGGGAGGACACTCGTCTGCCGCGTCTGCGATGGCTGCTGCGAAGGCTGCGACTGCGGCGGCTGCTGCGGCTGCTGCTGCAACTGCAGGGGCGGCGGCTCAGCTGAACTGGGCAGGGTCCCCTCGTCCGCTCCAGCACCAGACGACCCGACCCCACCACTACCCCCTCCCGCACCCCCGCCTCCGCCTCCGCCGCGCCCAACCTTGGGGCGGCGGCCCTTCCCCGAACGAAACTGCGCAGCAGCAGCAGTCTCAGCCACTGCGACAGAGCCGTCGGAGAAGGTACACTGGGCGGGGGCACAACCCTGAAAGATAGGGACAGGCACGACACCGCTCGCCTGGGCGATGGAGCGGTGATGGGTCTCTATCACAGTCAGGGTGTCTACAAAGTCAGTGAGGGTGAGGTCGGCGGGGTGAAGGCTAAGGAAGCGGTCGCGGGCGACAGCAAGGCGGTCAGGGAGGCGGGTGGCAAGCAGGTAGAGGGTAGAGGTAATGGGCGGCTGGTGGGCTCTAAGCTGTGCGTCAGTGCAGGCGGCTCGCCAGGTCTCCTCTATCGAGCGCAGGTGGGCCGCGAGGTCAGAGACAGTGGGGAAAGAGGCAAGGTCAGGAAAGAGCATCGGGAGGATCAGGCGACCCACCGAGGCAGCCGGAGGGGTGGAATAGCGCTTGATGACAGCATCTAAGTATGCCTGAGCAGTAGTGAGGGACCTAAAGCGAGGACGCTCGAACGGGGGGAGGGCGTTGCTAATGGCAAGCTGGGCGACAGCATCGCGGGAAAGCCAGACAGAGCGCGCACGGGCAGTGGCAGCAGTAGACTCACGCTCAGTGGGTGTGGGGTCAGCGGGCAGAATAGCAGGGGGGTCTGGGCAGGGGAGCGTACCGTCAAGATGTGCAGAAAGCGGTTCACCATCCTGCCGCTAGCCAATGAGTTGGCGGCGGAGGTCGGCAAGCCACGCCTCGAACTCTAGGGGCTGACCTTCAGCGTCGAAGCGAAGCTCCGCCGCCATCAGGAACAGTCCAGTGCGGTGCAGGGCAGTGCAGCTAGGTGGAGTGCAGTGCAGTGCGGTACAGTGCGGTGCAGTGCGGTGCAGTGCGGTGCAGTGCGGTGCAGTGCGGTGTAGTGCGGTGCCAGGCAGTACAGTGTGATGCGAGGCGGCACGGAGCAGGGCGGGGTGGGGGGGAACCGTACCAGTGAGGAGGACGGGGCCGGGGCTGGCCCGACGGGGCCGGGCAGGCGCGACGGGGCCGGGCTGGTGCGACAGGGCCGGGACGGGGCGACGAGGCCGAGCGGGCGCGACGGGGCCGGGCTGGGGCGACGGGGCCGGGCGAGTGCGGCAGGGCCGGGCCGGTGCGACGGGGCCGGGCGAGCGGGACGGCGGCCGGGCGGGTGCGACGGGGCCGGGCGGCTGTGACGGGGCCGGGCAGGGTGCAACGGGGCCGGGCGGGTGCGACGGGGCCGGGCGGCTGCGACGGGGCCGGGCAGGGTGCGACGGGGCCAGGCGGCTGCGACGGGGCCGGGCGGGCGCGACGGGGCCGGGCGGGTGCGACGGCGCCGGGCGGGCGCGACGGGGCCGGGCGGCTGTGACGGGGCCGGGGAGGGTGCGACGGGGCCGGGCGGGTGCGACGGGGCCGGGCGGGTGCGACGGGGCCGGGCAGGGTGCGACGGGGCCAGACGGCTGCGACGGGGCCGGGCGGGCGCGACGGGGCCGGGCGGGTGCGACGGCGCCGGGCGGGCGTGACGGGGCCGGGCGTCTGCGACGGGGTCGGGCAGGGGCGACGGGACCGGGGGGGGTACTACGCGGCCCAGGAGGGGCGCTACGGGGCCCAGGAGGGGCACGACGGGGGCCCAGGAGAGGCGCTACAGGGGCCCAGGAGGGGCGCAACGGGGCCCAGGAGGGGCGCTACAAAGCCCAGGAGGGGCGCGACGAGGCCCAGGAGGGGCGCTAAGGGGCCTAGGAGGGGCGTGACGGGGCCTGGGAGGGGCGCGACGGGGCCCAGGAGGGGCGCTACAGGGCCCAGGGAGGGCGCGACGGGGCCCAGGAGGAGCGCTACGGGGCCCAGGAGGGGCGCGACGGGGCCCAGTAGGGGCGCTACGGAGCCCAGGAGGGGCGCGACGGGGCCTGGGAGGAGCGCGACGAGGCCCAGGAGGGGCGCTACGGGGCCCAGGAGGGGCGCTACGGGGCCTGGGAGGAGCGCGACGGGGCCCAGGAGGGGCGCTAGGGGGCCTGGGAGGGGCGCGACGGGGCCTGGGAGGGGTGCTACGGGGCCCAGGAGGGGCGCTACGAAGCCCAGGAGGGGCGCGACGAGGCCCAGGAGGGGTGCTACGGAGCCCAGGAGGAGCGCTACGAAGCCCTAGGAGGGGCGCGATGGGGCCTGGGAGGAGCGCGACGGGGCCCAGGAGGGGCGCTAGGGGGCCTGGGAGGGGCGCGACGGGGCCTGGAAGGGGCGCGACGGGGCCTGGGAGGGGTGCTACGGGGCCCAGGAGGGGCGCTACGAAGCCCAGGAGGGGCGCGACGAGGCCCAGGAGGGGTGCTACGGAGCCCAGGAGGAGCGCTACGAAGCCCTAGGAGGGGCGCGATGGGGCCTGGGAGGAGCGCGACGGGGCCCAGGAGGGGCGCTAGGGGGCCTGGGAGGGGCGCGACAGGGCCCAGTGAGGGGCGCGACGGGGCTAGGGGGGGGTCGCGACTGGGTGAGCGGAAGCGGTGGGTGGGGGGGATCCTACCTACGCGTGATACCATATCAGAATTGAAAATTGAATATTAGATAGAGTGAGAGTACACAAAGATATACCTAAGTCTTGTACTCTCTAAGAGGCGACCCTATACAGTCTATACAAACATGACAAATACACATGTTTGACACCGCCCTGGTTTGCTCGTCTTGTTTGTACTCTTGCGGACTAGTCTTCGGACCCCTGTCTCAGAGGTTGGACTAGTAGTGCCACCTTGAGCTGTGTGCTTCTTGCTCAGCACTACAACTTGTCTAGCCTAGGGGGTGTGTCAACTTATACGTACATTTGCATGTAGAAGTTATAGGCTGGAATAGGTACGGTATGTGTTCTTAGAGAGTACAAACCAAACCCTATATCTCCCTTGTTCCCTCTTGCTTCTAATCATTGCATTATTCTAATTTCTAACACTATCCACTGACCTTTCTCATCTTTCTGCCTGTTTATCTAAACTTGCAACCAAATTGATCATACATATGGGGCTGTACTATATGCAAGCAAGCTTTTGACGTGCTCAGTTTGTCCAAACATGTACAAAGCCATTTCGATTTCCAGTGTATATCTCATTCCTATCTTCATCATAAAACAGTGCTGTAACATCTTCCAGAGCCTCCCGTACTGTCGATAGGACAGACTTGGACTTGGCTTGAGCTAACTCTGGAACAGAAGATATTTTAGCCAGGAGTTTGCCTGTGAGGATGTTACTGATGTTGATGGTGCCAACTGCAAAGGTTGAAGAGACAGAGGGAGTACAGAATACCGGGTTGTTGTGTGGCAAGAGAGCTCATGAGCAGCACAGATAAGGGAAGGGCAGAGCACGTGCGGATGAAAAAAGAGCAGAGACGTGGACCGACCATGCGGCGCATGCGAGAGCTCTTCCTGCTTGCAGTAGGAGATGATGAGGTCCTGGTCGGAGGTGATGTAGATGTTGTTGGTGTTGCAGTCAGGGTACCACAACACGTGGTCCTCAAACGCCGTCACCATCTCCCCGCGGAAGTTCCACACGGCCACGGCGCGGTTGCGGAAGGTGAGGAAGAGCTGGTTCTCGTAGAGGAAGATGAACGCGGACGGCGTCATGAACTCCGTGCGACTCACCTGCGCCTCCACCCGCGTGCGCACCTGCCACGCCATGGAGCGGGGGGAGGGGGGTAGAGGGCGGTGAAGACACAGGGTGCAGGAGGAGGAAACACATCCAAACCAATTAGGACACGGATCACAACCGCAAGGAGCAAGGCAACATGTTAGAGAAGTCTACATCCTAGCGTGTATTTGCACAAGGGTAGCAGGGAGGGGGGGGAGTGGCGTATTTTCTGACATCGAGGATGTGGAGGTTTTCGTTCTCCTGCTTGACAAGCAGCTTCTCGTTGAACTGCTCGATGAAGTCCACCTTCTTCCCGCGCTGCAGCAGCTGCACAAACGACGCCAGCACCGCCCCGTCCTCAATCGACAGGATCTTAAGCGGCACGTGGCCGTCAGCACGATTGTAGATGAGCAGCATGATGCCCGGGCTGGCAAGCAGAGGGCACAAAACAAAACACGAGTGGTGAATGTCAAACGGACTGAAAACACATCAGGCGCATGACAAATAGCCGTTTATTTCGAACTTGGCAAGGTCCCACTCTCACCTGATCTTGATTTCCTGTATGTTCTTGTCAGGCACACTGTAGAGAAGTGTGTAGTTGCGGAGGTCAAACACCTTGTACATCCTGCACAACACACACATTGGTACGCATTGAAAAGCTTTCAAACAAGCCAGTGGCTCTCGTGAGCATGCAGAGCAAGGACAGACAGCGCAAGTCGCAACGGACAGTGGCACCCATATGGCTGTAAAATGCAGGTACGAGCAAGCGTGAGCAGCAGGGCCAGCTTACCCTAACCCCACGTGGAGTGCAGCTGGAGGGCAGCATGGCATACCCATTTTCAGCGGAGTAGGTGAGGACCTTGCCGTTGACGTCGTCAAACTCCACAAAGCCCGGCCACCGCAGCGACTCCGACTCAAACAGCGCGAAGCCCTCGCTGGGCTGGCCCCGCCGGATGTACCTGCGGGGGTGCAGTGCACGCAGCACAGGCAGCACGTGGAGTACAAGATACATGGGCAGTGCCTCGTGTCTTGCAACTAGACCCAATGAGACACGCAGCAGATACAGCAGGATACGAAGCACACAGAGTGCTGGATGGAGGAGCAGGTGCGAGGAGGAGAAAGAGGAGGAGAGAAGTGAAGAGAGAGGCCACGAAGCCAAACCAAGCCAGGGGAGGCAAGCGGGGAACAAGATGGCAAAATGCCAGGGGAGGCAAGCGGGGAACAAGATGGCAAAATTCCAGGGGCAAGCGGGGAACAAGATGGCAAAATGCCAGGGGAGGCAAGCGGGGAACAAGATGGCAAAATGCCAGGGGAGGCAAGCGGGGAACAAGATGGCAAAATGCCAGGGGAGGCAAGCGGGGAACAAGCCACGCAAGCTGAGGATGGAAGTGGGGGCAGGAGCTCACTCGAGCGGGGTGCTTCTGCATTTGAGCGAGCTGAAGTTGTCGTGCGCGTAGACGGAGACGGTGATGAGCGAGTCGTTGTTCTTGTTGAAGAAGAGGCTCCGAATCACCTCCTCCGACCCCACGTTCATGTAGCACAGCCGCCGCCGCGACTCTGCTGCCCCCACAGCGCCGCACAGCACGCACCAGGTGCAGCAGCACAGTGAGAATCGAGCGACAAGAGAACGCGTGAGAGCAACAGTGAAACGGATATGGAAGCTGAGGAGGTCCAGACCTACCTACGCAGTACCTAGGCAGATGGCGGCGCATGCTGGTCGCACCTAGGCAGATGGCGGCGCATGCTGGTCGCACCTAGGCAGATGGCGGCGCATGCTGGTCGCACCTAGGCAGATGGCGGCGCATGCTGGTCGCACCTAGGCAGATGGCGGCGCATGCTGGTCGCACCTAGGCAGATGGCGACGCATGCTGGTCGCACCTAGGCAGATGGCGACGCATGCTGGTCGCACCTAGGCAGATGGGGGCGCATGCTGGTCGCACCTAGCAGATGGCGGCGCATGCTGGTCGCACCTAGGCAGATGGCGGCGCATGCTGGTCGCACCTAGGCAGATGGCGGCGCATGCTCCGGAGTGCGCGAGCGTGAAGAGCAGGTCCTTGGCCGCCACGATCTCCACGATTCGCGATCGCCGCTTCAGAAACGCCAGCCGCTCCAAGTGCACGGCTTTCGCGTCGAACGTGTCGTACTCGCCCTGCACGCACAGCACGGCAGCAGCACAGCACGGGTCGATGCGAGAGAATTACGCGATTCATGCGCAGTGCTCGCCGAAGGAGGCAAAGTGAGGCAAGAGAGGGCATGCAGGAAGGAGCTGACTGCGACGAGGTAGTTATCAACGAAAGTCTTCGTCGACAGGTTCCGGGCTGGGAGACGAGGCGGCGCGCACACCTGCAGGCTGAAGTTCCGGAACTTCTCCTCCGAGCTGGCGCGCTTGAACGCCCAGTTCCCTCTCGCGCTCACTTCTCGCCGCGCTAGCTTCCGCAGCGAGCTCGCTCGCCCCTCCTGCGACGGCCGCCCGCCTGCGTGGACCCGCTTGATGGCGGGCTGGCTGCTCTGACCTATTCTCCCTTGCCCGGGGCCACTCCTATAGTCCATACCGATGACCCGGACGTACAAATCACCTCAAGATAAAAGCGCGGAACACACCAGGCTCATCGCTGAAACGGAGTCCTTGCTAAGCGGTATGCCGCGCGTGAACTTGTCTCGCAGTCTGCTCCGCTAACATAGATAGCAGGTTGTTCCGTCAGAGGAGCTGCTTCTCTGTAGTGAGATGTTATCTTGTTCCCCTGTGTGACTCCTGTGTGTATTGGTATTGGTGCAGCATGGTTTGCCCGAGGAGGAAAGACCTTTCAGGCAGCATCCCGCAACTCCCGCCCCTCAAGTTCCATCTTGCCCCTTGGATAGGTTCGACGACAGACGACCCTCCGATTTGGGGGTCCGCTTACTTTCACAATCCAACGGCGGTGACACTACTTCGGCAATAGGGTCAGATTGAGGCGTGTAACATTTAGGCCAGAAAAATGGTGTGACGCTATACCCCTTATGATTAGGATAGAATCGATGGAAACATGCAGTGTGACTCACAAAAATAAGCGTTTCCAAATTTTAAATTACACACTATGGTACTGATAAATGTCAGTTTTTTTATATAAAAAAATCAAGTTGGACCCACCGTATATATTATAGCTTGGGGCCTTAAATTTTTAATTTATGAGTGCTAAGATTTTGTGGAATAGCGCCAATATCTCCCATTTTGTGCCCAAATCTCATCAATGCTTTCTAATTGTTTTGCTGCTTTCTTGGCATGTGTACTTATGACGGGCATCGAGTTCCGTATAGCTCTGGCATTGTTGGGACAAATCGAACATGTTCTAGGAGGACACTCTATGTGGTGAGGCGAGGTTCTCTGATCGGTTGGTTCGTCTTGGCGGGCTCGAAGCAAACCTCCCATCCATGGCTGGCCTGCTTCGCGCCTCACAACAGGTTCGGGCGAGCCTAAGCCGAGCCTGAGAGTGTTTTTTGGGACCAGCCAGGGACCAGAAGTTCAGAGAGCTGGGCTCTTCATCGCCTCGGTGTTGCTACTTGTTTGGCTCGCTCGCCGCGCCACACACCCCAAGAACCGAAAGCAAATCAAGCTGTGACGTCACTTCACGGAGCGTGGAGCATTAGCCGCCACCTTTCAGTAACACGAAGGCGAAGACGAAGGCGAAGGCGAGTTTCTCTTATCGCCCCGTGTTAGTCCAGCTTCAGCGTCACTCTTAGCGTTTCGACGTTTCGTGGCCGTCCTCGGTGTCGCGCATTGCGCCGTCATTGAGTACACAGGCAGTCGACGGAAGAGCGTACGAGCCCGCGCACCGTGTCCTCACCTCAGCGCTTGTCCGACCGCCAACGGCTGGCCGAGTCGAGGGCTCGCGCGGCGCAGCATGGACTCGCCCATGGCGGCGGCCACGGGGCGCCAGAGATCATCCGCCGTCAAGATGGTGCTGGCGGCGCTCTTTGTCGCCGTCTGCATGTTCGTGTTTCAATCTAGAGATGCCACTCCCGTGCAGGTGCGGCGGTTACAGTCGCTCAGCTATCAGTGTCTGCAAGCGCACGTGCCTCATGGATGGGGGCGCGCTGGTGCGTGGCATGGCGTCGTGTTTGAACTTGTGTTGAATCGCCACCTCCCCTTACCCCCGCCCAAGCCGCCGCCTGCATCTGCTCGTCGCCTAACTGTGCGCTTGTCCCTCTTTTCCGCCCCTTGCTGTGTGCCGCCCCTCTTTCCTCTGCGTGTGCCCTGCGTGCGTGCGTGTGGCGGGAGTCAGTTCCGCGTGCGCGAGGCGGGCGTGAAGCACGTGCTGGTGACGGGCGGCGCGGGGTTCATCGGCTCGCACGCGACGCTGCACCTCCTCACGTCTGGCCACCGCGTCACCATCGTCGTGAGTAGCGTCACCATCGTCGTGAGTAGCGTCGCCATCGTCGTGAGTACCGTCGCCATCGTCGTGAGTAGCGTCGCCATCGTCGTGAGTAGCGTCGCCATCGTCGTGAGTAGCGTCGCCATATTTGTGAGTACGTCGCCATCGTCGTGAGTAGCGTCACCATTGTCGTGAGTAGCGGCGCCACCGCCGTGAGTAGCACAGGCATCGTGCAGTGCGAGCATCTTATGAGCAAAGAAGGTGCCCAAGGAGCAGCGCCAAGTGCCGCTGCCTCTTTGAGGATAATGAAAGGGCTTAGGATGACATAGTAGCCGTTGCGGGCACTGTGCATGAAGAGTGACTGGCGCGCACATGGCACGCTCCTGCCATCCGCCGTCTCACCCTCGGCCGTCCCATGAAAGCCCACAGTCTCCTGCGCCTCCACTCTCCCATCCCCTACTCCCCACTTCAGCGCCACCCCGCCTCCCCCGTGCCCGCCTCCTCACTCTCTTCCCTCTCTCCTCGCATTCCCCTCCGCCTCTGCGTGTGTGTGTGCGAGTGGCCTTACATGGGCACGGTAGGACAATCTGTCGCGGGGCAACTGGGGCGCGGTGCAGGTGCTGCAGCGCATAGCGCCGGAGGGGCGCCTGCAGTTCATCAATGCGGACCTGGGGGACCCGCGCAAGGTCGGCTCCACGCATGCATGCATGCATGCTTTAGTGCACTGCCACGTGCCATGCACGCCAATCCCACACACCGTTTTGTCGCATCGATCTACTCGCTCAAAAAGCACTCCTCTCACCCCTCACCGCTTAAGCACCGCCCGTGTCCCCCCGACGTGATGCGGCCATGCGGGCGTGCAGGTGGAGGCGGTGTTGGCGGGCAACGCCATTGACATCGTCATGCACTTCGCCGCCGTGGCGTATGTCGGGGAGAGCATGCAGGAGCCGCTCAGGTGAGCATGCAGGAGCCTCTCAGGTGAGCATGCAGGAGCCGCTCAGGTGAGCATGCAGAGGAGCCGCTCAGGTGAGCATGCAGAGGAGCCGCTCAGGTGAGCATGCAGGAGCCCTCAGGTGAGCATGCAGGAGCCCTCAGGTGAGCATGCAGGAGCCCTCAGGTGAGCATGCAGGAGCCCTCAGGTGAGCATGCAGGAGCCGCTCAGGTGGGCATGGATGGAGGAGGTAAGTATAGGAGGGGATGTGGCATGTGGAGGGGGGATGTGGCATGTGGAGGGGGGATGTGGCATCTGAGGGGGGATGTGGCATCTGAGGGGGGATGTGGTATGCTTCTCAGGAAGGCAATCTGTTACATGCATCCCGCTTCCACCCCCCCCCCCCTCTCTCCCCTCTCTATTTGCTCGTGTATTTTTCGTAACCCTGTCCTTCATTGCTTACTGTATTGCGGCTGTCGCACACATATGGGGCACGTGGCACGTGGCACGTGCGTGCATGACGTGCATGGCGGGGTGGCATGGCATGATGGCGGCAGGTACTACCACAACGTGACGGCCAACACGCTGACGCTGGTGGAGGCCATGGGGCGGCACGGCGTGACGCAGCTCATCTACAGCAGCACGTGCGCCACCTATGGCGAGCCCAAGAGCATGCCCATCACAGAGGACACGGTGCAGGTGCCCATCACACATAGCCACCTGTCTGGCACGCCCCTCTGCAGCTTCTTGAGCACGGCGAAGCAGAGCAGGTGCCGCGTGTTGATGCCCCACCCCCCCCCCCCCCCCTCCGTCGTGCAGGTGCCCATCAACCCGTACGGCAAGTCCAAGAAGATGGCGGAGGACGTCATCCTCGACTACGCGCGCGCCAACCCCCAACTCGCCGCCACCATCCTCAGGTGCCCCAACTCGCCGCCACCATCCTCAGGTGCCCCAACTCGCCGCCACCATCCTCAGGTGCCCCAACTCGCCGCCACCATCCTCAGGTGCCCCAACTCGCTGCCACCATCCTCAGGTGACCCAACTCGCCGCCACCATCCTCAGGTGCCCCAACTCGCCGCCACCATCCTCAGGTGCCCCAACTCGCCGCCACCATCCTCAGGTGCCCCAACTCGCCGCCACCATCCTCAGGTGCCCCAACTCGCCGCCACCATCCTCAGGTGCCCCGACTCGCTTTGTGCGTGCTCTTTGCCACATGAGGTATCTCTGCCATGTGGGTTGCTGCGAGATGTTCCACCCACATGTACATCACATGCGCGCTACTGCACCACTGGTGGCCGTTCCTTTCCTCCTGTCGCCCACCACCATCCACTCCACAACACTTTGCACCCCCCTCCCCCCCCCAGGTACTTCAACGTGATCGGGTCGGACCCCAGTGGGCGGCTGGGCGAGGCCCCCCGGCCGGAGCTGCGGCACCACGGGCGCATCACAGGGGCGTGCTTCGACGCCGCCATGGGCAAGATAGAGGGGCTCAAGGTGGGCTTCCATGGGCAAGATAGAGGGGCTCAAGGTGGGCTTCCATGGGCAAGATAGAGAGGCTCAAGGTGGGCTGCCATGGGCAAGATAGAGGAGCTCAAGGTGGGCTTCCATGGGCAAGATAAGGGGCTCAAGGTGGGCTGCCATGGGCAAGAAGATGTGTGCGGTTGACTTGAGATGCATCCATGGCTGCTGTGTGCTCTGTGAGGGGTCTTCACTGTGGCGCACAGACTGACGCTCTTGCTTGCACTCAGCGCATCCCCTCCCCTCCCACACGGTGCTGCGTGCGGGCAGGTGATGGGCACGGACTACCCCACGGCGGACGGCACATGCATCCGCGACTACATCCACGTCACGGACCTCGTGAACGCGCACGTGGTGGCCATGAACCACCTCACGCCCGGCACCGTCAACATCTACAACGTCGGCACCGGCAAAGGTGCTCTTGCCATACGCACAAATGCTGCTTGAATTAAACTGGCGCCACTCCCTGTTTTTTGCTGCACAAGGCCCTTCATACCTGTCTTGGCTGTTGGGCAAAACTGTTGTGCTCATTCCTCCAACTCTCCCTCCATTTGACGCCCTTGCACGCCATTGCACGCCAGGCTACTCGGTGCGTGAGTTTGTGAACGCGTGTCTGAACGTCACGGGGGCGCCCATCAAGGTGATCGAGCAGAAGAGCCGGCGGCCGGGGGACTACGCGGAGGTGTTCAGCGACCCGTCCAAGATCTACCGCGAGCTAGGGTGGAAGGCCAAGTACGTGGACCTCAGGGAGTCCCTCTCCATGGCGTGGCGCTGGCGCCGCCTCCACCCCGATGGCTACTGACCGCAGCTGAACGCTGCAAGCTAAGAATCTACAAATTAGGGTGCATTCACTCTGCGAAAGTGTGTTCGTTTATAAGAATAAGCATTTGTTATTGATATTTCGGCCTAAGCATACATGTGTGGAAGACGCAGGAGCTAGTGCTGTAGTTATATCATCTGAGAGCTCTGACACAATCACTCGCCTCCCCAGTTTCCCGCCAGAGTAGCTCCATGGCGATGATCCAGTCAAACCTCGAGAAGCAGCACCGATCTGCGCCCAGCGTCCACCCAATGCAGCGATCCGTTACGCGCAGATCTTTGACCACCCAGTCGCCGCACTCCGCCACCCACGCCACGCCCATCTGCTTGTACTCCGCCCGCCGCTCCTCTAGCCCGCTATCGCCGGCTCCTCGATTCTCGCGTCTCACTGTCGCCGGCTCCACCACGCGACTCTCATGGCGACGCCTGTCGTTGTCGCTGGTGAGTCGCCCGTCGCCGCATTGTCTCCCTCCCTGCAGCTTAGCCATGCTCCAAAATACCAGGATCAGAAATACGGAGTAGGTATACAGTAGGTACGGCATAGGTACGTCTGCTACGGAGTAGCCTTGCTATACGAACAACTATACCTACAATATAGGAGAGATCCACATTTTTGTGACGCCGTGACTCCTGCCTGCCGTGACTCCAGTCGCCCGTGCCCGCTTTGCTCTGCGATCTGTGCGTCTAACCGCCCCCTATCCACGTGACTTGCCGTCTGCTCCCTGTGCTGCTCGTGTTGACCACTGGCTCGCCGACTGCCGGCGCTTGTGTGCATTCCCACGCGTCGTGCCGTGCCGTGGCCATTCCGCGCGCGCAGAGCGGGAGCTTCGGGAGTACCTGCAGGTGGCGGTGGCGGCTGCTCGCCAGGCGGGAGAGGTGCGTGCGATGCGCCGCCTTGCACGGCTGGGATCGCTCGTGCAGTGCCGCGCGCGTGGATTGCATTCCGCGTGCACGACAGCACATGATGGCGCGTCGTCACACTGATGCACGCGCCACGTAACACGCAACACATCCTAATGCCCCCACTCGCATGGCACATCCCAATCTCTCTCTCTCTGCCTCTCACACGCCCTTGCCCGCCACTGGTTCGTCGTGTCAGCCACAGAAGCATCTCTTGCGATTTCGCTCTCAAAACACTCCTGTCCTGTCCCGTCTGCTCCGCCCGTCCATGCCTCCCTTCTATTCCTCCATGCACCCTATTGCCCATCGGCCATGCGTGCATACGTGTCACCAGGTGATTCGCAGCAGCTTCCACGCGCCAAAGGACGTGCAGCACAAGGGCAAGGTGAGCAGCGCAGCGCAAGGTTAAGGTGAGGCCGGGGGGAGGGTGGGGCCATATGTGGCAACATGAGGTGATCAAGGCATGCAGACATGAAGTGTCTTTCTTCTAAACCTCCCCCTCGGCTCCCTCTCCCACTCTTCCTCTCTCAAGCGCTCCTCCTCCTCTCTCCATCTCTCCCCCTCTCTCCATCTCTCCCCCTCTCTCCATCTCTCCTCCTCTCAACAATCCCAACTGGACGCCACTAGGTCGACCTGGTCACGGAAACGGACAAGCAATGCGAGGCACTCATCCTGCAGCACATCTCAGCGGCTTTCCCCTCCCACAAGGCAAGCTTGGGTCGGATTTGGGGATAGACGGTTTCTGAGTGGCGCAGCTGCTTGGTAGCACGGCATGGGAAGGGGCATGCTGACATCTCCTTTGTCAGCATGTCCCTCTGCCGCCTGGCCCTTTTCCCTCCCTCTCTGCTGCTTGCCATGCCACTATGGCAGTTCATCGGCGAGGAGGCGTCGGCGGTGGGGGGCACGGCGGGGCTGACGGACGACCCCACGTGGATGGTGGACCCCCTGGACGGCACCACCAACTTCGTGCACCGGTGGGTGGCGCTGCATGCACTTGTGCGGGTGGCGCTGCATGCACTTGTGCGGGTGGCGCTGCATGCACTTGTGCGGGTGGCGCTGCATGCACTTGTGCGGGTGGCGCTGCATGCACTTGTGCGGGTGGCGCTGCATGCACTTGTGCGGGTGGGGCTGCATGCACTTGTGCGGGTGGGGCTACATGCACTTGTGCGGGTGGGGCTACATGCACTTGTGCGGGTGGGGATTGGGCACTGTGGGTGGGGCTGGACCCGAGCGGGTAGGGTGGGAAGCGGATTGCTTGCTTTCACAGTGGCATCCGTCCAGCTGCTTGCATTGTGCCGACCGGCTGCTTGCAACGTGCCGGGTAAACAGCCCTCCCTCCATGTGCATGGCCCGCCTTTAAGATTGCACTCACCTGTCCATGTGGCGCTGCCTGCCTGGCCGGTGTGAGCAGGTACCCGTTCGTGTGTGTGTCCATCGGGCTGGCCGTCAGCAAGAGCGTGGTGGTGGGGGTGGTGTTCAACCCCATCCTCAACGAGGCACGTCCGTGCTAACCACCAACCACGCCCATGCGCCTCTTAACCACGCCTATCACCCGCATCCCCTTACCTGCCCTCACCACTGCTCTGCCTTCACCACTGCTCTGCCCTCACCACTGCTCTGCCCTCACCACTGCTCTGCCCTCACCACCATTGCTCTGCCCTCACCACCATTGCTCTGCCCTCACCACCATTGCTCTGCCCTCACCACCATTGCTCTGCCCTCACCACCATTGCTCTGCCCTCACCACCATTGCTCTGCCCTCACCACCATTGCTCTGCCCTCACCACCATTGCTCTGCCCTCACCACCATTGCTCTGCCCTCACCACCATTGCTCTGCCCTCACCACCATTGCTCTGCCCTCACCACCACTGCTCTGCCCTCACCACCATTGCTCTGCCCTCACCACCATTGCTCTGCCCTCACCACCATTGCTCTGCCCTCACCACCATTGCTCTGCCCTCACCACCATTGATCTGCCCTCACCACCATTGCTCTGCCCTCACCACCATTGCTCTGCCCTCACCACCACTGCTCTGCCCTCACCACCATTGCTCTGCCCTCACCACCATTGCTCTGCCCTCACCACCATTGCTCTGCCCTCACCACCATTGCTCTGCCCTCACCACCATTGCTCTGCCCCCACCACCATTGCTCTGCCCTCACCACCATTGCTCTGCCCTCACCACCATTGCTCTGCCCTCACCACCATTGCTCTGCCCTCACCACCATTGCTCTGCCCTCACCACCATTGCTCTGCCCTCACCACCATTGCTCTGCCCTCACCACCATTGCTCTGCCCTCACCACCATTGCTCTGCCCTCACCACCATTGCTCTGCCCTCACCACCATTGCTCTGCCCTCACCACCATTGCTCTGCCCTCACCACCATTGCTCTGCCCTCACCACCATTGCTCTGCCCTCACCACCATTGCTCTGCCCTCACCACCATTGCTCTGCCCTCACCACCATTGCTCTGCCCTCACCACCATTGCTCTGCCCTCACCACCATTGCTCTGCCCTCACCACCATTGCTCTGCCCTCACCACCATTGCTCTGCCCTCACCACCATTGCTCTGCCCTCACCACCATTGCTCTGCCAAGGACATGTGCTCCCCAATTCCCGCACTCATCCCTCCGCCCATCTTTCTCTGCTCATCTCCAACCCCACCCATTCCCATGCTTTATTTCCCGTGGCCCTTGCCCCATCCCATGCCCCGCCCCGCACCCCCTGTCCCATGCGCAGATGTTCACGGCCATGAGAGGCCATGGCGCCATGCTCAACGACCAGCCCATTCGTGGTGGGCACGCCATGCTGCCATTGCCCACTCTTCTTCATGCAGCTCATTCGTTCACCTCTCCTACCTTCTTGCCCACTAAACTTCTTGCACCCAAACTGCCACGTCATGCGTCGTCTATCCTCCATCCTCTCCTTCCCCACATTCGTCTCCCACTTCCCTCTATTCCCTTGTGCTGTTCCTTCTCCTCTCACCCCTGCCGGTCCTCATTCCTTCCCCTCTCACCCCTGCCGGTCCTCATTCCTTCCCCTCTCACCCCTGCCGGTCCTCATTCCTTCCCCTCTCACCCCTGCCGGTCCTCATTCCTTCCCCTCTCACCCCTGCCGGTCCTCATTCCTTCCCCTCTCACCCCTGCCGGTCCTCATTCCTTCCCCTCTCACCCCTGCCGGTCCTCATTCCTTCCCCTCTCACCCCTGCCGGTCCTCATTCCTTCCCCTCTCACCCCTGCCGGTCCTCATTCCTTCCCCTCTCACCCCTGCCGGTCCTCATTCCTTCCCCTCTCACCCCTGCCGGTCCTCATTCCTTCCCCTCTCACCCCTGCCGGTCCTCATTCCTTCCCCTCTCACCCCTGCCGGTCCTCATTCCTTCCCCTCTCACCCCTGCCGGTCCTCATTCCTTCCCCTCTCACCCCTGCCGGTCCTCATTCCTTCCCCTCTCACCCCTGCCGGTCCTCATTCCTTCCCCTCTCACCCCTGCCGGTCCTCATTCCTTCCCCTCTCACCCCTGCCGGTCCTCATTCCTTCCCCTCTCACCCCTGCCGGTCCTCATTCCTTCCCCTCTCACCCCTGCCGGTCCTCATTCCTTCCCCTCTCACCCCTGCCGGTCCTCATTCCTTCCCCTCTCACCCCTGCCGGTCCTCATTCCTTCCCCTCTCACCCCTGCCGGTCCTCATTCCTTCCCCTCTCACCCCTGCCGGTCCTCATTCCTTCCCCTCTCACCCCTGCCGGTCCTCATTCCTTCCCCTCTCACCCCTGCCGGTCCTCATTCCTTCCCCTCTCACCCCTGCCGGTCCTCATTCCTTCCCCTCTCACCCCTGCCGGTCCTCATTCCTTCCCCTCTCACCCCTGCCGGTCCTCATTCCTTCCCCTCTCACCCCTGCCGGTCCTCATTCCTTCCCCTCTCACCCCTGCCGGTCCTCATTCCTTCCCCTCTCACCCCTGCCGGTCCTCATTCCTTCCCCTCTCACCCCTGCCGGTCCCCATTCCTTCCCCTGTTGCCTCCATCCCCCCCTGCATGTTGCCTCCATCCCCCCCTGTTGCCCCTGCATGTGCCGCTGCTCCTATTCGCCCTGCTGCCACCCCTGGCAGCATCCTCCCAAGCGGACATCGGATCGGCGCTGCTCGCCACTGAGGTCAGCCCTGCCATGAACCCTGTCTCCCTGTCTCCCATGCTCACATGCTCACATGCTCACATGCACCCATGCTCACATGCTCACATGCTCACATGCACCCATGCTCACATGCTCACATGCACCCATGCATCCATGCACACATGCTCACATCCGCCCATGCACACATGCACACATGCGCACATGCACCCATGCACACATGCACACATGCACACATGCACACATGCACCCATGCACCCATGCACCCATGCACCCATGCACCCATGGACCCATGGACCCCACATGCACACATGCACACATGCACCCATGCAAACATGCTCACATGCACACATGCACACATGCACACATGCACACATGCTCACATGCACCCATGCACACATGCTCACATGCACACATGCACACATGCTCACATGCACCCATGCACCCATGCACACATGCTCACATGCGCCCATGCACACATGCACACATGCGCAGATGCACGCATGCACCCATGCACACATGCTCACATGCACCCATGCACCCATGCACCCATGCACCCATGCACCCAGGCACACATGCACACATGCACCCATGCACCCATGCACCCATGCACCCATGCAACCATGCACCCATGCACCCATGCACCCATGCACCCATGCACCCATGCAACCATGCACCCATGCACCCATGCACACATGCACGCATGCACCCATGCACCCATGCTCACGTGCACCCATGCACACATGCTCACATCCACCCACGCACACATGCACACATGCACCCATGTACCCATGCTACTTGGCTCACATGCACCCATGTACCCATGCTACTTGGCTCACATGCACCCATGAATATCCACACGCGCTCAACCGCTCGTCTGCATGCCCTCCACTGTTGCCTATCGTGCCCTCCTCATTCCTCCTCCCTGCCCCCCCTGCCACGCGGCATCAGATCGGCACCAAGAGGGACTCTGCCACGGTGGGCGGCATCACGGCGCGCATCGCCCACCTGCTCTTCAAGGCACGCCCCCATGCCACCCTCCCCCAGTCCGCCATTCCCCTTCTCCCTCCCACCATCCTCTCTCCCCTCTCTCTCCATGCTCACCTCTGTGTGTCCACTGCACTCCACTTTGCCTCCACTTATGTATCCCCCTCTCCCCTTACCTCCTCTCCCCCCACCCCCATGCGGTCAGGTGCGCTCCTTGCGCATGTCCGGGTCGTGTGCGCTGAACCTGGTGGGCGTGGCATGTGGCCGCCTCGACCTCTTCTATGAGATCGGATTCGGAGGGCCCTGGTGGGTGGGGGGTGCTCTGGGGGGTGGCAGAGAGGTGCGGGTGGGTGGGGTGTGGAAGGTTTGGCTGCTGTAGCGGTGGGTCTTGTGAAGGCTGCCTTGAAGGGGAGGGCATGTTTCATTTGGGCCATACACAGTGGCGGGTGGTTGACTGCAGGACTAACAGGCATTTGCCATCAGCTGGCGCCTCTGTGCTCTGTCGTCTTTGCCAGCAATTCAAACTGTCCTACTCATCCCCTCCCATGCCCCCGTGTTGTACTCTCCAGGGACGTTGCAGCGGGGTCTCTAATTTTGGAGGAGGCCGGCGGCCTCTGCTTCGACCCGTGAGTGCCTGCTGCTGCTGCTGCTGCTGCTGCTGCTGCTGCTTCTGCCTTGGCATTTCGTTATCAGTGATGTGCAACGTGAAACCCAACCCAAGCGCAAGTCCTGGTATCAACTCAATTCTGCAATCCATGTGTCCCTTCCATAACACGAACCTATTGCTTTCTCTTACATTTCAGGAGCGGTGGGCCCTTTGACGTGATGGCGTGTCGAGTGGCAGCCTCGAATGGCCATCTTAGGACGCCGTTTGTAGAGGCATTGGCTTGTGATGCAATTGCGAATGGCCAAACATGAGATGAGGTAGGGTAGGCTTATCGTAATTTGTAGTGATATGGTATCATAACTTAGTCATTATAAGTGGTCTTCACACGGCTTCTACCGCATTCACTCCATCTCTTCAGACGATCGTTTCGCCTCAGCTTCTGCGAAGTTCGTCATTCCGTGTCAGTCATTGACGAACATCGCCACACGACCCTGTGAAATTCGCAAAGTCGCTCCCTTCGTACGTGAATTGCCTGGCTGATTCTTTTTGCTCCCCTCCCCGCCTATTTCTCCCTCCCACCGCCCCCCATTCCTCCACGTGCTTTCTTTTCCATTCACGCTCGCCCACGTGGCCTCCACGTGATCCGCCAGCCGCCACACGAGTCGTTCGTCGTTAATCGCCGAACTTAGCCGTTTTTCTATTTTCGAGATGGCGGCACCGATGGCAAGGCTTGGGCGGCGCGTTGTCTCCCGCGCAGCACCGTGGCTGGCGGAGGCTTCCCCCCTTGGCGGCGCTGGCTCTGCCACGCGACAGCTTTCGAGCGTCGCTGGCGGCGCTGCGACGGCGGAGGGCCATGCGACGTCGAGCGAGTTGATTGCGATGGAGGAGAAGAGCAGCGCGCACAAGTGAGCGACGAGCGAGCGACGGCGTTGTTGAGGAGGTGGCAGCTGCAGGGGAATGCCGTGCAGCAGGGGAATGCAGTCTAGATTGTGCGCCGCACGAGTTAGGGATTGCTCTCCGCCTCCAACCTCTCTTCTCCTCACCTCCGTCCTCCTCATCTCCCTTCCGCCCGTCCTCCAAACATCCTCGCCCGCCTCCCCCCCTCCCCCCTCCCCCAGCTACCATCCGCTGCCCGTGGTTTTCGCGGAGGCGCACGGCGCGCGCATCACGGACCCCGAGGGGCGGCAGTACCTCGACTTCCTCTCCGCCTACTCCGCCGTCAACCAGGTGCGGGGGGAGGGGGTGCGGGGAGGAGGGGAGAGGTGGGCAGGCGCCGAGGGCAGGGCGGGAAACTCGTCATTGGACGGGCGGGCATGGGAATGGTGCGGCGAGTGCGGCGCACGGGAGGGCATCAGTAGCGTTCGAATGGCATCTCGGCCCATGCCTCATCACTCCCACTCCCCCCCCCCTCCCCTCCCCCTCCGCGCAGGGCCACGGCAACGCGCACATCCTGGCGGCGTTGCAGCAGCAGGCGGCGCGCTGCACGCTGTCGTCACGCGCCTTCCACAACGACCGCTTCCCGCTGTTCGCGCGGCGCGTGACGCAGCTGCTGGGGTACGACAAGGTGCTGCCCATGAACACCGGCGCCGAGGGCGTCGAGACCGCGCTCAAACTCGCGCGCAAGTGGGCCTACGAGAAGAAGGGCGTGCCCGCCGACCAGGTGCGGGGGGGGGAGGGGGGGGGAGAGGTGGCGTGTGAGAGGAATGGGGGCCGTTGTGGCGTGCGGGGTGTTGGGAGGATGAGGGGGGCGTGGCGGATGTACGGCCGGCACAGCATGCAATGCGTGCCATGCCCCGTCCCCTGCCATGCCGCTCCACCCACATCCACCCCTCGCCCGCCCCCCCTCCAGGCGCTCATCATCTCGTGCTGCGGGTGCTTCCACGGGCGCACCCTAGCAGCCATCAGCATGTCGTGCGACAACGACGCCACCAGGGGCTTCGGCCCGCTGCTGCCGGGCATGCTCAAGGTCGACTTCGGGGACGTGGCGGGCTTGAAGCGCCTGCTGGACGGTGAGAGGGGAGTCCAGTTCTTGGGGACAGGGGGCTGGAGGTTGGGGCGTGTGGAAGCATGGAGGATGCCCCTGCGACTGACGCGTGTTCACAAGCCATCCACATCGTCTCATCACCATGCCGCTCCGCCATGGCGCTCCGCCATGGCGCTGCCCCACCCTGCAACGCCCCTGCCTACCCCCCCTTCCCCCACTCCTCCCTCCTCTCCCGCCAGAGCACGGCCCCCGCGTGGCGGCGTTCATAGTGGAGCCAATTCAGGGCGAGGCGGGCGTGGTGGTGCCGCCCGAAGGGTACCTGCGGGCGGCGAGGGAGCTGTGCTCGGCGCACAATGTGCTGCTGGTGGCGGACGAGATCCAGACGGGGCTCGCCCGCACCGGCAGGATGCTCGCCTGCGACCATGAGGGCGTGCGCCCCGACGTGCTGGTGGGTGGTGCCGTGGTGCTTGTGTCCTTGCTTCTGCTGTGCTGGATTGCCCATGCCTACACTCTCTTCCGCGCCCCTCAATGCGCGTCGCCCATGTCTTCCCCCTGCCGCCCTCCCCCTCATCAGATCCTGGGCAAGGCGCTGGGCGGGGGCGTGGTGCCAGTGAGCGCAGTGCTGGCGGACGACCATGTCATGGGGTGCATCCGACCAGGCGAGCACGGCAGGTGCGCTGGGGAGAGGGGCCACCAGTGGGGGCTGGGGAATGGGATGAGGCGTGATGGCTGGGCAATGAGACGTGACGGCTGGTGCAGGGTGTGCAGCTTGCTGTGATGCTCGCATGTCATTGAATGATGCATGCGTGCCCATGAGGCGCCTCAAAAGCCCTCTCAGTCCATGTGCGCCCATGTTTGACCTTCCACACCTCATTGCCCTCCGTGCCCTTCTCTCCACTGCCCCCCACCGCCGTTCTGCCTCCAAGCGCCTCAAAGCACATCTATCCACCCCCCCCTTCCCCCCGTTCTTCTCCCCCCCCCCCCTCCCTTCTCTCAGCACCTTTGGCGGCAACCCCTTGGCGTCAGCAGTGGCGCTGGCGGCGCTGGAGGCCATTCATGAGGGCGGGCTGGCGGACAGGTGGGGGGCGGAGGGATGGGGGGGTGGTTGGATGGGCAGCTCGTGCAGAGTAATGGGGGAGAGAGAAGGTGCAGTGAGGTTGAGCGGGAAGGGGAGAAGAACATCCTGTGCCTTGACGGAATCTCCTCCCACATGCCTCACTGCCCTTGCCTGTGCCATCACATGACGTCATCATGCAACTTCTCCCCGCCCTCTCGTCTCGTCGCCTTCCCCAAAGTCGCCCATGCCGCCTCATTCTCACCCCAATTTTCACCCACCCAACCCCCTCCCCCTCTCCCCCCCCAGGGCTGAGCGGCTGGGGCAGCAGCTGCAGGAGCAGCTGCGGGGCGTGCAGGCAGCGTTCCCCCAGATGATCCACGAGGTGCGGGGGCGCGGGCTGCTGGTGGCCGTGCAGATGGCGGAAGGGGGCCTGCCCGGGGGCGTGACGGCGCTGGACGTGTGTGTGGCGATGAAGGAGAGGGGCGTGCTGGCCAAGCCCACACACAACACCATCATCCGCCTCGCGCCGCCCCTCACCATCCAGTGCGCGCCTCCCCGCCCTCACCCCTGCAGCCCCTCACCCCCTCACCCCCTCACCCCCTCACCCCTGCGCTCTCCATTCCTTGTTCTCCTGCATTCCCTCTGCTCTCAGCCCGCCCTTCCTCATCTAGCCCCATGTTCTGCCCCTTCCTTTCCCCCCTCCCCCCCCTGTGTCTGCATGGCAGGGAGGAGGACCTGTCCCAGGCGGCGGCAGCGCTGCAGGCGGTGCTGGGGGAGGACATGCCGCGCCTCGTGGCGCAGGCTGCTGCCAGCGGTGCCCACAAGCGGGCGGGCAGCAAGGACCCGTGCGACCGCTGTGGCCGCGTGCGGTGATAGGAGGGATGGGGGGATGGAGGGATGGGGGGATGGAGGGATGGGGGGATGGAGGGATGGGGGGATGGAGGGATGGGGGGATGGAGGGATGGGGGGATGGAGGGATGGGGGGATGGAGGGATGGGGGGATGGAGGGATGGGGGGATGGAGGGATGGGGGGTTGGAGGGATGGGGGGATGGGGGAATGGGGGGGATGGGGGGGATGGAGGGATGGAGGAAGGGGGAAGGCATGGCCGGCACGTAGATGGGGATGGTGCTGTGCTGTGATGGGCTGGTGTGGTGGACGTGATATGCTGATAAGCTACGTGGTGGCACGCCTGTTGCCATCAATTTTGACGTCGTGTGTTTATCCAGCGAGGGTTCCTAGGCACAGGTTTCCTTGTGTCAGAGCATGGCATGGCAGCATCACGCTCCGGGTATCTGGAAGTACACTTGAGCGTGGCATGGCAATACATGGCAATACTTGCATGAGCTATCAGAGTCAGAACCATACCTGGCTATAGCTGCACCTCTAACGAGAAACAATCACGAGCATTATCTAGATGTCAAGGTGTTTTGCTTGTAACGTTGTAGCGACTATGTACCAGATCACTCTAAGCAGTAGGGAGGTAAGGATTACAGAGAGGTCCAATCCGTGAGCACAGTGGAGAAGATGCAGCGCTGTGAGAGGCGGTCCAGGGGTGGTGGATGTGTGGTGGGAGAGTGACCTGCGCAGCATTCCACAGGCATTGCTGCTGCCGCCGCCCATCACTGCCCAGTAAGGCGCGCCAGAGGCTGCCGCCTCCCTGCTGCCGCTGTGGCAGTACCACCCTTGCCGGCCTTCCCCCCCACACCCTCATTCTCACCTGCCCTCTGCTCCCCCGCCCCCCCTCTCCCTGCTGCTTTGCCCTTTGCGCTGCTGCCACTGTCCTCATCACTCCCACTCCCACTCTCACCCCAGCCCTCGCCCTCACCCTCACCCTCACTCTCACTCTCATCCAGCACAAATCGCCTCCTTGGCCCGGCAGCAGTGCGGGCGGGCAGCATGGCAGCAGGGAGGGGGGAGGGCGAGGGCTGCACCAGGTCGTCACTCAGCGCGGATGCGAAGGACGTGCTCTCACTGCCCACTGATGCAGCAGGGGAGGCGCCACTGCTGCCAGCTGATGGCGCGGGGGAGGCGCCACCACTAGCAGCTGATGGAGCAGGGGAGGCACCAACGCTGCCAGCTGACGCAGCGGGGGACACGCTCTTGCGCTGTGCTGCTGGGCCCACACTGGGGCTGTCAGCCTGCACCCCTGCCGCCATGGCCGTGCTCTGATCCACGGAGATCACCTCCGCCTCCTCCTTGGGCGCCACATGCATGCGCACGGGCCTGCTGTGCGCCACCTGCACCACCTGCACCACGTCCTGGCTGTCATCGTCATCCGTGGAGATGGAAATGGGGATGGGCGACGCGCTGCTGCTGCTGCTGCCGCTCCTACGCCTCCTCACAGCTTCCAGCACCGACGACACCCGTTGCGATCCACGCCTCTGTGCTGAGGCCCGCCTGCCCCCCCCCCTCCTGCTGGATGACGCCAGGTACTCCTCCTCGCTCTCACTCTCACTCCCATAATCCTCACTCCCACTCTCACTTCCCCCCTCATCCCCACTGCTGTGCGCCTCAGGTGCCACATATGCAGACCTGTTCGGCCCCTCACTGCCTATGTGCTCCCCACCCTCCTCTGCACCCACTCCCGCGCTCTCCCCTGCACCAGCTGCTGCCTCCTCTACCACCCGCTTGCCTGCGCTGCTGGTGCCGTCCCCCCCCAGCTGCTGCTTCAGGAGGCTGTTGGCCCGCTCCTTGGACTGCCGGGATGGCCGCTGTGGGCGCTGGGCGGGTGTGGCGGGCTCGGGGTCACAGGAGGGGGAGGTGCGGCGGGCTGACGCTGTGCAGGCAGGGATGGGATCCAACGGGGGGAGGGAGAGAACAGCTAAGAGAGTGACGTGCTGGTTTGATTCTATCCGTGCAACAAGTCTTGCAGTGCCCAACATCGCACAGATTTGGCGGGAAGCAGTGTACAAGCGTGGTGCACAGCAGCATACCTGGCTGCTTGCCTCTCCGCCGCCTGCCAGCAGGAGATCCCGCCACAACGCCAGACACATCGCTCCCTGCTGCCTCTGACCCGCTTGCCGCGTCGTCATCAACTGCCAGCAGGTCAACACAGCAGAGCAAGCACGTATGAGTCACACAATGGTTGCTAAAGCTGGTGCAACCCCCCATCACCACCCATCACCCTAACGAAAGCCCCCCCCCCCCCCATAGTCTATGTCTCCACCCATACCTCCTAAACACTCCCCCAAATGCTTCCAGATTCCCTTCCCCCCCTGTCCCACCACCTCTCCTCCCCCCAACCCCCCCTTCTCCTCACCTCGCTGCAGCAGGAGCTCGAGGCGGTCCAACGGCAGCTCCTCGTCCGGCGTGGCGTCCACACCCCTCAGCCGCGCCGCCATGCGCTCCACCTGCCGCTCCGCCGCACGCTGCCCCGCCACCGCCTCCTCCAACCTGGGGCAGCGGGGCACGTGGGGTGGGAGGGGAGGGTAATGGGGGCAGAGAGGGGAGGGGTTGGGTGGCTGCTTCAGGAGGGATGCGGTGATGAGAGCAGCAGCAAGGGAATGGGCGCACTAGAAGAGTGCGGAATCTGCATGAGTCAGATGGACCGCATTGGGGAAGCATCAACCTAGCTCAAGGATGCAGTCGGAGTGAGAGAGAGGGCGTGCACGGAGAGCAAAGCGAGCGTACATGGGGAGCAGCGAGCGCAGGCACTTGATGTCGTCCTGCTGGGCGGCTCTGAGCGGCACCTCCACCAGCAGCTGCACCAGATGCGCGCTGTACGCCTTCGCTGTGGCGCTGCCGGCCGTTGCCAGTGGGGATGACAGCACCTGGTCGGGAAAGGGGGGGTTCGGGAAGGACAAGTGGAGTGGGGATGATGAGGGCGCAGCGTGCAGCATGAGGGGTGACGTGAGGGGGGCCACGTAGCATGTGGGGTTCAAATCTTGGAAAAGCAGGGGCTGATTGTGGGACGAGAAACGAATGGCGTTGCATGAGTTACAGTTGGATGGAAGCAGCTGGGAACGTACCTCAGCAGCCAGGTCGAGGGCCAGGGACTCGAAGCCCACCGATGGCTGCTGCACGCTGCTGCTGCTCTCACCCGCCCCACCACCCCTCTCGCCCTCACCGTCGCCATCACTACCAGCTGCTGCCCCCTCGCCCTCCCCCTCTCCTTCCTCTGCTCTCTCTGCGTCGCCTGCGGCAGTGTGTGTGGGCGGCACCACCCCGTGCGCGCCGTGCGCGAGCATGATGGACAGCAGCAGCTGCGAGGCGCGCACTGCGGGCTGGCGGGCCGCCGCTGTGGCCTTGCGCGGCCACAGCTGCCGCAGCATGGGCAGCAGCAGACGGGACGCCGCCACCTGGGATGCGGAGGGGGTAGGGGGGCGGGGGGTGAGGTTGAGGGGGGATGGCGTAGGGCTTATGGTACAACTGTGATTGCAGGGTGGAGCGGCAGAGGCAGTGCGAGGTGGTGGTCGTGGCACGGATGTGCGGCGTACCTTGCAGGCGGGCAGCACGGCCACGCGGTTGAAGAACTCCGCCAGCATTTGGCGCGTCCTGACGTGGGAAGGGCGGGGGCGGAAAAAAAGGGGGGGAGGGGGAGGAGACAATGAGGGAAGGGCAGTTTAAGAGGAATGCACATCGTGGAGCAGACAAGAGAGAAATACGCTCCCTGGCAAAATGGCACCCACCTTGGCAGTTCGTCTTCGGCCGCGCCCGGGCACAGGTACACCGCCACCAGCAGCTGCAGCAGCCGCTCCACCCTGCCCTCGTCTCTCCCCTCCGCGCCCCTCATCCCCCCTCTGCTCGCGTCCGCCAGCAGCAGCTTGCACAACCCCTCGCACACCACGCCCACCACGCCCTCCTTCTCCTCCTCCTCCTGCGCCTGCCTCTCGGCGTCCTCCACGCCGTCCCGCACGGCCTCTATGTCCACCTGCCCGCCCGCCAGCGGCACCAGCCCCACCAGCACGTCAAGGCTGCTCTCCGCCACCGCCGCTCCTCCTCCGCCTGACGCCCTTCCTACACCGCATCCGCTCACGGCACTCCCGTCGCCGTCGTGGCTGAGAGCGGGCGCGCTGACGTCCGGCAGCAGCGCAGCGGGTTGGTGCCAGAGCAGCAGGTCCAGCAGCGCCCTCACCGCCGCCATCTGCACCGCGGGGTGCGCGGCGTCGCGCGCAGCCGCGTGCAGCAGCGGCACGTGGGGGCGCGCGGAGGGCGCGTGCAGCATGGCGAACACGTGCAGCCCGGCGATGGCCTCCCGCCGCACCAGAGGCGAGGGGTGAGACGCCTGCCATCACACACACAGGGCAGCGGTTGAGCTGAGGAGTCTGGAGGCACGCATGCATGGGCTCAGTGCAGGAACGGAGACGACAAGCCCCTCAAGAGCACGTGTACCATGACAGGGGAGAGAGGCGCGTACCGCGGGGACGAGGATGCAGTTGAGCGCCTCCTGCGGCTCCACGCGCAGGTTCCGCCACGCCCTGAACGCCGCCCCCCCTGGCGCCTTGCAGCACTGCCGCAGCACCATGCGCGTCGCCGCCACGCACCGCAGCCATTGCTCCTCGCTCACGCCACTGCTGCTGCTGCCGCCCTCGCCGCTCGCCGCCACGCCCGTCACTCCGGCCAACAATGGCTTGCTGACGTCAGCCAGCGCGTCAACGAGAGCAGCGAGCACGTCAGCGTCCGAGGCGTGCACTCGCTGCGCCAGCCCCAGCACGGCCTCGCCCCACCTGCCGTCCGTCAGGCCCTCCTCCCACGCGCCCTCCCCCTCGCCGCTCCCTCCTGCCTCCCCCTCTGCCTGCGCGTGGGGGGTGCCGACGAGGCAGCGGTGCAGCAGCGCGGCGGCGTGCGCGCGGATGGTGGCGTCGGTGAAGTCCAGCACGCCCGCCAGCCGCATCAGCTGCCGCGCTGCGAACCGACCCTCGCACCCTGCACGCAGCGACACACTCGAGTTAGTGTGCTGACAGCTTAGTCTCGTGCACCACGTTCCTTTGAGAGCTTGGGCTCGCACCTGCTTGCATGTGCGCCTCCAGCAGCGCCAGGTAGTCGTGCGCCGTGGACGGCAGCAGCGCCTCCAGCTGCGCGTTCAGGTCGCTCGCCGCCTCCGCCGCCACCACTGCGGCCGCGCCTGCTGACACCGCTGCATTCGACCCACTTTCCTGAAAGGTGTGGCAAACCACAAGGTGAGTCTCACATCGCTTGTCTGTGTCCAAGGTGCTATGGATCTCCTCTGCCAGGGCAGTTTCATGGCACGGTGGCGCAGCAGTAATGGCGGACTCACATCGGCCTGCTCGGCGAGGTGCAGGCACAGCATGCGCCAGAAGAGCGCCTCTTCGGGCGCCAACAGCCCCGGTGCTGTCGCCGCCTCCGAGTTGCCTGCACGCACGATGATGGCAGGGAACGCGTCAGGGCTGAGCTGGAGTCATCTCCACACCATTCTAAACACTAGTTTGCGTCGACCTGCAGCAGGTGGAGCGACTCGAAATGAGACATAACGACGTACCTTTCCCCGGGCTGCACGTCTTCCTGGCCGCGCTACGCAGGCCCCCCTCAGGCACGACGAGCTCCATCTCTCCCCACCCCGCGCTGTGCGCCTGCAGCACCGCATTCACCGCGCTCTCCGCCACCACCTCGTGGCTCTCCACGTCCACGTGGCGCAGCAGCCGCACCAGGTCGCCCTCGCAGTCGCGCGTCAGCCACGCGCGGCACACCAGCTGCACGCACGCCTCGCGCACCACCGACGATCGGTCGCTGAGGCCCTGCGACAGCAGCTGCACGCGCTGCCGGATGCTGCGACACACGAGCCAAGTCGCAGGGGGGGGAAGGGGTTAGCTTCATGGCACGGACAGCTACAGCGGTCGAACAGACTCGATAGCACCAACGCACCTGAAGCTCTCGAGGGGGAAGAACCGCTCCGCGAAGGACCTGTAAGCGGCGGCTCTGACCCGCTGGCTGACGTCCGCCGTGCGATCGAGGATGTCGGGAATGGTGCAGGTGGACTCGGGGGACGACCACACCATCGCCTCGCGCACCTCCTGCACCGCACCAACACATCACCATCAGTTGCGTCGGATAGATAACGATTAGCCGGATTGTGCCCGACATTTTTTCGTTGGGAGGTGACAGCGGAGCTCACAGCACTGGTCTCGGTCTTCATCTTCTCGCGGAACAGCTCGATCGTCGTGTCCACGTTGACCCCACCGTCCTCCTCGAACGTCACCATTCGCTTGAGCGCCCTGGCGGCCCATGCGCGGATGGCGGCGACGCGGTCGTCCATGCGGCAGTGCAGGAACTCGCGCACGATCACGATGGCGTCCGCCGTCAGACTGAAGCTGCCCGGCAGCGAGTTCAGCACCTGCGAGAAAGCCACACGCTCAGAAGAGGACCTCACACAAGGCGCGACGGTGTGAGCATGTGGTGCGGAAGGGAACCGGGCGGCGTACCTCCGAGAGCACCTTGGTGACGTTGAGCCGGACGGCCTTGCTGCGCGCCTCGCTGTACTGCGAGAAGAGGCACACGATCTCCTCCATCAGGTCCCGCGCGTCCTCGCTCCCCTCCGCCATCAGCACGCCCATGAACGTCTTGAAGAACCGCAGCACCGTGTCACCAGGGCTGCCGGCCCTCTGGCTCAGCAGAGCCGGTCGAATGACATTCAGAAAATTAGGAGTGAAATCATCTCGGTGTTGGCGAGCGCACTGGAGGAGAAGCAAGCTGTTCCTATGGTGCGACGCAAGTGACTCCTGACACTCATTCAAAACAATCGGTATAAGTGCCTCTGGCGGGTCTACAACTCTCCTGCTTGCTCCCTGCATACTTGCTGCTGTTCTCGTCATCCTGCCGAACGGGAACGAAGATAGCGGGCTAACCTGACTGGAGTGACTAGCGGGAACAAAGAAGCTACGGCCTGACTAACTAACGATAACGATCAGCGGATTCTGCCATTGTTCACAGTATTCTAGGACTGCATGAGAAGTGGAGTGAAGCAATGAAGGGGAGAATGATGGGAGGAAGAAAGAGAGCGAGGTGGACAGGAGGATTGGATCAGTGAACCAGGTGGGCAGGGGGAAGGAGGTGGCCTTGGGATTGGTTGGCTCGACGCGCCCTGACACTTTCAAACTCCCCTGCCCTGACCTGGGCTGCCTCGAGATTTCCCGCCTAGAAGTGTGATAAGTCCTGCGGTAATAGCAGCCCCGCTACGAACAATTCCAACACCAAGCGAACAAAACAGACTTCCAGTCCAGTCGTATGAATAATAATAGATCAATTAAATTTCTTGATAAAACATATGGGAGCATGCTAATGTAGGAACTAACATAGTTGACTATAGTATGGCAAAAACAGAGATTTTACCAGTAATTGAGTCTGCATGCTACAAGTAAAGCTAGTACCTAATAAAGCTATGGGTATCACTATATGCCCTTGGGCTCTACAATGATCAAACAACAGTTGACTGTGTCAACCAAGAGATGGGAAACTCTAGGTGTGGCACTTACCTCATTAGACAAGCTGTCATGAGGTGAGCTGGTCTCATCTATGCCTACATCCGCGAGAGGACGAGGGTTTACCATTCATCATCAAGCCAGTTATGGCAATTCAGCATATGGGTCAGTTGCGGCAGTTCAGTCTGCATGCTGTTTATGCAGCTGCGCCAACGTATGTCATTTCCTGGAAGATGCGGAGGCGGCGGGGCCTCTTGACTTCCACATGGGAGCTGCCTGCAGTGGGACTGGTCAGAGTGGTGGCAGCCGCACCACTGCCCGCCACTGCAGCAGCAGCAGCATCACCACAGTCAGCAAACAATGTGCGCCTCTCGCTGCCCTGCTGCCTCTCTCCCGGCGCAGCGGCGCCCATGAGCTTCTTGGCGGAGTCATTGCCCTTGAGCTCTTCCAGCAGCAGCTTGTCCGGGCTGCCTGTGAACCCCAGCATCTCCCACAGAGCCTTTGGCACCACCGGGCCTCCCTCCTGCGCCCCACTCACGTCCCCCTCCTCCTCGCCGCGCCGCTCGCCCTTGGGCGCAGCGGCCTTCACTGGAGTCGGCACTCGGTTCCTCTTCATCCCTGATCCGCCCACCTCTGCGGCCCCCACCATCTGCTGCTGCTGCTTCGCCTTCTCCTCCGCCTCAACCAGGCCCACCCCTGCCATCCCCCAAGCGCCCTTCCCCTGCGCCACAGCCCCCCACGCGCCCATGAACTGGGCGGGGGGCTCCAGGTTGGTGCGCTCGCCCATCACGGTCGTCATGCCCATGCCTGCGCCCATCTCCGCGCCCATCTGCATGCCCACGGTGCTTCCGCCCATCAGTCCGCCCGCCACCATCTGCGCCTTCGCCGCCATGGGCGCGGGGTTCTCACATCCGAGCACCAGAGGCCTCCGAGCGCCAGGCCCGCCCGCGCCTATGGGCGCCCCGCCCGCCATGTACTGCGGAACGTTCTCCGTGCCCCTGAAGACCGCACGCTGCCCGGGCGCCGGGAATCCCCCGACCTTGCGCATTGCTGCGCCGAAGTGCGCGGTGGTGGGCGGCTTCTGCGAGGCCCACACCCCCGCCGCGACGGAGATAGCCGCAGCGGACGGCTGGTAACTGTCGTTGACCATTTCGCAGAGCACGTCGTCGTCGTTGTCGAATGCGGACATGACGAGCCCGTCGTCCCACGGCGCGCCGCCCATGCTGGAGCCGCAGGACAGCGAGCCGCTCGACATGGGCCCCAGCGGCGACACCAGCGACGGCGACGCCACTGCCAGCCCGAACCCCGCCGAGGGGATCTGCAGCGGCGGAAGCGAGCGGGACGCGGTGAGTGTGCGCCGACCGTCGCCGTGCATGAAGGGCGGGGCGGAGCCGTGACCGGGGGGAGCCGGAACGGGGCCGAACGAGCCGGGCATGAACTCGGGCGCGTTGGGCTTGAGGCACGACAGCCCGCGCGGATCCGCGCCGCCGAAGCTCATGGAGCGCGCGAGGGGGTTGCTGCACCCCCCGCCCAGACTCATCGTCCGCGCCATTGCGCCCGCTGCTGGCGGCCTCCGCATGCCCTGCATTGGCGCCTGCAGCTGCCGCTGCGGCTGCTGCTGCGGCTGCTGAGGCGCATCCGGCGGTCCCCGCGACTGCATGCCCGCGATGGCCAAAGAGCCGCCAGCCGCGGCAAGCGGAGCTGCTCCCGCGGAGCCAGCAGCGCCCGCCGCTCCCTCCGCAGGTGCACTCCCCCCGCTGGCGCCGCCGTCCGCCATGAGCGAGTCCCACGTGTCGGGGGCGCCCAGGAACTCGCACAGGTACGACGAGTGCCGCTGGAACGAGCTGCGCGCCAAGCCCATGCCCATGCCCATACCGCCCATGCCGCGTGCGCCACCGGGAGCGCCGTGGAAGGCGGGCTTGACCTGCGGGTCCTTGTCCGACGAGGAGGTGGAGCCCGCGGATTTACCCTCCGCTGTCTGGGGCACGGCGCTGGCATCGTTGCCGCAGTTGGCAGCAGAGCCGTCCTTGCTGGCTTCGGCCGCTGCTGCCGACGTCTCGAGCTCCACCAGCATGCTCTGCGCGCGCTCGTACGACTGGCGGGGGGAAGCGGGGAGGGCCAGGGAATGTAGGAAACGGGCGGGTGAGAGGAATGCAGGCTATGGGACACGGGCAACGACGATGCTCGCTCGCTTAGATGCGCTTTCCAGCGTTATCGACCAGAGCCGCGCTGCACTCTCACCTTGATGTGCGACTCGGACCCCCATCGCGGGTCGCTGTTGGGCGACACGGACTCGAGCAGCGCGCGCGCCTCGACGATGCGGCCCTGCTTCATGAGGCAGATGCCGAGGTTGCAGACCTTGTTGCTGTCCGCCTCCACGCGCAGCGCCTTGCGGTACACCGACTCCGCCGCCACGTAGTTGCCCTGCTGCATGTACGCCCACCCCAGGTTGCCCAGCAGCCGCGTCGCCTCCTGCTCGATGGACACCTGGAACTTCTTGCCCTGCGAGCGCGCCGTCTTGGTGCGCTTGCCGTTGAACGCGACGCCCTGGCGGATCATGTCGAGCTTGTGCTTGAGCAGCGCGACCTGGTCGTCGAGGCGCCCGCAGCGCTTGAAGAGGTCGAGCAGCACGTTGTCCAGCGACTCCTGCGCCACCTCCGAGCACTTGTGCCGCAGCGACCGGATCGCCTCGATCGCCTCCTCGGGGCGGCTCTGCTGCTTCATCACGATGGCCATGTCCTTGAGCGCGCTGTCCACGCGGTCGCCCGCGTTGATCGCCGACCAGAACAGCGCGATCGCGCGCACCGGGTCCTTGTCCACCAGCTGCAGCGGCGGGGAAGGGGGGAGGACGGAGAGCGGGGGTTGTGGGCGGAAGAGGACGGGTGTGAAGGCGCATCGGGAGCCACGACGGGGATAGCATTAGTCATTAATCGCATTTACTCGTTCCGCCATTCTCGTTCGTACCTGGACGTGTTTCGCGCGGACGTAAGGCGAGTCGCCGACGGGGACCTTGTGGATGACGTGGAACGCGTCGCCCGACCGGCCGTCGTCGCCCGCCATGCTCCACCCCGCGGTGCTCTCGTCGTCGCCGGACGCGCTGCTCTCTGCGTACGCGCTGCCCGCATCCGACGCTGCTGGGGCGGCCTCGCCGCTGCCTGTTCGCCGGGCGACGGGTAGGGGCTTGGACGGAGAGGTGGGCGCGGACTGGCACGCGAACGACGGCTGGAAGTTACCGTTCATGAATCCGGGATAACTGGCCGGCTGCTGCTGCTGCTGCTGCTGCTGCTGCTGCTGCTGCTGCTGCTGCCTAGCGGCGTGAAACTGGTGAGCGCCCTGAATTCGACCGTACGGGCCATGCGCGCCGGGAGCAGCGCCGACAGCGCCGTTGTGGAAGTTGTGCCTGGGAGGGTAACAGTCGGGCCACATCGCACGCGCAACACCCCTCTACGCTGCGCCCTGACTCCCGGACTTTGCGCTGCTTAGCTCGTGCAAGTGGTGCTAACGCTGGTCTGCATTCATGAATAGCGCAAGCGGGTTGCTGGAGAAGCTGGTGGTAGAGACCTAAGTCGAGCGAATTCGCGCGTGAATTGCAGCAGGGAGGGATGGAGTGTGAGGTTACGCAGTGTTAGTTGGGTGGTGCTTGCTCGGCACAAGTCGTGTGCTGCGTGTGGCACGAGCGCCGATGGCTGCGAGTGACGGCAGCGGGAAATGTGAGCCTCCAATTCGAGCCACGAAAGCGAACCAATTGATGCCTTTGCCGACGGAGTTTCGTCGGTCACTGGATGATGCTGGGAGCGACTAAGCGGCGATGGTGGACGATGGTTGGAATGGGGAATGCGGGGTAATTTAGTCGGCGCCACTTTGTCGCATGGCTGGGGACTTGTCGTCCATCGGCTGGGCGACAGCAGTAATTTCATTTGCGCCGCGCTGCAAGCATCATCCATCAGCTGGTGTGACCCAACGAGGCGCCCAGAACGTGCCGCGCGCCCCTATTTCCAAAATGCCCTAACGGCGCGACACATTGCGACGTGCCTCGCCCAGCTTCGTATTATGGGGTGCACATCTTTCGCTAGCGCGCGATGCTGGCGATCAAATTTCAACTGGAGTCGCAAGACTAGTTTTGCTTGGAGCGAAGACAAGCGCGGGCAGAACCCGCAACATTGCGAACGGTTGCGACCATTCTCATACTTGGCGAACGGTTGGCGGCACAGTGACGATGTCGTTAGGCAAAATAAAATTGTTTCGAATACAGTATGTGGTGGCCACCAAGGGTCGAAGTCGTTTGACTAAAAAAGCTCGTTGACAAGTTTGACGCTGACACGGGCAAGTGTTGTTGCTGCCCGTGTGAGGCGGCTTTTCAAACATTTCGTCCACCAAGCCGTAATCTGCCAACGGCTGGCAGGAACCTTGCGGGTGCGGCAATACTTTCCCGCGTAAAACGACCCCATCGCCGTTGAAATAATCGTGATTATTCTTGCCCACATTGTTTCATAAAGTTCATCATGTTCTACGTGATTGAAATGAACATAAACTCAAAACTACGTATACACATCATTTGACACGAGCTTGTGACCAAGGCCGATTGAAAGGTTGGAGCAACGACCCAGCTGATTCATCTGGTGTTTAAAACCTCTGGCACAACCACAGGCTGATTAGGACACGATTGTGAGGCACAAGGCAGGAAAGTAGGGGGGATTCTTCAGTTAACAGGCACATGGAACCAGAAGGAACATGACAAAAAGATGGCACAAAAAGCATCAAGAAAATCACCTGGAGGTGCCAGATGTCACGGGCGTATTCGGCGATGGTGCGGTCACTGCTGAACCGACCCATCATTGATGCGGCTATCTGGAATGGCAGATAACAGAAGGAAAATCGAGGGGCAGATGCAGACACGTCGAGGAGAGATGCACAAAGCACGGTATGAGGAGGAAGGGTGAGGTCTGAACAGAGTAGCATGCAGATGCAGGAGCAGGGATGAGGACAGTTGAAGACACAGTAAACAGGTGGCCACATTGCAATTGCAAAGAAGGGGGCAAGCAGGCACGGCGGAAAGACATGTGGTAAGGCAGGCAAAAGAGAAAGCAGTGGCATGGAGAGCAGGTGGGAGGAAAACAAGGGGGTTGGGGGAGGGGGGCAGAGGGTGGCATGGTACAATGGAGCGGCGGCACCACTCGGTGGGGTTGAGGAAGAGCGTGTCAACCGAGTGCTGATCTCGTCGCGCGCGCACACATGCCCACACATTCAAACACACACAAGCAAACATTTGCGCACACCACATACAGAGGGCAAGGGCGCAGGTTAGCTTGAGGAAATGATTGGAGAGGCGGTCCTGAAGCGTGCAGAAGCAAACGGTACAAGAGCTGGCAGTGGGAGGCAATGCCCCTCCCATGCCAACTGGCGCATGGCAGAGTGCACATGCTGGGTCCTGGCATCATGGACAGTGCCACAGGTGGCACCTGAGCACCAAGGAGAGAGTGGGGGAGGGGGGGGGGGTGGCACCTGAGCAGTGAGGAGAGAGTAGGGGAGGGGAAGGGGGGGGGGGGTTTGGCACCTGAGCAGCGAGGAGAGAGTAGGGGGGGGGGGGCGAGGGGTGGCACCTGGGCGTCGAGGTAGGAGGCCCAGTCGTGGGAGAGCAGGAAGTAATCATTGCCGCCGCCCAGCGACTCCAGCAGCGGCCGGAAGTCGTCGGGCGGCCCAAACACACCCGCCTCGATCGTGCGCATCACCTGGGAGGGGGGGGGGGGGGGGGGGGGGGTGTCCAGCCAGCCAGCATGCAGGCATGGCACAGGGGTTAGCATGGGGATGGGCACACCAGGCATACACCTCCCCCAGGCACACCTCCCCCAGGCGCACCTGCACGAGGCGGTCGTCGTGGATGGGCTGGCGGAAGCGCAGTGAGTGGCGCAGTGAGTGTGTCTCCTGCGCCAGCGCGCCGAACACAAACACGTTCTCGCGCCCGATGGCGTGCGCGATCTCGATGGTGGCGCCGTCCATGGTGCCCAGCAGCAGCCCCCCGTTCAACGCAAACTTCATGTTGCTCGTGCCCGAGGCCTCCATGCCCGCCGTTGATATGTGCTGCGAGATGTCGCTCGCCGGCACTATCAGCTGGGAGGGTGACACCGTGGGTGCATTGGCAAAGGGGGATAGGAAGCAAGGGGAAACGGACAGGATCGGGAATCAGGTGTGCCTGTGTGAGTGTGAGAGTGGAGAAACGGCGGGTAGGAGGGGGGGGGGGGGGGAGGGGGGGGGGGGGGTGTGCAGGTACCTGGGCGAGCGAGACGCTGTAGTTGGGGAGGAAGACGACTTTGAGCAGCCCGCTGATGTCGGGGTCGCTGTTCACACGCTGTGCCACACTGGCAGGGGGGAGATGCGAGGGGGGAGAGGGGAGAGAGGAGAAAATGAGAGGTGCTTCAAATACGAGGGGCATGCATCATGGAAGCATGGGAGTGCATGAGATGCATCATGGAAGCATGGGAGTGCATGAGATGCATCATGGAAGCATGGGAGTGCATGAGATGCATCATGGAAGCATGGGAGTGCATGAGATGCATCATGGAAGCATGGGAGTGCATGAGATGCATCATGGAAGCATGAGAGTGCATGAGATGCATCATGGAAGCATGAGAGTGCATGAGATGCATGCACACATGCACACATGCACACATGGCACACATGCACACATGCATACATGGCACACATGGCACACATGCACACATGCACACATGGCACACATGCACACATGCACACATGGCACACATGCACACATGCACACATGCACACATGGCACACATGCACACATGCACACATGGCACACATGCACACATGCACAAATGGCACACATGTACACATGCACACATGGCAAACATGCACACATGGCAAACATGCACACATGCACACATGGCACACAAGCACACATGCAAACATGCACACAAGCACAGCACATGGCACACGCGCTCACGCGTTGATGAGGTGGATGACACATTTGGCTCGGAAGTACCCCGGCGCCGCCTTGCCCGCCATCACCACCACACGCGGCACCATGCGCGCCCGCTCCTCAAAGCTGCTGCACTGCACGCCGGTGGGGGGTGGGGAGGGAGGGAAGAGGGGAGAGAGGGGGAGGGACACATACATGAGCTGACTAGAGACACCATGAGCGCACGCTCCTCAAAGGTGCTGCACTGCAGGGCGGAGGGGGGGAGGGAGGGCCATGTGTGTGGATGGTGTGGATGGTGTGACGTGCATGCAATGCGGACGATGACTGAGAATACATCATGGTGGAATACGGCACACGGAGGGCAGATGGGTGGCGCACCTTGATGCTGTTGTAGCGGTGGATGACGGCCAGTATGTTTAGCAGCTGCCGCTTGTACTCGTGGATGCGCTTGCACTGGCAGTCAAACAGCGCCACGCTCTCCACCTGCCACACACACACAGTGAGAGACAACACATGGAGCAGTGAGAGAGACACCACATGGCGCAGTGAGAGAGACACCACATGGAGCAGTGAGAGAGACAACACATGGAGCGATTGAACAGGCCGCAAGAAATGGGTGGAGGGCTAGGGTACAACAGGCAATGGCGCAGGGCATGAGACGGCGCGCACAAAGCCACATCCCTTCCAATGTCGCACTTTTCCACTTGCAATCCATTTGCCACGTGCTGCCACTTGGCCCATACACTTGCCCCAACCCCACCTCGACACCGCAGGTGGCGCGGATGTGTGCTGCGAGGCGCTGCTTGTTGGCGAGCTTGGCGGCGGTCCAGTCGGCGTGCAGCGCGGGCGAGCTGGCATGCGCCCGCAGCCCCTGGATGAGCGACAGGTCCCGCAGCCACTCGTCTGTGCCCACCCACTTGGTTATCACCTGAGGAGAGGGGCGGAGGGGTGGGGGGGGGTGAGGGGGAGTGCAAAAGTAACTACAGAGGTGACAGGAACGTCATGCACGTTCTCCCACCAATCCCGCAGCTGCTACATCTTCCTCCCCCACCTCCTCTTTCGCCCCAGTCGCCTGCCCCTTCCTCCCAACCCCCCAACTACCCCCTCTACCCCCCCCCCCCCACACCTGTGACAGCCGTGGGTTGGCGAGCAGGAGCCAGCGGCGGGGCGTGATGCCATTGGTCTTGGAGTGGAAGCGCGCGGGGTACAGGTCCAGCAGGTCGGGCAGCAGGTGGGTGCGCAGAAGCGCGGAGTGCAGCTCCGCCACACCGTTGATGGCGTGCGATCCAACGGCCGCCAGCACCGCCATGCGCACCATCTTGGGGTGGCTCTCCTCGATGACGGACAAGCGCGCCAGGCGCTGCCCCTCGTTCACACCGCGGGACTCCACCTCCTGCCACCATCAGCACCCAGGCACATGGGTGGCACATGGGCGGCACTTGGGCGGCACATGGGTGGCACATGGGCGGCACATGGTCACAAGGGCCAGATGACGCTCCAATGCGGAAAAGAGGGAGACTAGGCAAGGCAGGGTGCACGGCTCTGTCCTGCGCTGCCTGCAAGCGCTCTGCGCTGCATGCAGCCCCCGCCAGAGTGCAGCACACCGTTTCCTCCTCGCCGCACACCCACCTCCACGAGCTGGCATGCGGCTGGCACGGTGCGAACCTGCAGGTGGCGGTGGTTGATCTCGAAGATGAGGTCCATGATCCGCGGCAGCACACGCTGCACCAGCGGCACGGGCCACCGCTCCAACGCCTCGGGCAGCACCGTGTGGTTGGTGAACGCCAGCAGCGCCACGGTGGCCTGCCACGCGTCGGCCCACTCCAGCCCCTCGTGGTCCAGCAGCAGGCGCATGGCCTCGGGCACCGCCAGGGCCGGGTGCGTGTCGTTCAGCTGCACCGCCGCCTGCTGCGGCAGCGCTGATACCGCCCGCCCCGATGCCTTGTGCCGCGCTATGATGTCCTGGGGGAGGGGGGTGGGTAGGAGAGATGGAAGATGCTACGAGGGAAGATGAGGTCACTGCAAGCAACGAGTGACCCGCGTCAATGCTCATGACGACATGCTGAGGGCGGTATCTGTGCTGTGAGGTTAGCAATGTAGGGCGGCCAATGAGTCAGACACCATCACCTGCACCGCGCCTCTCACCTGCACTGCGCCTCTCACCTGCATTGCGCCTCTCACCTGCACTGCGCCTCTCACCTGCATTGCGCCTCTCACCTGCATTGCGCCTCTCACCTGCACTGCGCCTCTCACCTGCATTGCGCCTCTCACCTGCATTGCGCCTCTCACCTGCATTGCGCCTCTCACCTGCACTGCGCCTCTCACCTGCATTGCGCCTCTCACCTGCATTGCGCCTCTCACCTGCATTGCGCCTCTCACCTGCATTGCGCCTCTCACCTGCATTGCGCCTCTCACCTGCATTGCGCCTCTCACCTGCATTGCGCCTCTCTCTCACCATGCGTGGCACAGCGCCCTCACCTGCAGCGTGCCTCTCTCTCACCTGCAGCGTGGCGGACACAAAGAAGTATTCCTGCTGCAGCCGCAGCTGCTGGCCCGCCTCGCTGCTGTCCTCCGGGTACAGCACAGCGCTGATCGCCTCCGCCCGCGCCTTGCCAGCCACCGCCTCCACGTGCCGCCCCGCGTTGAATAAAGACAAGTCAAAGCCGCCCGATAATGGCTCACTGGTGGCACAGGGGAGGTGAGTGTTGAGAAGGAGCCGAATGAATGGCGAGCTCTACACGTTAAGTATGAGAACAACATCAAGCACTGGTTACAGCATGTAACCATGACACCACGCAACGCCCAGTCACTTCACAAGAGCCCGGATCCCAACTTCACTGCTCCCTTAACCACTTCCCTTCCCCTCACCAGCGCCACAGTCTGAGGCGGTTGACGTTGCCACTCCGGAACCCCGGCACCGGCATGTCGGACGCCACCGCCTCCACCTGCTCGCCGCCCTCCCAGCGGTACCGCGTGCGCGTGCCGTCCACACGCACTGCCACGTGCCCAAAGAAGCGCACGGCGTGGCGCACGTGCGGCCGGGGGATCTCCCAGGGGCACCCCGCGGGGTGCAGCCAGGCGTCCGGCGCCTCGTGCTGGCGCAGCGCTGCAATGCGCTGCTCAAACATGCCGTAGCGGTAGCGGATGCCGTACCTGCAGGCAGGGGGGGGGGCGGGTGGGCGAGGAGGGCAGGGGGATGGAGGGGTCGGCTGAGTGAGAGGAGGTTGTCCATTAGAGGGTGGTGAGTGGAGAGTGGAGCAAAGAGAATCCGAACGCAACCATTCCCCGCTCACACACCCCAGTCGGCGCACGCAGCCCCCAAATACCCTCAGGGAGCCGCCAGTACCCCTCCCTCAGCCCCCCTTACCCCCAGGCGGGGAAGTGGTGCGTGGTGAGCGAGTCAAGGAAGCAGGCGGCGAGGCGGCCCAGCCCGCCGTTGCCCAGCGCGGGGTCGTGCTCCTCCTCCGCCACCTCCTCCAGCGCCACACCCAGCTGCAGCAGCGCCTCGCGGTACTGCGCCTGGGGGGGATAAATGCAGCACAAGGGGTGGCGGAAAGGGGCGCGGGAGGGGCCGTGGTTCGCTTTCACTTGCCCTGTAGCGGCGGCTGTGGCTGCAGCAGCGGTGGTCGGTGCTGCCATGCGGGATAGAGCGGAGAAGCCAGCGACTCCCAGCTGCACACTGCGAGTGCACGTGGGGTAGCGCGCGGATGTGCGAGAGTGTGGGTGCTGTGTGCGAGGGAACGAGAAGGTGAGTACGCGTGGGTGTGAGTGGGTGTGAGTGGGTGTGAGTGGGTGTGAGTGGGTGTGAGGGCGAATGTGTTGCCGGCTTACATCGAGGCCAAGGCAGGTGACGGCTAGTTGCAGCATCCGCCCTATAAGGTACTCCATCGATAGGTAGTACACTCGCTTGCACCCCTGTTCGCCGCGCACGCACACACGGAGAGAGAGAGGAAGAAGCAGAGGAGAAAATGCATCTCACGGGTGGCAAGCATCTGCACCCTGACGCAAGCATCTGCACCCTGACGCAATCATTGCACAGTGCAATCCACCGGCCACGATGCGCCATCCCTCGTCCGCCCTACGGTCTCCCATCGCATTAGCCATCGCAACGGTCAGACGGCCCTCCCTTCCCCGTCATTCCTGCTCGCTCACCGCGTCGTCGTACGCGCGTTCCGTCGCATCCATCCGCGCCACCAGGTGGTCTCGCACGCTCATCGCAGCTGCGCGGTACGCGTCGCTCGGCGACAGCTCGTCGCGATCGCCGCACGCGAGCGAGCAGTGCGCGTGTCGCACGATCGCGGTGTGCACCGACCCCGCCGTCACCGCCTCCTCCCGTGCGTTTCCCCCCCCCTCCCGCCTGCTCTGCTGCTCCGCCATGCTGCTCGGCGCGCTCAGGCGGATCCCACAATCATGCGGCGCACGAGCGCCCGCTGGCTCCCCCAGAGTGTCCGGACACGCGGATGGGGGCGCGGATGCTGCGCCACTTGGCAAGGGACAAGCGTCGTCAGCCGCCATGAGGCAGCTTGACGAGTTCTAAACTGTTGCGAGGGGAAAGGACAACGCGCTAAGGAATAGGGAGAATATAAGCTTGACGAGTTCTAAACTGTCAGTCGCGATTTTGCCACCTTGAAACGTGGCATTGCGGGGTTGGGTGGAAGAAACGGGATGGGACTGGGCGATCTGACACGCCGAACAGGGGCTTCGGGGGGAAGTGTGTCTTCGATACGTGCAAGCTCGAGCCACACCCAGAGGCTGCTACGTGATCATGCTAAGTTAACAACCTTCACGTCATATGTTGGATTGGGACTCATCTAACGCATCCTACTATAAAATAGTGGCTATCATGTTGTTTGCAAGGAATTTTCCATTTAAGTTGCAAAGTGGTTGCCCGCTAATTATACTGATTAATTCGCCCAACTACGATTGCGTTTGCGCTTACCTGAGTACAGACACACTACGGATTTCCCCTTGCCCCGGCGGAGCATTCGCAAAATGGACCAAGCTCAGTTCAACGAGCTTCGGGAGCAGTTCAACGCCATGAACACGCTCATGGCTTTAGTGCTGGAGGACAACGAGCGACTTTGTGTAGAAGTTGCCGAGTTACGCCAGGCGCGAGAGGATTCGCGCCAGAAAGTTGCCGCTCAAGAGGAGGTCGCCAGTGTCAACTTATACATATTATCTATGTAGAAGTTATAGGCTAGACTGAGGTATGCTTCTAGTGAGTACAACCAACTAGTATTTGTTCTAGGTTTCCACTTCTAAACATTATTCGTTCTCACTTTAACATGGTATCACGCGTAGGTTAGCATCCCCCACCTACCGCTTCCGCCCGTACCCTAGCTAGCCCCGTCGCGCCTCCTAGCCACGTCGCCCCCCCCTCCTGGGCCACGTCGCGCCACCCTAGCCCCGTCGCGCCACCCTAGCCCTGTCGCGCCCCTCCTGGGCCCCGTCGCGCCTCCTAGCCCCGTCGCGCCCCTCCTGGGCCCTGTTGCGCCACCCTAGCCCTGTCGCGCCACCCTAGCCCCGTCGCGCCCCTCCTGGGCCCCGTCGCGCCTCCTAGCCCCGTCGCGCACCTCCTGGGCCTCGTCGCGCCACCCTAGCCTCGTCGCGCCACCCTAGCCCCGTCGCGCCCTGCCTGGCCCCGTCGCGCCCGCTCGGCCACGTCGCGCCCTGCCTGGCTCCGTCGCGCCCGCCTGGCCCCGTCGCGCCCTGCCTGGCCCCGTCGCGCCCTGCCTGGTCCCGTCGCGCCCTACCTGGCCCCGTCGCGCCCGCTCGGCCCCGTCGCGCCCTGCCTGGCTCCGTCGCGACCGCCTGGCCCCGTCGCGCCCTGCCTGGTCTCGTCGCGCCCTGCCTGGTCCCGTCGCGCCCTGCCTGGCCCTGTCGCGCCCGCTCGGTCCCGTCGCGCCCTGCCTGGCCCCGTCGCGCCCGCTCGGCCCCGTCGCGCCCTGCCTAGCTCCGTCGCGCCCGCTCGGCCCCGTCGCGCCCTGCCTGGGCCCGTCGCGCCCTGCCTGGTCCCGTCGCGCCCTGCCTGGCCCTGTCGCGCCCGCTCGGCCCCGTCGCGCCCGCCTGGCCCCGTCGCGCCCTGCCTGGCCCCGTCGCGCCCTGCCTGGTCCCGTCGCGCCCTGCCTGGCCCTGTCGCGCCCGCTCGGCCCCGTCGCGCCCTGCCTGGCTCCGTCGCGCCCGCCTGGCCCCGTCGCGCCCTGCCTAGCCCCGTCGGGCCCTGCCTGGCCCCGTCGCGCCTGCCTGGCCCCGCCGCGCCTCCCTGGCCCTGCCGCGCCTGCCTGGCCCCGCCGCGCCTGCCTGGCCCCGCTGCACCTGCCTGGCCCTGACGCGCTTGCCTGGCCCTGTTGCGCCCTGCCTGGCCCCGTCGCGCCTGCCTGGCCCTGCCGCGCCTGCCTGGCCCCGCCGCGCCTGCCTGGCCCCGCTGCACCTGCCTGGCCCTGACGCGCTTGCCTGGCCCTGTCGCGCCCTGCCTGGCCCCGTCGCGCCTGCCTGGCCCCGTCGCGCCTGCCTGGCCCCGCCGCACCTGCCTGGCCCCGCCGCACCTGCGTGGCCCCGCCGCGCCTCCCTGGCCCCGCCGCGCCTGCCTGGCCCCCGCCGCGCCTCCCTGGCCCCGCCGCGCCTGCCTGGCCCCGCCGCGCCTCCCTGGCCCCGCCGCGCCTGCCTGGTCCCGCCGCGCCTGCCTGGCCCTGCCGCGCCTGCCTGGCCCCGCTGCGCCTGCCTGGCCACGCCGCGCCTGCCTGGCCCCGCCGCACCTGCCTGGCCCCTTCGCCCCGGCTCGTCCTGCCGTGCCGCCTCGGGCTCCGTCTTCTCTGCTCGCCCGTGCTGAGGCGCTTCGCGGCCGCCGTGCTGGAGGGGGCTGTCGCTGTGTTCCTGCGTCGCTGTGTTCCTGTGGAGCTCTGCCGCTGACCCTGCACGATGGCGGACTTTGTGCTCCGACTGGACGCCGAGGGCCATGCGGTTGACTTCGCCGCCTGGCTCTCCGATCTCCGCCGCCACCTTACAGGTCAGCGCCAGGATGGCCACTCTTTGGTTGTCCATGTCGACGGCTTGCTCCCCCGCCCCCCCGCACCTGCTCCCCTCCCTGCTGATCCCTCGTCTGATGACCGTGAGACCTTCTCTATTGCTGCGCTTGCCCGTGCTGTCTGGGACTCCCGCGATGCAGTCGCTCAAGGTTGCCATTAGCCACGCCCTCCCTGTCTCTGAGCGCTCGCGTTTTGCTACTATTGAGACGGCCAAAGCTTACTTAGACGCTGTTATTGCCCGCTATTCCACACCCGCGTCTGCTTCTGCTGGTCGCCTGCTATTCCCTATGCTTTTCCCAGACCTTGCAGCTTTCCCTACCGTCGCAGACTTTGCCACTCACCTGCGTGCCCTAGAGACCCGCTATCGCACTGCCAGCACTGCCGCCCAGCTCACTGCGCTCCCCCCCCCTTTCTGCATGACGCTCTATTTTATCGCCATGCGCCTGCCAGACCGCCTCGCTAGTGCTCGCGATCACTTTCTTAGCCAGCACCCGGGTGACCTCACTCTCACTGCCTTTGTCGACACCCTTACCGAGATCGAGACTCGCCAGCGCACTATCGCTCAGTCGAGCGGTGCGCCGGCAGTTTCTATCTTTCACGGTTGTGCCCCCTCCCAGTGTGCGTTCACTGACGTTTCGGCTGCGGTCGCCTCGGCGGCCCCTCTCACCGAGACGGCTGGTGCAGTCCACCCGCAGCAGCGCTCGCGCCGCGGTGGCCGTGGTCGCCAGGGGGGTAGGGGTGGTGGTGGCAGTAGTGGTGGTGACGGTAGTCCGCCTGCAGGGACTACCATTGGTGGGCAGGAGCAGCAGCCCCAGTCGCAGCAGGAGCAGCCCCAGCCGCAGCCGCCGCCCCGGCAGCAGTCACCGTCCCAGCAGCAGTCGCCGCAGCAGTGGGCCCGTCTCCCGCCTGGTTGGCCTGGCACCTCCGGAGGTAGTGGCCGTAGTGGCGGCCCGCGCAGTTTGGCGTCTACCAGCGGCTCCGGTGCTGTCACCTGCCAGTACCAGCTTCAGACTGGGCCTCTTCGCGGCACTCTGTGCCGCCGCCCGCACCCGACTGCCCGCTGTTTCCGCCGCCTCGACGATCTCTTTCGTCGTCGCTTTGGCCCGGCCCCGGACCTCCCCGACTGGCACAGCCTGCTCCGCCAGGGCGTGCCGATCTTTCAGTTAGACATGGATCAGCTAGGTGCTGCTTTGCATGCTTTGTATTCTGACGCTTCTAGTTTTGCTGGATCTTATTACCCAGTGTACTCTACTTTAGGTTTTGCACCACTGTGTAGCTTAGCCTCCCCTGCTGCGTCAGGCGTAGGACTGCCTAGGTTGCCTAGTCTAGTCGCTGCACCGGCTCCGTCCCCAGCCTCCGCCACTGCGTCGCTGTCCTTCACTCTCGACTCCGGTGCTTTTGCCTGCTTCTTCCGCGACCGTTCCACGCTCACGCCGCTTGCTACACCTGCTGTTGTCTCTCTCGCTGACCCCTCTGCGGGTCCCGTCATCGCGCGCAGTTCTACGTCCCTTCCCTGTCCGGCAGTTCCCTCGGGCTCCCTTACTGGCCTCCACGTTCCCTCGTTCTCGAGGAACCTGGTTGGTGTCGGCTGTCTCCAAGACCTCGGCGTCACCACCACGTTCCCCGGGCACGAGCGGTTCGCTGTCTGTTCTGAGGCTGTCTCAGGTTCCCCCCTTGCGACGTTCCCCCGGGACCCGGTGTCCGGTCTGTTTACCCTAGACACCGCTTCCCCCCCGGTTGGTGCGTCCTCCCAGGTCGCTGCAGCTTGCTCGTGTCGGTCCCTCACTCACCCCTCCCTTCTCTGGCACCACCGCTTAGGTCACCCTGCTCTCCCTCGTCTGCGTCACATGTCCCAGCACGGTCTTGTCTTAGGTCTCCCCGCGTCGCTCCCTGCCCTTCCTCCCTCGACTGCGCCACCGTGCACGCCTTGCGTCGAGGGTCGGCTCCGCCGTGCTCCTCACTCCTCCTCGCTGCGTCCTGCTACTGCCCCCCTTCAGACCCTGCACCTGGACGTTTGGGGTCCTGCCCCCGTCCCCGGACCGCGCGGTGAGCGCTACTTCCTTGTGCTCGTCGACGACTACACGCGCTACACCACGGTGTTTCCCCTGGAGCGGAAGGCCGACGTGCCCGACGTTCTTCTCCCGTGGGTTGTGGCTGCGCGTCTCCACCGCGGTCTCCCCGTGTTGTGTCTCCACTCCGACCGTGGCGGCGAGTTCGCCTCTGGTCGGCTTGGACAGTTCTGTCGTGCGGAGGGCATCACCCAGTCGTACACGTTGCCGGACTCGCCACAGCAGAATGGGGTTGCGGAGCGCCTCATCGGCTTGGTCATGGAGGTCGCCCGTACATCCATGATCCATGCCGATGCCCCCCATTTTTTGTGGCCGTTCGCTGTTCGCTACGCTGCTCACCAGCTTAACCTGTGGCCACGCTCCCAGCGGCCGCAGGTTTCGCCGACCCTCCTTTGGACCGGGTCCCCCGGTGACGCGTCTGCGTTCCACGTCTGGGGCTGCCTTGCTCACGTTCGTGCCTCTGGCACGGACAAGCTCACTGCCCGCACTGTCCCCTGTGTCTTCCTCGGTTTCCCCCTGGACTCGTCTGACTGGCTTTTCTACCACCCGCCGTCTCACCGCTTCCTGCACTCTCGTGACGTCACCTTTGACGAGTCCGTCTCCTTCTACCGCCGCTTCCCTCACAGAGGTCTCCCAGTTGCCCCCCCCGTGTTCCTTGCTCCCTCTCCCCCGGTAGCCCCTGCCCCTCTCCCGCCTCGTCCTGCCCCGTCTGGTGTCTCTCACGTCACTCCCCTCCCGTCGGTGGTCCCCGTTGAGGAGTCTGCTGACTCTGGTGGTACCCCCGGTCCGTCCTTGCCGCGTCCCCCTTCCCCGGTGCCTCCGCCCCCACTGTCGCAGTCGCCGACCCCGCTGCCGCCACCGTCGCCGTCGCTGCCGCAGCCGTCGCCGCTGTCGCCGCCGCCGCAGCCGTCGCGGCCACTGCCGCGGTTGCTCTTGGCCCCTGGGGGTGCTGGTGTGGAGGAGGGTGTTCGTCCTGCGGCTTCTCGGGGTGCCGCTGGTGTTGGAGGGGGTTCTCGCTCTGGGGGTGTTGGTTCTGGGGGTGCTGCTGTTGAGTGTTCTGCCGACGGTCGTTCTGCCTCTGCTGGTCCGAGAGTTCCGGCCCAGCCGTCGTCGCCGCCGCAGCAGCCGTCGCCGCCGGTCTCCGCTCTCCGCCTGCTCGGCCTTCCCTCCCCGGACCGCGCGCCGGTGTCTCCCCCACCGCCTGCTGACCTTCCTGTCTACGGTCCTGTGTTCCCGCCGCCGGACTCGTCTCCGGCCCGTCTTCCTCCTCGTTCCCGTCCTGTGTCTCCTCCGCTGTCCCCTGACCCTACACCTCCGTCTCACGTTTGGGCTCGCCGTCCCTCCCGTGCTCGTCCCGTCTCTCCTGTCCTGCCCACCCACCCTATGTTGCTCCGTTCCCGCTCGTCTCGTCCTCCCCTCCTCCCGTCCCCTCCTCCCTCGTCCCTTGCTGTTGCACCTCCTCCGTTCTCTGACTACCTCCGTGCTGCTCGTCCCCTTGTCCCTCGGGTCCTTGCCTCTCTTGTTACCGACCCTGCTGTTCCTGTCTCGCGCCTTGACGCGCTTGTCGCTGCTGTCACTGACTTCGCCTCTACCCGCCGCCTTGACTACGCTACCGCTCTGGTCTCTGACCCTGCCCGTCCTCCGTCCGTCGGGGGTGCTCCTGCCCTTGGCAGTGACATCCTAGAGGACAGGCAGTACGAGCTGGCTTTCCTTTCCGAGGCTGCTCCCCATCTCTGCTCCATGCTGTTAGTCCCTGAGGGTGACCCAGACGCCTTCGACATCCCGACCCCTCGCACCTACGCTGAGGCCACCTCGGGACCTTGGGCCTCTCAGTGGATAGCTGCCATGGAGCAGGAGATGGCATCTTGGAGGTCCACCGGCACTTACGTCGACGCAGTTCCCCCGCCTGGGGTGAACGTAGTCGATGGTCGGTGGCTCTTCAAGGTGAAGCGCCCCCCTGGAGAGCCGCCTGTCTTCAAGGCGCGCTACGTGGCCAGAGGTTTCAGTCAGCGCGAGGGGGTTGACTTCTTCCAGACCTTCGCCCCGACCCCGAAGATGACCACTCTTCGGGCGCTGCTACATGTAGCAGCACAGCGTGACTACGAGCTTCACTCCCTCGACTTCTCTACTGCCTTTCTTCAGGGTAGCCTACACGAGCAGGTCTACCTGCGCCGACCACAGGGCTTCACTGGTACCTTCCCTCCTGGGACCCAGTGGCTTCTCAGGCGCCCGGTCTACGGCCTGCGTCAGGCTCCCCGCGAGTGGCACGACACGCTACGTGCCACGTTAGCAGAACTGCAGTTCTTTCCGTCCTCTGCTGACCCTTCACTGTTTGTGCGTTCCGGCCAGACTCCGTTCTACATCCTTGTCTACGTAGACGACCTGGTCTTCGCTACTCCTGACAGGGACGCACTGGCCTTTGTGAAGGCTGAGCTGCTGAAGAGACACACCTGCACTGACCTTGGAGAGCTGCGTCGCTATCTTGGCCTGCAGATCTCTAGGGACAGAGCAGCACGCACCATCACTCTGACCCAGTCACACTTGGTGCGTCAGGTCCTTCAGAGGTTCGGTCTTCAGTTCTCCTCCGCACAGCCCACACCTCTACCCGTAGACCATGGGCTCTCTGCTCCCGTTCCTGAGGAGCCAGTAGAGCCCAGTGGCCCCTACGCAGAGCTGGTGGGTTGCCTCATGTACCTGATGACTTGCACTCGCCCAGATCTCGCATACCCTCTCAGCATCCTGGCTCGCTTTGTGGCTACAGGCAGACACCGACCTCAGCACTGGTCTGCCGCTAAGAGGGTTTTGCGTTATCTTGCTAGTACATCAGGCATGGGGTTAGTGCTAGGAGGACGCAGGCCAGTGGTCCTTACTGGGCACACAGACGCTTCTTGGGCAGACGACGCTGAGACGCTCAGGTCGTCGCAGGGCTACTGTTTCAGCCTTGGTTCGGGTGCTATCTCTTGGAGATCCACTCGCTCGTCGTCTGTGGCTCAGTCTAGCTGTGAGGTTGAGATCTACGCTGGTGCCATGGCGGCACAGGAGCTCCGCTGGCTGACCTTCTTGCTCACTGACTTAGGTGAGCGGCCTAGCTCTGCCCCGGTCCTGTACGCTGACAACAGGGCCATGATACTCCTGTGTCAGGAGCCTCGGCTTGAGGGCAGAGCGAAGCATATCCAGCTGCGGTACTTCCTCCTGCGCGAGCTACAGCAGCGCCGCCAGGCCCGTGTAGTTCACTTGGCCTCAGGTGCCAACACAGCTGATATCTTTACTAAGGCGCTTGCGCCTAAAGATCATCAGCGGCACTGTGTACAGCTTGGTCTTGTTCCTGTAGCTGCTCCCCTGTTAGGATCCTGATTGTGTACTCTCTATTATATATGCTTGTCAGACTGGCCTTGTGGCCTTACCTTCAGTGGCTGGACTAGTAGTGCCACCCTGGCTTGCTTCAGTTTTGGTTGTATTCTTGCTGACTGGTCTCCAGACCCCTGCCTCAGTGGTTGGACTAGTAGTGCCGCCCTGAGCTGTTTGCTTCTTGTTTAGTTTCACCCCTTGTCTAGCCTAGGGGGTGTGTCAACTTATACATATTATCTATGTAGAAGTTATAGGCTAGACTGAGGTATGCTTCTAGTGAGTACAACCAACTAGTATTTGTTCTAGGTTTCCACTTCTAAACATTATTCGTTCTCACTTTAACAGCCAGCACCGGACGTGTCGAAACAGTTTTGGACGAAATCGCACGTAAGGTGTCTCATGAGCGTAAGGACAACAAAGACGCTGCAGCAGCTGACGTGGCAGCACGAGCAGCAGCCGAAGTAGCAGCAGCAGCAGCAGCCGCCCGATCACAAGCACCCGGTACTGTAGCCGCGCCGGCAGTCGTGCCGATAGTGACGACAGCGACAATCAAACCGACAATGCCGCCCCCGTTCAACCCCACAAATAAGAATACTACTATTACGGGTTGATAAATCGGGAGACAGCACGAAGACTGCACTTATCGTTGGAGCGGTGTCTGCCCGAAATAAATGTGAGACTGGTGGATGACACCCCGCTGGCGATACGATACAAAGTACCAATCATTCGAATGAAGTGTGGCAAAGATTTCGGCTTCAGCGCGCCGATGTTAGCAACAATACTCGATGGCTACGATGTGCTGTTGCGACACGATTGGTTGCGAATATTCAATCCACAGATCGATTGGACGACAGGCGAGTGCACGGTGAAGTGCGAAAAAGGCTGGCGAAAATTACCCACGTGGTCGGAAGCAGATTCAACCTCAACACGAGTCAACGTTGTGTGCCTCTATCGAGCGGCCAAGAATGGAGCAGATTTGTACGTCGTCCATCTAACCGAATCCACGGAGAAGAACGAGGCGACCGACATCAATAAACTCTGCGCTTCGGTCCCGGATGACTTGGCAAAAATCATTCGGGAATACCCCGAGATTTTTCCGGACAACCTGCCAAGTGGACTGCCACCCGAACGACCCTAAGACCACAAAATCGAGCTGGAGCCCGGCGCGCAGCCTACTGTACGAACTCAATGGCGCCTGACTCAGCCCCAGCTACACAAATTACGGAACCAACTTGACTACCTGCTGGCAAAAGGGTTTATTCGACCGAGCACATCCCCGTTCGCAGTACCAATCCTGTTCACCCCAAAGAAGGACGGCGGACTTCGCATGTGTACGGACTATCGTGCCCTTAATCAGGTAACGATGAAATCGTGCTACCCAATCTCACTCACGGACGAGCTGATTGACAACCTTCGCAGAGCTCGCTACTTTTCGAAGATCGACCTTCGTGGCGGTTACCATCAAATTCGGGTGTTCGCTGACGACTGCGACAAGACCATGTTTCGTACTCGCTACATGAGTTACGAATACACGGTGATGCATTTTGGATTAACGAACGCCCCCTCGATGTTCCAGCTCACCATGCACGAGGTGTTCCGCGATCTACTTGATAAATGTGTGAAAATTTACTTGGATGACATCCTGATCTACAGCAAGACCCGGGAGCAACATTTAAAGGATTTGGAAGCGGTTTTTCACGGAGGGAATTCAAATAGACCCGAAAAAACTCCGGGCTATTCAGGAGTGGAAACCGCCAACAAATCTGATGCAATCATTTCTAAGTTTTGTGAATTACGTGAGGCGGTTTATACCCAACATTGTGGGGTTAATTGGAACTCTAACCGACCTATTACAAAGAAGGGACTTCTTAAGGGTGGGGGGAGAAATAGCAAGCTGTGTTTGATGCATTAAAAACTCTTTCAATGCCGCCACTCGTACTTCGCATCGCTGACCCGGAACGGCCCTTTGAAGTCATTACCGACGCAAGTGACATCGCCATCGGAGCAGTGCTCATGCAAGATTTCGGCAATGGTCTTCAACCAATCCCGTACGAGTCTAGAAAAATGCAATCTGCTGAGCGCAACTACCCAATTAACGACAAGGAGATGCTGGCGATTGTCCACGCATTCAAAATCTGGATGCGCTACCTGACTGGAGCACACGTGACAGTGCGAACCGACCATAAATCCCTACAGTACCTGAGGGCGTAGCCGAATCTCAACCCGCGGCAGATACGCTGGCTGGACTATCTGGAGTCCAACTTCACGTACAAGATCACGTAAAAAAAAATGCGCCAACAATATTGTTGACGCCCTCTCCAGACCGTCTGCCCAACTCGCAGCAGTTCTAGTCGCCCAGTGCAACCCGCTACTGAGTGGACTATTTACCCATGGGTATTCGACTGACCCCTTCTTTGTAAATGACGGCCATCTCCAAATCACTACACGGAAAGGCGACTATTACTTACGAAGCGGGACGAATCAATTTTGAGTCCCAAGTTATCTTCTACTTCGCGAATTACTAATTCAAGAAGTCCACGATTCGATTTTTTAGGGACATTTCGGGTTTGATAAAACTCTGAAGGCGTTGCAGCGGTTTTACTATTAGCCAGATATGGCGACGGACGTGTAGCGTTACGTGGCCACGTGTCCGATCTGTCAGCGAATGAAATCATCACATCAGTGACCGTTAGGACTATTGCCGCCCCTCGAGCCACCTCAACGCCCATGGCAACACGTGACGATGGATTTCGTCACAGGTCTGCCGGCCGGATCCAGTGGAAACGACGCAGTATTGGTTGTCGTCGACCAATTTGACGAAAATGGTGCATTTTGCTCCATGTCGTACAACCATCACAGCCGAAGAAACCGCGCGACTGTTCATTTCGACCGTTGTTCGCCTACACAGGATACCAGCAGCAATCATTAGCGATCGAGACCTGAAGTTCACATCGAAATTTTGTCAGGACACGTGGATTCGGTACGACACACGCCTGTAACTCTCATCCGCTTATCATCCCCAAACGGACGGTCAGACAGAGAGGACAAACCAAACGATGGAACAGCTGATTCAGACAAACTGCCCCGACCAAAACAAATGGGAGGACGCGCTTCCAATGTTGGAATTATCCTACAACAACGCGCCCTCAGCTACGACTAATCACTCCCCGTTTTACCTCAATTACGGTATGGATCCGACAATACCTATCTCTACCAACATTGAGAGTCAAGTACCACGATCGCAACAGTTCGTCAAAGAATTACAGACTGCCCGAGACAAAGCTGTCGAACTTATTCGCAAGGCGAACGCTACCGCTCGACGGTATGCAAATTTACATCGACGGGATATTACAATGGCAGCAGGGCAACTAGTCCTTTTGGACACCAAGAACTTATGGCTGCCACTACCGACAAAATTACGACCACGTTTCTGTTGCCCATTCAAGATCATGACGATGGTGATGCCGGTGACCGCCCAGTTGCGCCTACCCGATGATTGGAGTATTCACAACAAGTTCCACGTGAGCCTGTTGCGACCCTTCGTACCTGACACATCGGACATCTCTCGACAGTGATTGGTCCCGGATGTACGGCCACCAGCAGAGACGACCATCGAGCCTTCGAAGGTTTTGAGCCATAGGATTCGTATCGACGGCCAAGGACGACATGTTGACTTTGTGATACGATGGACCAATTGTACCAGTGAGGACGACACGTTGGTGCCCTCGGACCAGATACAGTCACTTTCGGTACTTGCGAATTATTTGGCCCGCAAGCACGTATCTGATATAGATCACATTCGCTAAAGGGGGGGGGGTGTAAGGAATTTTCCATCCCTTACCGAGCGGTACTGCTATCGCGTAGCTCGAACACACCCGAAGCCTCGGGACGGTTCCGGACCTTTATGACAGAACCGCCTCGGCTTCTCCAGACCTTCTAGCTCGACCTTCGGGAGTTCTCCAGGCCTCGTTTCGTCACTTCGAGACCCTTCGATCTCCTTCCCGAACCTTTGCATCTCATGGTTAGACTAGCTCTGGTGTTCCTATATCTTGGCTTGCCATTCCTTGTACCGTCATTCAGTGATTCAACACTTCGTTATTAATTTCCACACTACTCTGCTTGTTCATTCATAACATTGTTCCTCTTTATGATATTCCACCCCCTCGTTATGTGTTGCATAAATTATTTCAGGCTTTCATACTCATACGAATTCTTCCCAGGACCATCACACTACTTTTCTTTAATTGGTTGAATGCACGCGTGAGTGCATATGGATCAGGTGTGATTTTTATCATAATATTCTAGTCTGATCGTATGAAATTTTAGACCAAGTTTTTTGCCGTTCCTGATTTTTCAGACTTGCCCATTTTTGAATACTGAACCCTTCAGAGGTACATGTTTTTGAATTTTGGGAATCTCTGACTTTGCCCTTAGCTGATACAGAGTTTTCAGAGCGCAGCGTGTACGGACCCTAAGACACACACACTGCACCACATGCCCTCAAGGAAATTGACGAAGTCCCAAACGGCCAGAGTCAAGTTCTCCTCTCAGGGTGCATTCCACAGCGAGTGTTAGACCCGAGGGTTTAGCGGGAAGATCCGAGGCTGAAAAAAAATTGCCTCGGGTCCTACGAAAAACTGACGGCTCCAGCCAATCAGCTGTCAAACCGAACAAACTAACAAGTCGCGCAAATGAGCTTCCACCAATCATAACTTCGCAAATTTCTTTTGGACTCGAAAAGTTCGGCCAGTATAGTCGCAACCCTCCCCTTGCGACAGTTCGCGACTATGCAGCTGCTGGACCGTCAAGAAAATTAAACCCGCAGTTAGGTTGTGACAACCCGCGGCTCCTTCGGCCGCGGGTCGACCTCGGGTCTGACACTCATTGCGGAATGCACCCTCACTTCCCACCATATGAAAAATCCGGCTCCTAGCAGCAAGAGACAGCCTGTTATGAGTGGGAATGGAACAATCGAATGAGTAATGGAAATAATCCCTAGGAGTAATGATTGATCAGCAAGTGACGAGCGAACTGGCTAAAGTAGGGCTCGTACGTGCTAGGGCGAGAACCTCGGGACGTGATGTAGCTTTGAAGGCTGGCGAGGGTGTCGGAACGCGACTCGGGAAGGGTTGGGCCGACAATCGAGGCCGAACCTGCGAGGTCGAGGTCTTCGGGTGTACGCGCTGTAATTTAGCGCAGTAAGGAATTGTAATTCCTTACACTCTCCCACCCTCTAAAGAAGCCCTCCGTACACTAGAGGCGATACCCTGATGGATTAATAACCCAATCGCGAGTGTGACTCTAGGTCTAGAAATCTTATGGCGAGCGTAATGATTACGCCGTCCTGACGAGTCTTGGGCGAGCCAAGTCCGACGGCTGAAATTGGTCGAGAGATGTTTTGACCGTTGGGCGATTATCACGAGTCAGCAATGTCGGCGGCGAAATTGTCAAGGTCGCTCTGATGGAATCTCCAGATTGAACGGCTGTCGATGACTTTAGTTTGGCAGGATATTGCCGAATGGCAGAGGCTGTAGAACGTGGCAATCCCGCAGGCTTATCATGACGCTTGTCTTGAGATGTCGAAAGCAATCGTGGCCGTAAATCTTGAGAATTGATCGGAGGTAAAATACCTCAACTGCAATATATACCCCGTTAAACTCAATTTCGAAGAGGTCGATGAAACTCCAACGGTTAGGACTCTTAAATTTGCTCCAAAGTTGAATGTTGCTGCAGGGAAAACCGCTTCTGAAGTCCTGAAAAATAGCAACACTGCTCCAGAAATAACTCCCAAACGAAAAGAAAAATTCTTCGCGAGTCAATCCACTGCTTGCGAGCTGGCCCCAACACAGCTCCAACAGTATTGCTGTCAGATCTGGTCGATTCGATACTGCTCCAGGTGGATGGCGAGGTCGTGTTCGATATAGCGTACGAAGGTAGGCGAATTGACGATGGAGGCGGTAGCGGGTGAGGGCGAGAGGTTGACGACGATGGCGATGGAAAATGATATGTCCTGACCCGATCGAGTAAACACTCTTGATCCGAACTCAGGGTCACTCGGCTGCAGCTCCGTTTTGTCCGTACATGCCGAAAATTTTGGAAATAGCTGAAACGGGTGCTGCTCCTTCACTCTCCAAGAAGCCAAACTACTCCGCAAAAATCGGATGATGTCGCTTGCACCCCTGGATATAGCGGGCACCACGTCAGCTGCAAAACCTTGAACTGTTTCACTATTTCTTCTAGTGAAAATGTCGGAACTTCTCCCGTAACTTAACAAATACCGCAACCCCGCTTCACAGCTGCACGTGCTTCGCAGCTACCCGTAAAACACTGACGCGCCGTCCTTTAGCTGCACCTCCATCGGTCCGGCACCCGCTGTACGCATGAACCGAGCCCTTTAATCGAGGGTACTCGTCGTTCACCGCCAGGGCATGGGACTTCGGCCGTCGATCATGGCTTGCGAGCATCATACGCCGTCGATCTCCTCACAGTGGTAACCCAAACTCTTAAAATACCCTTGTACCCCTGACCAGCAGGCCGTGCAGATGTTCACCCATCTCGCGGCTGCTGCAGGTTAACCCAAACCGCTTCACTGCTACTCACGTACCCGTAAATGTCAGATGCTTAACAGCTGCGCCGCTGGTCTTCGAAGAATTCCCCATCTGGTACCGTGTGTTTTTGCAGCGCGCCAACGTTCACCCATCTTTGCGCTCGCCATGACACCGGATAAGTCCTAGGCATTACCGCGCGTCGTAGTAGCCCATATAAATACTGTATGGGACAACTCCCCCCGCTTAGCCGCACTCCGAAAACTTCGGATACAGTGTCCAGCTCCAGCTGCAATAGTGTCGACTTCAAATATTTCTTCACGGCTTCCCCGACTATTTCGGCAGGTCGTCGTTCACCCAACATCCCGCTTCTGCCGGTAAGTAAACGGCTGTAAAACCGTAATCCGGGGCAGGACGGAGCAAAAGCTAGCGCGCACGCCTGTAGTCGGTTGAGCTAAAATATTAACTCCCAGCCAACCGCTACGCAGCCGTGCAAATCCCCTCCGGCACCATGAATTACCCAAACCCCCCCCCCCCCCCCCCCCCCCCCTTTTTTCTTCTTCTTCTTCCAGCTGGTCAAGGTGGCCCGGACGGAGCAGAAGCCAGCACACACGCCATTAATCACCGAAGCGATCGCTGTGCAGTCATGCTAATCCCCTCGGACGAACACCATTTCCAGGTCAGCTCCCCAAATTTTCGCCAGCACGAAGGAAGTTCCAGCTCTAACCCCCGTTACGGACCTGGAATGTGAAATGACCCCATAAATCACCACTACTCCCAGGTGGAGGCCGTTGCAAGTCGGTGGAAAGGACGCTCCGTCAGCCGGTGGCCAAACCGCTACGGACGCGCGGCAAAATCTGCTGTCCTGAACTTCCCCTCCGCCGCAACCTTTTTTCTTATAGAATCTGAAAACTTCGTCCTTGCGGTAACCCACGGAGACGCGCGCGACGGACTCGTCCATAATTTATTTTGCAGCATCCGTGGGTTGCGCCCCATGTTCTTTTTATCGCGGAGCCCTGGCCGTCGTTTCTCGAGCTGGTTTCCTCGTCAGGAAACTTTTGCCCGGCATGTAGGTACAGTGTTGGCAGGTTGTAGACCACGCATAAAGCCTTACTGCAATCCAGCTGCCAACTGTTTGTCACGTGTCGGTGACGTCCCAGTGCCATCCTGATGTTGTACGAAAGTTGGTCGTTGTCGAAGTTTGCCGCTTCCGGATTTTTCGTCGAATCAAGGTCGCGCAGACTTACTGCCGTTGTCCCCTCGCCGAAGTTACCAGAGCGCGACGACACACCAAGGCCCAATCCTCAGAGGTTGTCGGTTTGCACATAAAACAGAGCGTCGGCGAATTCTTCGCGTCTCTCGCTCCCCGCACTTTCCCCGTGTACACTTTTGACGCATCGCACGTGCGCCCGGTGAACTCCAAAATCTTCTCACAACCGCTGACGACGTCTTCCGGCGAGCCGCTTGAAGATTTCCCGCCACGTGGCGACGACGCCATGTTGCCACACAGAACGAACGAAGTAAATGCATAATTCACCAACTCACGTGGCGAATTAATGTCGTGACAGCCACAGCTGTCCGTTCCTAGGGGGAGGGAGGACCCGACCAAATCAAGGTCGTCCAAAGGCAAGGGTCTGGTGACGAAGGGAGCGCACACGCCTTAGTCGGACGGGCTAACAAATTAGCTCTGAGGCAACCGCTGTGCAGCCCCGCAGCCCACCAGCCATCCCTCCTTCCCCCCCCCCAAGAAAAATTATCCTAGGAGTAATGATTGATCAGCAAGTGACGAGCGAACTGGCTAAAGTAGGGCTCGTACGTGCTAGGGCGAGAACCTCGGGACGTGATGTAGCTTGGAAGGGTGGCGAGGGTGTCGGAACGCGACTCGGGAAGGGTTGGACCGACAATCGAGGCCGAACCTGCGAGGTCGAGGTCTTCGGGTGTGCGCTGTAATTTAGCGCAGTAAGGAATTGTAATTCCTTACACAGCCCCTCAGCTAGCACACCCAGCAGCCCAGTAAATTAGTTGAAAGTCATTTCTAGAGACACCCCTCTCACACCCCCAGCAACCCACGAAAATCGACCCCGTCTTCCATTTCTAAAAACATTATTCCTACACCCTTTTCGCCTATAAAAAGTTTCTCCAAGTTGTCTAGGAGGCTGACACAAATCCTTCAACAACCAATCACACTACGGGGTTAACCCCCCCCCCCCCCCCCCCCTCTCTCTTTCCTCCTGGGTTGCTCTTCCTCACCTTCCCTTCTCCCCTAAATGTTTGCTAAAAAGACATTGAGATTACAGGTGTTTTGACTGCGAGTTCCTTCTGACAAGTTTGTAGCCTCCTCTCAATTCCCGTAAAACATGATCCAGCAATTCCCGTAAGAGGGTGTCCAAAGTAAATTTCGACCATCCGACGACATCCGTTGGGGGATGTCGAGGGATGTCGACCATCGATTGGAAGAAATCGATAGTCAGCATCCCTCGACGTCCCCGAATGGATGTCGTCGGATGGTCGAAATTCACTTTGAACATCCCCTGAAACACGACCCATAAGGTTCGCCACAATTTTCCGACTGGCTCGAAATGATACCAGACAAATTTTGACGGGCATCTTATGGGCTCACCACAATTGACATTTCGAGACAGGCATAATGATGACGCCATGCTGGATTGTACAAGCACAATGCGTGGTCGCTTTTCAGCCATGTCCGGGTTGTGGTGATGGTGCGGTGACCAAGAATATGCTGCCGCCTCTGTCCCAAGGTTGAGCTGCTTGTGGAGGGAGGCACGCATGTGGTCTAGAATCGAAGCACTTATCGCCTCATGTTGAACGACTGCTTCTCGGGGATTGGCCGCGGTGGCACCGCAAGTCTTCCTGTCTCGTTTCCGCCCCAGGTTCTTCGCGGCGCTCCCAGCCGACATCGAACGGGTGGCGGAGGGGAGAACCATTCCAGAATCAAAGGAGTCACGACGGGCAGCTTCCAATCAGCGGGGCACTCGTCTCGTGTTTTCGCTACGCTCGCATCGCAAAAGATTCACCTCGGGCAATTCCGCCAAACGATTTCAGTGTGCCCACCATTGCAAACTCGAGTGATTCGCTCGGCTGATCTTTTTCCATTCACCAGTCCGCGTTCCCGCGCCAACATGCACCTCTCCGCTCTGCTTTCGCCGCGTGACGCGTCACCCCATTTTGTCAACAATTCCCGGGGATGCCCAATGCCTGCAGAAGAAGGCCGCAGCTCACTCCATCGCAGTGCACGCTAGCCAGCTGTGTTGGTGGGAGGCGAGGCGTGTGTCAGCCAGCTGTAAAACACCCCATTTCTCCGCAACACCTGCTTTTTCCAACCCGAGCTTCAACCGTCGCCTCGCTGCTCCTTGTGCAACTCCTCTCTCCTGTCCTCTCTGCCACTACGGACGCGTTCATCCCCTTTCCGACCTCAACGTTATCCTCACCTTGGATTCTAGAAACACCAAAACACAGCAGTAGTAACTCGAACCATAGTCGCTCATCGCTTTGGAGGCGAACCATAGACGCTCTCCAGCCGCCGCGTAGCGCGTCAGAATGCCGGCTATGGCGATGAAGCTGTTCAAGCGCGGGCAGGCCGTGCTGCTGATGCTGCCCGACGGCGGCATGCGCATGTACGCGGACGCGGTGCGCGTGGCGCGCGTGATGAAGGACTACCCGGGCTTCATGGTGGGCTCGCACAACTCCGCGCGCCTGCACCTGCCGCCCGAGAAGCTGCTGCGCCCCGGCAACTCCTACTTCCTGCACGCGCCCTCGCCGCTCGCCGCGGACGCGCTGCACGTGGATGGCGAGGCCGGCTTCGACGCCTTCCACGGCGACGGCGACGACGAGAGCTCCGCGGATCAGCAGTCGCCCACGATGGGCGCGATCGGCAAGCCGTGGATGGCGGCGCAAGAGGTGAGCATGTCTCGCATGGCTTAAGCATGGAAAGCGAGGTTTATATGTAACGTGCGTTGCGTTCACCGTGCGAGCCCATGAGCGACCGCGCCGCCTTCCATTATCTCGCGGAACTGCGGCGCAGCGCGTCTTTGATCTCCGCGCGCAATCTAACGCCGTATCTCTGCTACCTTTCCCCCTCCCCATTGCCCGTCACAGTCGCGCCGCTTCAGCGTCGCTCATCGCCCCGTCACAGCGGCTCGGCCATCCGCGCCGTCCCGCGCCAATTCCGCGCCGCGCTACAGCCTCGACGTGCACAGCGACAGCCGCGGAATCCGACGCAGTTTCTCAGCCAAAGATCTGCAGGACGTGCCCGTGCCCGTTTCACCGCCACCGGCGGCGCCCGCACCGGCGCCGATGGGTCCGCCGCGACCTCCGGCATCGCGCCTGGGTATGCGGCGAAGCGCGTCGGCGCAGAACCTCGCTCAATCCCCGGCGTCAGTCGAGCTGGCCGTTGCGCTGTACTCCCAGCCGGAGCACCCGGATCAGCACGGCTATCCGCACCCGCCGCATGCGCATGCGCATCAGCAGGGTCGTCATGCGAGCATGGATTCGCAATCGCAATTGTTATCGCCGTCGCAAACGCAGCGCCAGTCGCAGTGGGACGGCTCCTCGCGCTTCGCGGCAGACGCGGCTCTGCGGCAGCACTGCCAGTGGCGGGGCGAGAACGCGTCTACCGCGCCGGCAGGAGGCTCGTCGTCCGGTTGCTTCGCGCGGCCGCTCGCTGCTGACACCTGCCAGCCGTTCAGCTCATCCGGGCCCATGACGGCGGGCCGGCTGACTCGGCGCGCTTCTCTCGCGATGGACATGTCCGCCCTCGCCGCCTCTCCCTCCTCCCTCTATCCCCCCCCGTCCTTCCGCCGCCTCCCCCCCGACTTCCAGGCGCAAGACGCCAGCCCCACCCCAGCGGTGCCCTCGCGCCTCCTGTGCGCCGGGGATGTGCGGATCGCGTTGGGCGGCGGCATGAGCAAGTCGCAGAGCTACCCGGATTTTAGGGGGCTTGAGGGGGGTGACGTGGCGCAACGCGCGCAGCCGGGCCCAGGCAGTTTGGGGGGTAGCGGAAGCGGAGAATGGGGGAGCGGGGGAGGCAGTCCGGGGGCGATTTGGGAGGAGGACGAAGAGGACGAGGGGGCAGCGGAAAGGAGCAGCAGCAATGGCTTAGGCCGCATGCGCTCTGGCATTCCCAGTAGATACGCCGTGCCAGAGCCGCAGCAGCAACAGCAGCAGCAGCAGCAGCGAGCGTGGTTGGGAGGGCAGTATGGGCATCCCACTCCCCCGACCATGTCCTATCCTCTCCCCCCTGTCTCGCCGCACGCCCTTTCCATCTCCCCCTCCTCCCCCTGCCACCACTCCCCCAGTGTGTTCTCGCCCCTCGCCCACTCAGCGCACCACCACCACGCACACCGCCGCCACCTGCAGCTGCAGCACGGGCTGTAGCGGGCGGGGGGAGGTCAGACAGTGCATGTGGTGCAGGGGGGAGGGGGTGGTGAGGCCCCCAGAGCTTGCTGACTGCAGCTGTGGATGAAGGGGCAGGCACGTGGACGCACAGCAGCGAGCAGCTGCTGATGACGAGAGCCAGGCGGACCATGTTACGTACCCGAGTGCTGCAGCAGCCATATGGTAACGTAGAAGGGTAGCGAATGCCCCTAGATGTGAGTGGTGTGTGGTGTGTGGTGTGTACAGGAGCTGCCAAAGGGAAACACAGGTTACCTCATGCTCTGCAGAAATACTGAGCTATTAGTTTATTTGACCAATACATTATAACTTGTGTAACATAAATAAAGAATCTTATACATGATTGAGACCAAGCTATATCAGACCAGCAGCCTCACTTACTGCTTGCCAGGGCACCCCGCAGTTAGTTGTTACTGTGCCAATCCACAGCGCCCCCTCTAACTGCTGGCAGGCACAGTGCCAGTGGAGGCAGAAGATGAGGGAGCGGGGTGAGACAGCGTGGCGGTGGTAGGAGGGGGGGCAGCGATGGTGCTACGCGAAGACACACCAGCAGCAGCAGCAGCAGCTGAAGGCGAAGCAGCACCAGCAGTGGGCGCAGCAGACGGCGGGGCGCAGCGCCAGTTGGAGGCGGCGAAGAAGGGCTCGCTGCGCCACGTGATGATGAGCGCGTCGCCGCGCCGCTCGATGCCGTACCCCTCGCGGTACCGCTTCAGCAGCAGCTGCACAGCCGCGGCGCACGGGGAGAGACAGAGAGAGGGGGGTGGAGGAGAAGGGTTGAGAGGGACGAGTGAGGGATGGAGAGAGAGAGTGGGCAGGGGTTGGGGCGCAGGCCCAGGAATGGGCAGGCATTAGAGAGTGAACACACTGACACAAACAACAAACGCTGCATGCTTCCCATCAACATGCTCCACGACAGCACTCACATGGGCATTTTCCTCCACGTCAGCACTCACATGGGCATTCTCCTCCTCGTCAGCACTCACATGGGCGTTCTCCTCCACGTCAGCACTGACGGGCCGGGGCAGGAACCCGCAGCGCTGCATGCGTTGCTGCCACCGCGCGTGGCTCTCGTGGCGCTCCACCCTCTCGCGGCCCTCACAGGCGATGATGTTGACCAGCTTGCGCCCGAAGATGCGCTCCTCCACCAACGCGCGCTCCGTGCTGTTCCAGGGCAGGCTGGCGTCCAGCGACTCAAACAGCGCGCTGAAGTAGTGCAGGGCCTCGCGGAAGCGCGACAGGAACGACGGGATGTTGTGGTCTGCGTGCTGTTGAATGGGTGGGGGGGGGGGGGGAGGGGCAGTGGGGAATGGGGGTGAGGTGGGAAAGCAAAGGGAGATGAGGATGAAGGTGTGTCCGCCACCCTCAGTCAAACTCTTTGGGCCACTCCCCCATGCACCTGCTCTCCATGGGCGTCACCACTTTGGGGTTGAGCGCGCCCATCACCATATCCACCTGGTCCACACCCAACACCTCTCAGCGCACCACCTCCCACCCCCCTCCTACCCCCCCCGCCGCACCTGCTCGATGAGTGTGACGATGGTGGGGTTGAGCGAGCGGATCATCTGCAGTGTGAAGTTGCGCTGGCTGGGCGCGCCGGGCTGCGTGCTGTAGTCGCGCATCTGGTGCAGCCTGAGCAGGCAGTTCACCACCAGCACCTCGTCGCTGCGCACGCCCAGCTGCTCCGGCCGCACGTCGTCCAGCGCGTCCGTGATCGGCGTGAACTCAAACGGCACGCCGATCACCCGCGCGAACGATGACAGCCGCCGCCCCGTCTCCTGCGCGCAGAAAGAGGCCACTCACGCATAGAAGTGGGGGAGCCGGGGGAAGAGGTGGGGTAATTGGGAGGTGAGGAGGAGAAAGAATGGGGACGAAATGGTTGGAAGTGAGGTGTTAGGGTCCCCTGAGCATGAGAAGCAGCAGTCAAGTCAACAAGCAGCATGCAGCAAGCCACACAGTGAGAACTCAACCAGCCAACCATTCAACCACCCAACCCACCTCCAGAGACGACGGCTTGAGCCCAGTGAGAGGCGCATCCACCCCGGTGATCCTCAAATGCGGCGGCCCCCCCGGCCTGGTGGCGAGGCTCTCGAGCAGCGTGGGCCACTGCGTGCCGTGGGTGATGCCCAGGTCGATCACGTGCACGCGCTTGGCGCCCTCCACCGCCTCCAGGATGCTGCCATTGGCCACCAGGTGCCCGAAGTTGATCCACGGGCACGCCTCGCAGAACACCAGCACCGCCGACAGCATCGCCTTGCTGGACGGGCCCGGCTGGCTGCCCTGCCGGGATTGCAGAGCCTGCCGTGGAGACGGGGAGGGGGGGGACGATGGGGAGGCGGAGAGGGGGGGGACGATGGGGAGGCGGAGAGGGGGGGGACGATGGGGAGGCGGGGAGGGGGGGGTAAGAGGGAGGAAGGGCAGTCAGGAGTGAAAGGCAGGAGTTGATGCGTAAATATCCCACTCACGCTCTGCAGCCGCCTACTGCACCCACCCTGTGACTCGCGAGCCCGCCCACCTTATAAATAGCGGACCCGGTGCCGGCAATCCTGGCGGCCAGCGCCTCCAGGAAGTAGTACCCCAGGCGCTGCTGCGCCGTGCCATGCGGCGACACCAGGTGCGCCAGCGCCGACATGAGCGAGTGCGCCTGCCCCAGGTCGCGCCTGTCCACGGCGGCGGCGCACTCCATGAGCGCCTTCTCCATTGGAGAGGTCACGGCGCGGAACGGCGGGGGGAGGGGCGGCACCAGCGACGCCGCGTCCGCCATGGGCGGCCCTTGGGGAGGGCTGACTCCGTTCTGGGAGGAGTCACGCGCTGCTTCTTGGGCTGGTGGCTGAGCAGGCAGTGCGTGCACAGCAGGTGAGACTGGTGAAGGTGTGACCTGAGTGGCTTGACTAGGGTGCATGACTGTAGCCACCTGCATGCCGTGTGTTGTCTGCATGCTCGGCAGCGCGTTGAGCGATTGGCGGGCTGGCTGGGGCGGAAATTGAGGAGGCTGGCTCCAACCCTGTTGCTGCTGTGACTGTGACGAATGATGTTGGTGCGCTTGTAATAAGTGTTGCTGCTGTGCTTGTAAAGAGTGCTGCTGCTGTGCTTGTAGGGAGTGCTGCTGCTGTGCTTGTAGGGAGTGCTGCTGCTGTGCTTGTAAGGAGCGCTGCTGCTGTGCTTGTAAAGAGTGCTGCTGCTGGGCTTGTAAAGAGTGCTGCTGCTGTGCTAGTAAGGAGTGTTGCTGCTGTGATTGTAACAGATGCTGTGGCTGCGAGTGGAGTGGGCGTGGTTGCTGCGCCTGTGGAGGATGTTGAGGTGTGGCCAAGGGAGGGAGGGGCGGCGCGCAGTGAAGGGAAGGGGTGTCTGGGGGAGGGGGGTGGGGGGGTTGGAGGGGATAGGATTCGAGGAGCGAGGTGATGTCAGCGCTGGCCACGGAGTCACTCTTCATGCCCGCGCTCAGCACCGATGGCAGCTCCAATGCCGCCTGCTGCTGCTGCTGTTGCTGCTGCTGCTGTTGCCACTGTTGCTGCATTGCTTCCTGTTGTTGCTGCTGCTGTGCCTGTTGTTGCTGCTGCTGCGCTTGTTGTTGCTGCTGCTGCCATTGCATTCGCTGCTGCGCCTGCTGCGCCTGTTGCTCCAGCAGCAGTCGATCCACCTGCTGCGCGTGCCACTCTCTCTCCCCGCGCCTCTGCCTCTTCCCCCCCCCCTGCCTCTCCGCCAGCAGCCTCAGGTAGTCCGACGGCACTCGCAACAAGCTCCCCCTCCCCCCGCCCACTCCTGGCGCCCCGCCTGCATGGTTAAGCCCCGGAGGCGAACCCACCCCATACGGCCCCTGCTCCCCCTGCTCCCCCTGTTGCCCCTGCTGCCCCAGCTGCTGCTGCTGCTGCTGGTACCGCGGTGGCATGGCGGGAGGGGGCATTGCGCCCGTGGAGCGCAAACCCGCCTGCTGCTGTGCGGCCTGCTGCTGTGCGACCTGCTGCTGTGCCGCCTGCTGCTGTGCCGCCTGCCCTGGCGGAGGGTTGGGCGGCACTGCCGGCTGCGCGTGCACCATCTGCTGCCGGCGGAACTGGCTGCCCAGACTCAGCGACCGCGCGCCTGGGATCGCGCCTCCCCTGCCGCCGCTTCCGCTGCTTCCGCCTGCGCCATGAATCCCGCCACTGCCTCCTCCTGGCAACGCCGGCGTGGCAGGTACTTGCTTGGGCAGAGCGCCTGTGCTTTCCCCACTTCCCGCGCTCCCTGCAAGCTCCATTACTAGTTCCCCTCCCCCTCCTTGCTCCGCCGCTTCCCCCTCCGCGGCCCTCTCCGCTCCCCCGACCCAGCAAACGCGCGAAAAGTCCCCCCGCAGCTGCGCGCTCTCAAATGACGTCAGCGTCGGCGCGCCGGTGCTTCCGCCAGTGCTTCCGCCCGCTACCCCCGTGGATAGGCTGCTGTGCGGACTACCCAGCCCCGACTGGCTCCGCGGAGTGACCCCCGCGCTGTCCGCGGAGTCCGCGCGGCGCATGGCATGAACGTCGGGCACTGGGCCGGCCGGCACGGAAGGACCAGCGGCCGGCAACGCGGCATGCGGGGGGCTGGCAGACGCGAGGCCCGTCAAAATGTCCCCGATAGAGTCCTGCGCGGGCAACGCGGGGCCACCGTCGCTCGCAGCGGCAATGGCATTGGCAGCTATGTCGGCGTCGAAGGGGTCGTCGTGGAAGGCGAGAGTGGCGAAGGCGCCCAAATCGTCGTCGTCCGGCGGGAAGAACATGTCCATCTCCTGCAGCAGCTGCGCGATCTGCACGTTGCTCACGTCCCACGACCCGCTCCGCGCCGATGACTCCGACCCCGTATGCTCCGGCGTTGTCGGCCCGAACTCGCCGACTCCCCCCGGCGCGTCGACTGCGCCTGTGTCTGTCCGCATTCGCTTCCCGCTTGGCGGCTCTTCCGCCGGTTGCGCGCGGAGACCGACATGCGCGGAGGCGGACGGGGTGGCTTGCGAGCTTGAGACCTCCGCGGCCGCGGAGCGAGGACCGGGGGAGTGATTGGCGGAAACATGGGCGGAACCGAAAACGGCCGAATTGGATTGAACGGCTGAGCTGGATCTGACGTCAGACGCACTGTCGAGCTTGGAGGAGGAGCACGAGGCGTGTAACGGTGACCTAAGAGCGCTCTGCGACACATTACGCTGCATTTCGCCAGCCGACGACGGCTGCGACGGGGCTTGCGACCGCGGCGACGGAATCGACGGCGCTTGCGAACGCGGCAACGACTGCTGCGGAATGGGCTGCCGTCGCGTGCGAATAAGGTCGAGCAGCTGCGACGCTACGTTGTCCGGCGACATGCTATCCAGATCCATGGCTACGGACTCAACGAATGGCACCGCCCAAGCTTCTTGATCAAGAATATTCGTATGGCGGTAAACTCGAGGAGACCTACGTGTAGAGAAGAGAAACAAGGGATAAGAATATCGGTATCTGGAGAAAACCTGCGTGTGAGAAGGGAGTGTGGGAGTAGGAGAAATCTAGGAGCTTCCTCTCCCCAAGCTTTGCAAGTCAAAAGGACACTCCCATGCCGCTCGTGCGGCGGGGTTAGGCCTGGTTTGGGCGGGGTGTGGCAGAAGCCCGCTGTATCGAGGGCTGGGAGGAGAGGTCTGTGAGTGAAAGGAGGGCACCCGCCACTGGTCCTGTCAAGCTGGAATGAATGCTCAAATCTGATCACGTGCCATTGCCGCCCCCAGAAAACACCAAAACGGCAACTGGTAGGTCTACAATACCGCACATTTACCGATGTACACACAACTAGTTTCCAAACGCTTCTTATTACACACTTGTATACAAACAAGTTAGTCATTGAAAAGAAAAACACTAACTATTGTACCCTACACTAATATACAGCTCACAAAACCTTGTCAATCAAAGGATGGCAGCCCCCTGATCCAGGCCCCAAGGCGTCCAAGCATGCCCAAGCAGATGGCCCGGCTACAACAGGTAATGGGCCTCGTCGCCCAAATCAACACCACCACGGAGTGGCACACGGGACCCCCAAGATAAGGCAGCTGGAAGACGAGGATGAGGGGAAGGGGGGGGAGGGGAAGAGAGGAGGAGAGGGAATGAGGGGGAACCCCTGGGTAAAGGCGAGGCGGAGGCAGAAGGAAGGTCCATCCATCCCCTTGCCCATTCTCGCCATAACCTGGGGTGTCAACCTTGCCCCCCACCCCTGCCCCTCTGCCAGCCTTACTCTGGGGGTCCCAACCCCCAACGCTTGACTAGCTCTCACTATACCATGGGCGTTTTCAGCCTGCCCACCACCACCATCACCGCCATAGAGGAGGTAATGGCCGCGGGAACATCAATGACGATGCGAGGGCAAGACAAGGGAGAGGGGTTGAAATTTGAAAACCCCAGAATAAGGAATGCTGAGCGAGGGGAAAGGGTTAAGGCGCACCCAAGGCACAGTAAGGGGGTTCCTTGTACCCCTTGCTTGCCTTAACCTTGGGTTTTTCCAAACTCCCTTTCCCCCCCTTCCCCTCAGCCAGTGTTATTCTGAGGGTCCCACCTCCCTCCCCTTAACTTGCCCTTCCCTCACCACGGGGGTTTTCAACTCCATCTCACTGCTCCCCACCTCACCACCAGCAGCACCAGCACCTCTCACCACCGCCAGCACAGTAGCACCATTCTCACCACCATCACCACCATCACCACCATCACCACCATCACCACCATCACCACCATCACCACCTGACACCACACCACTACCAGCACAGAGGAGGTGACGACCGGAAACACCCAAGGTAACGTGGGGGAAAGACAAGGGAGGGGGGTAGAAATCCCAAGCGTAAGGTGGGTGAGAGGCAGAAGAGGGGGGCTGAACCCCCCAGTTTAAGGTAGGCATAGCCCAGGCAGAGGAGGGGAGTTCCCCTGCCCCATGCTCGCCTCAACCCCCCTTCCCCTCCCCCCCCCCTGCCCCCCCTCAGCTAGCCTTACTCTGGGGGTCCCACCTCCCTCCTCTTGACTTGCTCTCACTTCACCAAGATGGCTTCCTGCCCCACCCCACTGCCCCCCACCTCACCACCACCACCACTTCCCATCACCACCGCCACCACAACTTCCCATCGCCGCCACCACCACCATGACCACTTCTCACCACCACCAGCACCACATCTCACCATCACCAGCACAGAGGAAACACCCAAGGTGATGCGAGTGCAAGACGACGGAGGGGGTTGGAATTCCCAACGTAAGGTGGCTCAGTGGCAGAGAAGAGGGGACTGGGTCGAAACCCCCAGGTAAGGGCGAGCCGAAGGCAGAGGAGGGGGATTCCCCTGCCCCACGCTCGCCCTCACCTGGACTTTCAACCCCCCTCCCCCCCAGCCTGCCCCTCAGCCAGCCGTCCTCTTGGGGCCCCAACTTCCTCCCCTTGACTTTCCTCCACTACCCCCCACCTCGCCACCACCACCACAACATGTTAGCAGCACCGCTACCAGCACTTGTCACCAGCAGCGCCAGCATGGCCGGCACAGAGGAGGTGATGGCAGCGGCAACACCCAAGGCGACGCAAGGGCGAGACAAAGAGGGGGGGTGAAACCCCCAGAACAAAGCAGGTTGAGGGGCAAGGGAGAGGGATAAAAACTCCCAGGTCCAGGCGAGCCCAAGGTAAAAGAGGGGGGGTCCCGCTGCCCTTTGCTTGCTTTGACCAGTGAGTTCCAACCCCCCTCCCCCCTCTGCCCATCGCCAGCCTTCCTCTGGGAGTCCCAACCCCCTCCCCTTGACTGACCCTCACCTCACCAAGGGCAATTACAGCCCCGCTCCACTGCCCCCACCTTACCACCAACACCAGCAGCACAGAGGAAACACCCCAGGTGATGCGAGTGCAAGACAAGGGAGGGGGTAGAGCTCCCAGAACTAGCTGGCTGAGAGGCACAAGGGGGGGTTGGGTTGAAGCCTCCAAGTTAGGGCGAGCCCAAGGCAGAGGAGGGGGATTCCCCTGCCCCACGCTCGCCCTAACCCGGGGGTTTCAACCCCCCTCCCCTTGACTTCCCCTCACCTCGCCAAGGGCATTCACTGCCCCCCACCTCACCACCACCAGCACCACCAGCACCACCAGCATCACCAGCACCACCAGCACCATCAGCACCACCACCAGCACCACCAGCACCACCAGCACCACCAGCACCACCACCCTTAGTTGGTCAAATACGTTTACGTGTACGTACGTTTACGTACATTTACGCATTACGTTTACGTGTACGTTTGCGTTCCTAAAATGAGTTTACGTTTGCGGGCAGGTTGCCCTTGGTATCGTTTTTAGGCTGCCCTTGGTACCGTTTTTTATTTTGGTGGTATGGTGAATATTGTACAAGTAAGGAGTATATTGCAGTTTGTAACACTTTCGAGTTGCTGGCTGCAGGTTTGACGAAATTGGCGATTTTGACTCGGATGGGAATTTTCCGACCGTCAATTCGTGAATCTTCCCCCCACCTCCACTCGTGACCCGTTTCCCCCCCGATCCCCCAATTTCCCGCGTCAACCCTGAATTGCGTCTCGTCATCGTACGACACTCACTAACATCCCTCGAGAATCTAGTACGACTTACCTAGATAATAGCCTTGTAACCCAATGCCGCCAATACCCCTAACGTCCGCAAGTCGTATGCCCGTAGTAGGATCGTCTCCCTGCCGAAATCGGCTAGCGCGTCGTCCGTCTGATCCGAGTAGGAGGCATTAGCTGCGATTTCGAAATTTAAGGGGAAAAAATTCCGCCCAATTTTTTTCGAGGCTGCCCGGAAAAACGTACGCGTATTTACGCATACGTAAACGTAAACGTAACCTTACGCGTAACGTTACGTGTACGTGGCTGCCCAGGCGTAAGAGACCAACCACCACCAGTTTTCACCACCTCCACTCTCGCCACCACCGCCGCCAGCACCACACCTGACCAGCACCAGCACAGGGTCGCTGATAACAGAGGAAACACCCAAGGTACTGCGGGGGCAAGACAAAGGAGGGAGGATGAAAACCCCAAAGTAAGGTGGCTGAAAGGCAGAAGATGGGGGCTGAAACCCCCAAGTTAGGGCGAGCCCAAGGCAGAGGAGGGGGGTTCCCCTGCCTCGTGCTCACCTTAACCAGAGGGTTTCAACCCCCCTTCCCCCCCCTGCCCCCAGCCAGCCTTACTCTGGGGGTCCCAACCCCGCTCCCTTGTCCTCCCCTCGCCTTTCCAAGGGATTCCCCTCTTCACTCCACCAGCACCAGCACCACCACTTCCCACCACCAGCACCAGCACCACCACTTCCCACCACCAGAACCAGCACCAGCACCACCACCAGCACCACCACTTCCCACCACCAGCACCAGCACCAGCACCAGCACCACCACTTCCCACCACCAGCACCAGCACCAGCACCACCACTTCCCACCACCAGCACCAGCACCAGCACCACCACTTCCCACCACCACCTCTCAACGCCACCTACACCACCAACTCACACCGCCACCACCACCACCACCACCGCCGCCAGCCAACACTGAGGCCGCCCCTTTCCAGTGCACCAGTCGCAGTAGCAAGAAGCATGCCTTGGAAAGCGAGTCAGGAACCAGTTGCCCGCTCAGCCCAAGGCCTGGGTGCCCCTCACTACGACGTGGCAAGAGTTGGCGCGAACCAGAGCCACTCGGCCGCAGTGGTCTGACGGTGCCCGTTATGCCTTAAACGCCGGATATTGGGCCCAAGCACAGAGATTTGAGGCGCGGCAACTGCACTGACCCACCCCACCAGCATGGCCCATGGCACCGAGAGAGGTCACCTTGAGGGGCTGCGCCCCCTGTGGCACTCCCACTCGCTGCGCTGCAGGGGAGGGGAAGGGAGGGTGAGGGGGGAACTCCACTCTGCCAATGACCTGTTCCTGTTTAAGGGAGGGGGGGGGTGGAGGGAAGGGGGAGGGTGGGTGGGGGGAAGAAGGTTACTTGACACTCCCACTCACTGCGCTGCAGGGGAGGGGGGAGGGGGGGGTGAGGGGGAACTCCACTCTGCCAATTACTTGTTCCTGTTGAAGGGTGTTCCTGTTGAAGGGGAGGGGGGGGGAGGGGGAGGAGGTGGGGGGAGGTTAATTGACAGCCCCACTCACTGAGCTGCAAGGGAGGAGGGAGGGGGGGGAGTGAGTGAAGGGGAACTCCGTTCGGCCATGGACATGTTCCTGCTGAACGGATGGTGGGGAGGGAGGGGGGGAGGGGAGGGGGGGGGAGTGGGGGGAAGGAGAGAAGAGAGTGAGATGGCAGAGACATTACCTGCACCATACCATACCTCCCCATGCCTATCTCCTAACTGCCTAGCCTCTAACCACCCAGCCCGCACTGCTGCTGCTCTGATCTGCTGCTGCTCTGCTGCTCGGCTGCAGTCTTCACGTGATGCGACATGACCTGGTAGGGAGAGGGGACGGGGGCAGGGAGGAGAGGAGTTAGTGCAGGGATGGCAAGCCAGTCAAGGCGATGATGAGCTGATGCATGCTGGAAGATGAACAGACAGGCAGCAACCAGATTCGAAGCAGGAACCTTAGAAGCCACGGGAGTGAGGAGGAACCTTACCTTGTGTGGCTCGAAAGAGGTTGAGATGGATACTCTTCCTTTCCACTGGATAGCAGCCACGCCGCCAGCCCCTCGCCTCTGCTTCAGTCCGCTGCGCCACCTGGTTGGGCAGGGAGAGAAGGGAGGTGCATGGAGGAGGGGATTGGCTGCAAGGCAGAGAATGCTGAGAGAGACCACTTATGAACGGAGGGCGGAAACAGTAGCGGAAATGACGCGAGAGGGGAAGTGAAGGGGTGAGCTTACCTTCAAAGGTCGACCACCCCCCCAGATACTCTCCCTCATGGCAGCCCTCCTCCCAGCCTTCCCATGCGCACCCCTGCACGGCCACAGGGGAGGGGCGCGGGGGAATGTCGGTGTTGACCCCACGGCCCTCCCCTCCACCTGCGATGCACACGAGCAGCAGCAGTCAGTGCCACGCAATGACTAGAAACTAGAGGTTCAAAGAGCCAAATACGACGGAGGAACAAGGGAGGGGCCACTTGTAGAGGCCAGGCCACGACCACAAGCCACAGACCCCAAGGGAACCTGCAACCTGGGGGGGGGGGGTTACCTGAACCTGAAGGGTAACCTGACCTGAGGGATTACCTGCATCTGAGGGGTTACCTGAAGTAAGGGAGTCTGTGGCTTGTGAGCTGGGACCCAACCAGTGGCATTGTTTGAAGGGCAAGCGATCGAGAAGCAAAAGCGCACTGGTACGAGCACACGCAGGAAAGCGAAAGAGGGTGCAGGTGCAGGTCGGATGGTGTGCTTAACTCATGGCGCAGCAGCGGCAGCATCGGTGGTGAAGGCTTTGGAAGAGCAGCCACTGCCAGGCGACCACAGGAGAGCATCTCCGGCCGTCCTGATGCTTGATTTCCTGCAAGGGGGAAAGCGGGCGAAAGGGGGCGGGGGGGGAAAAGGGGGGGGGGGGGAATGGACAGTAAGTGAGCTGGAAGCAGAAGCTTGAACGGGGTTTAATGGGAGGAATGCATGCGGCGAGATGGAGGAAGAGCGAAGCCACTGATGGAGGCGCACCTACAAGCCACAGACCAAGGGCTTGTACCTGGTAAATACCTGCTGGGAGGGCTTTACCTGGAGGTTAACCTGAGGGGGTACCTGAGGGGTAACCTGAAGGGAGAAGTACCTGCAGGAAGGGAGGTCTGTGGCTTGTACACTGTGCTGGCAGGCACCAGTGGCACCATTGGATCAGAAGGGAAATGACAGCAAAAACAGACATTGCGAGGTTGGTCGAAGGGAGGAAGCAATAACTTAGCTGTAGATGTGCGCGCGTGCAGAAGGCAGCTGAGGCAGCGCGAGGTGCTTCTCTGCCGCCAGATGCTCGAGGCATGAATGAGGAAGCTGAGGCGGCGTCCGGTGCTTGCTTGCTGCTGCCCCTCCGTGTCCCCCTGCTCCTGGCAATCAGAGGCCGAGTGATCTGCCAAGGGGAGGGGGCGGGAGGGAGCAGGAGGAGAACACAGTGGGGAGAGCGAATAGCAGCAGAGGCGTGCTCAGCGGCGCTGGCACCCGGCTGCATCCGTTGGAGCAACCTCAGCGCCTGGTGCATCCCCTGAAGCAGCTCCGGCACCTGTGGGAAAGGGGGGGAGGGCGGGGGTGGGGAGGGGAGGGAGGGGGTGTTGGGGGGAGGGGGTCGGGGGGATGGTCGCCCAAGGCACACATGCACGAGCGAGAAGCAGCGAGGGAGATGGCGAGGAGGAGGGGACTGGACGCGTGCATGCAGCGACAACTCTAAGGCTAACCCACTAGCGACTGACTCTATGCAAGCGGCTCAAGCAAGCGCCGTGTGCCATGGGCTTCCGGGGAGGAGGAGAGGGGGATGGGGTTAGACCAGGAACACTAGCAAGCAAAGAAGTGTGCGAGCAATACGTCAAAGCGAAAACATGGAGGAGGGTTGAAAGGGTCGAGTACTTAGCTGGCGCGTCGTTGGTTTAGGAGTAAACTCAAGGCAGAAGCGAGGGCGTTGGAAGGAAGGAGCGGCGCAGGGACTGGTGCAGTCATAGCGTTGGCGGAGCAGCCTCCGTGGCAGGTGAGTCTTGCAAGGGAAGGGGAAGGGGTGTGCGGGCGGACAGAGAACCAAGTGCGTCGAACGCGAGATAGGGGGGTCAGTCGCAGGTTGGAAGGAGGATCCAATTAGCGGAATGGGGGGGTTGCGAGATGATAGAAAACGAGGCAAGCGCGAATGAAAAACGAGCGAATTAAAGCGATGACGAGTCCCTGGCATCACAGTGGCATAGTTCGCAGACCAGACAAGGAGTAGACAACACATGGAAGGACCCGAAACCCCCACTAGAACTAGGACTGACGACGGACTCTAGAGCTTTCGACTAGACGGACTGGGGATGATCATTACGAGGCTGACAAAGGGCTGTCGTCAAGGCAGCTAGCTATGCCACGAGAGATGCCAGAGACACGTCGGTGAAAAAAATCCGAGCGAAGCTGAAATTGGGTGCGAGTGGAAGTGAGCGTGGGAGTAAACCGCAGAGAGAGAGTGGAGGTAAAAGAGGGAGTTATCTCGATTAGGAAGCGACGAGTTGAAATGGTTCGTCAGAAGTCGTTGGCTGACGACGCACGCTGACCGCAGCAGAATGCTCTGGAGAGGCTCTTCGTAGAGTTGCCAGAAGAAACCGTTGTTGATGCTGCGTGAAATGCGGCGACGTGCGAATGCCTTGCACCGCTGCAACATGCAACAAGAATGGTCATTAGCACACGAAATAAAATATCAAAATAAAACAAAGTCGGTATATGTTTCAGGAGCTTACCAGTTAAGGCTCGTCTTGGTTAGGGTGCTGACGATCTCCCGAGTTGCATGTCGCAGTTGATGCAGGAAAGCGTCTTTTCTTTCAAGAAGTAACGATCCTTCGTCCAAGCGCACTTCCGCGCTCCACGCGTCTGATCTTCGGCGTTGAGCAGCAGAAATCGGAACCTGAGCATTCAAAAAACGGTATATCTTAACAACGGCAAGGTTGGAAAAAAAAACGGTGCCAAGAACGGTATGCCGTTGCTGGAACTTACCAGATGACAGATCTCCAACGAATACTGGTAGAGAAAAAGCTGGCGGACGAGACATCTTTGTTGAACTAAATGAGAATTAGGGGGACGAAGCGGAGACGCGAGTCACTACGACGCAGCAGCAGCAGGTGCAGCAGTGGCAAACTGAACTGGAGGACGAGAAATGAGGGCAAAATGCCTCGGCTGAGAGGAGTTGTAGGCCTGTGAGCGACATTCGGCGGTTGGAAATGTTGGAAATGACATTGGAATGAGGCGAAATGCCTCTCTTGAGGAACCAAACCAATGCCAAGGGGGTGGGGGGTGGGGGAAAAAGCACGCACTTTTTACCGTGGACAGAAATCGTTCTCTGTTTGACTCGGAAAAAGCGAGGAAGGGATTGAGGACCGTTAGATCTATTCAACCAAAAAGCGCATACGGTCTAGATTGAAGTAAGCGATTCAATGGACGACGTTCAAGCTCCGGATCGCCCTTTTCGCACCCCATTTGCGTGATCCCGCCTCAAATTTTGGGAAAGTTGACGGTTTCCCGCTCCAAGAATAGACGTTGAGCTTTGAGCGAAGGATGAAGGGATCTAGGACCGTTGGATGACCTCTAAACGTCTTGATGAACGCCTCAGATCTGCTAACAACAGCTCGTAATCTATCGATGGTGGTTCACCACAACGACCGCTAGTTTTGAATCTATGAGAGCGTTGGCTGCCGTTGGATCAACCAGGAAATCTGAATATGAAGGGTGACGGATTGGCTTTCTAACGGCTGTTTTGTGGGGGTTTGAATTCCGGAAGGGAGCTAGCTGTTTGACGAAAGTTTTCGCCAGACAGGGATGCGCGACGCAATTTTCCAGTAGGCAAGGAGTTACATTTCAATGTCGCGAACCTTCCATTGCTCGCCCTTCTCCACCCCAACCAACCTCCAGCTGTCAAGAAATGTCTTCTGGCATCAGCGATCGCTACAAAGAGCGAGGCCCATAATGCGTCACAATGTTTAATATATATTTCACTCAACTATATTTCACATGTATTCTAGAAATCATGACCTTAACAATAGCGAAACGAAACCACATGGGTGGGTAGCACCAGATCATTCACATCCTCCTCCCATACCACATAGCGTGAAGGGTCATTAACATTGTCAGCTCCGGTGTCAAAGCGCAAGCTACTAGGCCGTCGTTGGGAAGACCCAAACGGAATAGCCTCGATTGAGCCAAGGGCCACACGACAAAGCAGCATGTGCTTGCGCCCCTCTCCATCAGCCACTGCAAACTCTGCACTTGTGTAGGCCCTCTGTTCCGGTGCCAGGTACACACCATCACCATACAGCCTGCCGTTGCGGGCAGCAGCTGACGAGGACAGGGAGAAGCCACTTGACACTATGCGTTCAATGGCAATCCGAGGGGCGCCATGCCAGGCCAGCCGCACATTGCCATCGCCTCCCCTTGCTCCCTTGAGCTCCCTCACAGCCGCCTCAAAGGCTTCTGTGAGGCTGGCAGGCAGCAGCACCCGCTGCACGGAGGACACGGTGACAGGCCTCATGCCGTCCTCCTGCTCCACCACCCCACCGCTCACACTGTTCTGTCTGAAGCTGGTGGGGCGGTCATCCCTATCCCTCAGCATTCCAGCCACAAACCGAGCCACAGTCTCGTCGTACTCCTCCGTGCCGGACCTCACAACCTGCAGCTTCGGCAGCGTGTCGTCATCCGAACCAGCTGCGCGTCGCCCCGGTTGGCGCCGAGCCAGAGGAGTGTTTGGTTCGGAGTGGGAGATCTCACTGCTGGCGTCATCAGACATTTGCAGAGCAGAGGGCATGACGGCAGCAGCTGCAGCCACAGCAGCTGATGAGGAAGACGGCCTATTCCCATCACCATCATCTGCATCATCCTCACCGTCATGGCGTGGGGACGAGGAAAGGCGGGAGACAAGCTGAGCGCTGGGCGCTGGTTGTGAGAGCAGGGGTTGGGGAAGGCCGGTGAGGGAGAAGTAGACAGGGCAGATGTCGACGCCGGACTGCGCGAGGGAGCGCAGCTGGTCGTCGTAGCGGTGCATGAGGCGCGGCTCCTGGCTGCCCGGGTGGAGGCCCTGGTGCGGGTTAGGGGGTCGGTTCCAGCGGCCGTTGGGCAGCACGCGCCAGCTGATGGACTTGCAGAAGAAGGACGACACGTTGAACTGCCGGGGGGGACAGAAAGGCGACAGGCAAGTGCAGGGTAGATACGGACAATGAGTCTGAGGAGACGAGAAGACAATAGACACGGGATAGTACAATTTAAGCATTTGAAAAAACCCTGGAAAGCCTTGTTGCCTTCCCATCGAACACACTGCTCCCATCTCCCCTGGCGCCCCTCACCTGCAGCTGCTGCTGGAAGTCGACGATGTAGTGCGCGCCAGTAGCGGTGGCGAGGGCAGCGAAGCCCACGCCCTCCGCGAGCTCGAAGCCCAGCAGGCGGGCGGCGTCGCCGTCGAAGGGGCGCCACTGGCCCGACTCGTAGAACGCGAACTCCGCGCTGTGCTCCAACGCGAACGCCGTCAGCGCCTCCTGCACCGCCACGTGGCTTGCTGCCATGGCCACGTGGATGGGCATGCTGCCACCCTGGCACGACGAAAAGGCAAACGGAATGACTTGAGCGCGAGGAATCACGTGAGCGCACGGACGAGCAACGACCTGAGGAATCTCGAACGGGACTCACCCTGTCCCTCATGGCGTAGTCGGCGCCCGCATTGAGCAGATGCGAGAGGATGCCCAGACGCGGGGAGGGACTGGCGGCCAGATAGTGAAGAGGCGTGCGACCGAACTGCGGAGACAACGAGCGGGTTGAGGCGAAGGGGGACGCATTGGTCGCGGCATGCGAGGTCAGAGAGGATAGCAAGGGGATGGGGAAGCAGGGATGAAGCAGATGCAGGTAGGAGATAGGGTAACACTGACATCGTCCTTTCCGTCCACGTCAGCACCAGCAGCGAGAAGCGCCTCGACCATGGCCTCGTTCCCCGCCGCCACGGCAGCATGCAGCGGGCGCCGTCCCACCAGCACCGACTCCCGCGCGCGCGCATTCACGTCCGCGCCCTTTCGTAGAAGCTTCTGCAGTTTCGCCGTGTCGCCCTTCACTGCGACTGCGTCTATGCTCGAGCCGCTCCCGGTGGACAGACCCGGCACGTGCCAGCGCACCATGATTGCGCGTCGTTAAGTTCCGCCTTTGGGTTGTCGATGGGTGTTGCACAGTGTGCGCAGGCGAGAGCCAAGACGACCAATAAATAGAGTATGCAGGGAAATGAATCTCGCTTTCGCGGCGAACGATCCCTATCTTACGACAGAAGTCAAGGAGAATACAGGAGTGACATGGGCTCGTCAGTCTTACCACAATCGCATGAATCCGCTATGCCTCCCAGGAGAATCTAGCTACGCTGAACGGATTCAGCTGCCTGTGAACTAAAGACAAGACACTCCTCACTAGGAGCTGCAAGCGCGTGTTTATCCTCCTCACCTCATGGCCTCACCAAGCCTTGGGAACGCCATCGACCATCCGTGACCGCGAGGCACTTCGTCGGCAAGTTCAAGGTGTGTCGGTCGTGTGGACTCGTGCCAGTCGTCGCAAACCGCTGCTCGCCGCAAATGAGAGCATTCGGTCGTAATTTGACGAAAGGGTCGAAACGGTGCGCATGGCTGTGCGACGAGCGAGATTGGCCAGCAAGATTTGGCGAAAGCTCGGTGAATTGGGAGAACAGGCTGACCGAACACGGCAACATGCATCGTACTTTGTCTGCCCCGATATGGAATACAGAACGTAGGCCGACTCCTTTTTGTAACGTAAGTGTAAACTTCAACTTCTGCTTTACTGTGCACCAACGGGTATTTCTTCCTCCTTCGCCTCTTTCCCCCAGCCACACCCTCCTCAACTACTCGCCTTGAGTAGGGCTGTCTGCCTTTCCTTCAGTACCGTTCTCCGTGAAGCACGGAACTGTGCTTCTCTTACTGCCTAGGAGAACTCTCTTTCTTGTAAAAACTCCTCTCTTTCTTCGGTGCCTAGTGTGCGTCCGTAAGGACTGATACGTCCATCATGGTACGTACGCTCGCTGATACATGTCTCTCATCCGCAAACCTACGATTCTCTACCCACGAGCGTCGATTGCTTTCAGGCGAGGTTGATCCTCCAATCTCGACAGTTTCATCGGCGTTTTAATTACCCTTATCTCCTTCTCCACGGCGCACGTGTCGCAACTCCGAGGATAGCTCCGTCTCCCTGTTTCTCCTCCCCTTACACCTTAACCTTCTTCCGTCCCCCAAACCCCCCTCTCCCCATCGTCACATCTCTCTCCCTGGTTGAGCGGTGCAGCCGCAGGGCGAGCACATAGAGCTTCACCAGAAGCGCCATGGCTTCCGCTTGGATCACTTCGAGCGGAAGCGGAAGCGCGAGGCTCGGCAAGTGCACAAGACGTCCCAGATCGCCAGAAATGTAAGGCGTGCTTCTCAGCCGGATTGACACACACACATGCTGTCTTCTCAGACCTGATTTCGGTTATCTTAACCGACTCGCCGTGCCTCCTGTTCTCGCTCGTCGGGCTTTTGTCCCGCCTGCTTGCGTTCATGGAATTCTGCAGACGATCGGTCTCAAGGCGAAGATGTTCGCGAAGAAGCGTTACCAGGAGAAGGCGACGATGAAGAAGACGTGAGTCACCTGGGCCTGTCCTCTTTTAAAACCCCCACATTCTTTTTAAGCCTTCCCCGATTCTTCTTCTGTCGTCTGTTGTTAACGCGACGCGTTTAACTTGTGCTACCATCCACCCCCACTCTTCACCCTCACCTCTCCTCTCCCCTATACTCCAACCTGTCTCTCTACGTCCCCCCTCCCCCACCCCCCCCACCCTCCCCCCCTTCCTCCCCCGGCTCAGTCTGGCGATGCACGCGGAGCGGACGAACAAGCACAAGGCGGACGCGCCTGTGGCGGAGGGCGCGGTGCCCGCGTACCTTCTGGAGAGAGAGGCGACGGCGCGCGCTAAAGTGCTGAGCAACACCATCAAGCAGAAGCGCAAGGAGAAGGCGGGCAAGTGGGACGTGCCTCTGCCCAAGGTACGGCACATGCACTCCATGGCTTGATGCTTCACTGTCTTGACATGCGTCGCATGGCCTGACATCATGGCATGTTCTGAAGCACCTTGTGGCATTGCACGTCTCTTGCTGCACATTGCCCCCTCCCCATATGCCTTCAAATCTGACCAAACCCGTTTGGCATCCCTCTTCTCCTCGCTGTGGGCTGCAGGTTCGCCCCATAGCAGAGGATGAGATGTTCCGAGTCGTCAGATCAGGGAAGAGGAAGAGTAAGCGGACTTCCCCCGCACTCCAATCAACCTCTTGACTGCGTGCATCTTGTTCTAACTGGCAATCGCATTTGTTCAACTCCACCTTCCGATGCCTCCTCAGTAGGCTTCTGATTCTCACTCCCTTCCCTTCTAATCCTGACTGGTGGCCTCCTGCTATGGTGCGTGCAGCCAAGCAGTGGAAGCGGCTAGTGACCAAAGTCACCTTTGTTGGTCCGGGGTTCACGCGTAAGCCACCCAAGTACGAGCGCTTCATCCGCCCCATGGCCCTGCGCTTCACCAAGGTGCGCCACCCGCTCTCGCACTCAACCCACACGCCTCTCACCCCCTCACCCCTCACCCCCTCACCCCCTCACCCCTCCCACCCCCTCACCCCTCACCCCCTCACCCCTCACCCCCTCACCCCTCCCACCCCCTCACCCCTCTCACCACACCCCTGCTGTTGTCTCCTCACTGCACACACACATCTGCTCTCTAAGTGTCAGCTCCTGGTGTGCCCATAACACACCCTGCCCCTAAGATCCCAATGAGTAATGCTTGCCTGCATGCGTGCAGGCGCATGTGACGCACCCCGAGCTGAAGTGCACGTTCCATCTGGACATCATCAGCGTGAAGAAGAACCCCAACGGCCCCATGTACTCCTCCATGGGGGTCATCACCAAGGGAACCATCATCGAGGTGCGCTCGCATGCGCACACTACCATAACGCCATAATGCTGTGCTATGTTCGTTAGTCCCCAACGTGCTGATGAGGTCCATGGCTTTTGTGGTTGTGACAGTTTGTGGCAACTGCTTTGCATCGCTGCTGCTTTATCCTGCTAAAACTCCCCCTCCATCTCCGTGGCTCCCATGCCTTGCTCTAGGTGAACGTGAGTGAGCTTGGATTGGTCACACCAGCTGGCAAAGTCATTTGGGGTAAGACTGGTTGATTAATTTTACTTGAGCAAAATAACTTCATCCCTGCCACTGTGCTTTTGTTCATGCTACATGTTCCTTGCACGTCCATAGAGCTTGATTTTTGTGCTGATGGTTGGTTGCCATGCAGGTAAATACGCCCAAGTGACGAACAACCCAGAGAATGATGGTTGTATAAATGGAGTACTTTTGGTGTAAACATTTTATATACGAACTATCTAGCAGCAGATGGGTAATTGTGTCAACATGACCATGTTGTAGAGAGAGTATAGCCAAGACTAATAATGAATAGCATGAGACCAATAAAGTGTGCTCTTTGATGTCAGGGGATCCGCTTATACTGCAGCGCAGATCAGCATTCACCAGCACAGGGATCTCTGGTCATCTGACCACAGTGATCAGAAAGCCTGTTCAGTGAGCTTCAATTGCAGTGAAGGATCAAAGCTCACTGTTTCCTGAGACCAGGGCAACGGTTGCGGCGCCAGATGCGTGAAGATTCTAAGCCGCCTATAGCACTGCCATTCGTAATCTAGAATAGAATCTTTTGTAGCGTCTATTTCGACTGACCCGCTATGGCGTGTCTCGCATTAGCATTGCAGCCAGCGCAGGGACCAGACCTGCTGCTCCAGACGTAAGTGGCCTCAGGACTGCTATTCCGTAGATTCCGTCTGCGTCTTGTATCATCTATGGCAGTTTAACGGCGCACCAGTATAGTAGTGAACTTCGTGATTCCCAGGGGTTGGCTTCTCGCCATCATTCTCGTGCAACCAAGCATCAGGCGTTACCACTATTCGCTGTTCGCCGGCGTTATCTTAGACTCCTCGCTATTCGCGAGTTTCCCTTTTCCCATCCCATCCCGTCCCTTGGTCGACCAATGGCTAACCCGCAGTGACCCGCAGCAACTTCCGCCTCACTCTGTCACATCCGGTTCCGCCATCCCGATTTCCCCCTTCCCAATTCCCCCCAGCAAGGTGTGGTTTCCCCCCAAGCGCGCGCTGGCGGCGTGTCAGAGCTTCCGCTCGACGCGGCATGCGGACAGCAGCATGCGGCACGCGGAGCACCAGCAGCCGGCCAACCAGGCGCTCATGCTGGACCGCCTGGGCGACGACCCACTCGCCGCCGCCAGCGGGCAAGTCGTCGTCGGCAGCGACCGCCGGTGCGTAGAGATGGGGTGGCATGGAGGTTAAGAACTGTTCGTGTGACTCCCTTGCTGCTCCTTGAGCATTCAGACGACTGCATCGCATGCCGTGATTGCTGGTCAGTTTTGAGTGACTTTGGAGTCGACTCAAAAGTCACCTGATTGCTGGTCACTTTGGAGTCGACTCAAAAGTTGCATCGCATGCCGTGATTGCTGGTCACATGCGCCTCCTGGTTGCCGGGCTTCGTTCACTGTCAACCAGCTACTGCGTGGTGTGCCGCCTCGTGAACAGCATCTACGTGCTGGGGTCGCTTTCTCTCTCTCCCTCTCTCTCACCCCACCCCTCCCCCTTCCCCGCATGCGCCCCCCTCTCTCCTCTCCCCCCCTCTCCGCCAGGTACCGCTCGGTGAACAGCATCTACGTGCTGGGGCTCATGCTGGCACTTCCAACCCCACCCACCCCTCCCTTCCGCCCACGTCCCTCACCCCCTCGCAGGTACCGCGTGGTGTACCGCTTGGTGAACAGCATCTACGTGTTGGGGCTCATGCTGGCGGACGAGGACGAGACGTCGCTCAACGTGTACAGCTGCATCAGCACCGTCAACCAGGCCGTCAGGTCAGCCCCGTCAACCAGGCCGTCCGGTGAGCACCATCCAAGTCATGCGCTCCAGTCGGCCATGCGCTCCAGTCGGCCATGCGCTCCAGTCACCTGTGAGACACGCAGCATGTGGGAGGGAGGGGGCCATGGGGCATGGAGCACGGAGAACAGGGCCTGGATGATGCACAAAGGGGCACATAGTGAAGCAATCGCACATCTCAGCAGCCGTTGATAAGAAACGACCGTGGCGCCATGCAAGGGGGATGTGACCCCTGTAAGGGCGTGGATGCATCATCTGTGCATCTTCGGGTCCCATGCCTTATACCCCATGCCTCATTCCCACCCCGCACGCCCCATGCCCCATGCCTCATATGCTGCACGTGTTGTGCTCCGCGCAGTGTGCTGGTGGCAGCATGCAGGGGCGTGGACGTCACTCCGGAAAAGATATTCCGCAAGTACACTGAGGTAAGGCCAGGCGGGCGCCGGGCGCACAGTGCCGAGGGACGGGAAGGGTGGGAACTGGTGAGGCGAAGTTAGGGCAGGAAGTACACAGGTTTTGGTCTCGCTTTTGATTCTCGCTGCATCCTTTTCATGTTGCCTTTTGCATTGTGCCTCAAGTCTCCCGTCCTCTCATTACTTTCTACTTCACCCTCTCCCCCTCCCCTCCCCCCTCCCTCCCCCCTCCCAGGTCTGCATCGCCTTCTTCTGTGTGCTGCAGGGCTTCAGCTCCGCCCTTCCTTCCCCTCACTCCCCCCCGCGCTCTCCTCTCCTCCCCCCTTCCGTTCCTTCCCCCGTACCACCCCTCCCCTCCCCCCCCCATGTCTACGTGGCCTTCTTTTACGTGCTGCAGGGCATCGGCTCGGCCCGTCTCTCCTCTCACTATCTCCCACTCTCCTTTCCCCTCCCCCCTCTGCTCGCCTGCCCGGCCCGCCCTCCCAGGTCTACATGGCGTTCTTCTACGTCCTGCAGGGCATCGGCTCCGCCCGTCTCTCCGCGGTGCTCTCCTTCGTCGCATCTGACGGCGCGGCGCTGCTCGTGCCACTCGCCACGCACACGCTCGCTGACGGGGAGAACCGCGCAAGAGGCGCTGCCAGCTGGCGCGTCGCCAAGGCCGAGGCAGTGGAGCGCCTGGCTAGTGTGGAGGTGAGAGGTGGGGGGAGGGGGGGGGATGTTGAGGAGGTGAAGGGGGGAAGGGGGGCAGGGGGCTGGGTAGTGACTGTATGGTGGTGAGATGACTTTCTCTTTCATATTATGATCCGATCCGATCATCCCAATGCGTCCCCTTTGTAAATCAACAGTCTTAATTTCGTCCCCCCTCCCCACCTTCCCCCCCCGTCAGTGCATGTCCTCGCCGCACATGGAGCTGCCAGAGCAGGTGATAGCAGCGGGCGACGAGGCCATGCACGCCTTCGCCCTCCCTCCCCGCACTTGAAGAAACGGTTTCTCACATCTCCCTCTTTCTCATCCTCTCCCCCCCCCCACCCCCCCCACCCCCCCTTCCGGCCTTCCTTCCCCCCTCGCAGTACATGTCGTCGGCGCACTTTGAGCTGCCAGAGGAGGCGATCGCAGCAGGCGACGAGACCATGGACGCCTTCGCCCCCGCGCCCGCCCAGCCTGCCTTCGACAACCCCCCCGCGCCCCCCACGCCCTCCCCCCGCCCCTCCGCTGGCTCCGACCCCCTGGCCGCCCTCGCCCTGCTGGGCTCTGCTGACGATCCTTTCGCTGCTAGTGACAGCCTGCTGGGGGGTGGGGGGGGCGAGCTCACTCCCCTGGGTGCTGGTGGTGATGGGTTCGGGGGTGGTGGTTTTGGGGAGGGCGGTGGGGGCATGGGGGCAGCAGGTGTGACGAAGAGGCCGGAGAACGACCCTGCTTCTCTGCTGGCCGAGCTTGAGGTATGAGGATGACCCTTTCCGATCCCTGCCGCCATGCTGCTTCTCCTCTCTGCACCGCTGCTTGTACGCATGGGGGGCTGTACGTGGGGGTTGGTTGTAAACATGGGGGGTTGTACACATTGGGGGGTTGTATGCAAGGCGGGTTGCCCAACTGCCCAACTGTCCAACTGTCCTACTGTCCTACTGTCCTACTGTCCTATTGTCCTACTGCCCTACTGCCCTACTGGCCTACTGTGCTACTGTGCAGCTGTCCAGTTGCCCTAGTCATGGGCGTCTGTATGCTTGGGGGATTGTTTGTACGGGGCGTTTGTTTATATGCATGGAGGGGGGGTTTGTATGCATGGGGTGTTGTTTGTATGTATGGGGGATTGGTTTTATGGATGGGGGGTGTTCTGCTGCTGGCTCCGTCTTGTGTGTTTGCTATCTCTTGGTCTTGCTGCTGTGCCTTCTTCCTCCTCTCCTTCTCTTCACATTTTCCTGACCTTCGCCCCACCACTTCCCCTGCTTCCCCTCTCCCCTCGCTCCCCCCGCCTCCCCACCTCCCCCCCTTTCAGGCGGGGTTGTCCTCCGGCCTGCCCCCCTCGTCGCTGGACCCCTTCGCCTCGGACAGCATGGCGGACGCGTTTGGCGCGGACCTGGAGGCGGAGGGGCTGGGCGGGCTGGGGGGGCTGGGGGACGACGAGGGGGACGACGCCTGGGGGACGGCGTTTGGGGGGAGCGCGCTGCTGGGGGGGGATGGGGACGCGTGGGGGGGCGGGCTGGACGCGGCGGAGTTTGGGGTGGAGCAGGGGGAGGAGGACGCGTTTGGGCTGGGGGGGGGGGTGACCTGGGGGTGGCGCTGGGAGGGGGGGATGTGGCGGCAGGGGGTTCAGCTGCTGCTGCGGCACGACAGCTGGAAGTGGCACTGGGGCTGGGAGCGATGGATGGTGAGCAGTTGCACTGTTCTCTGCTGCCACGTGTGCCATTCCTCCCGTGTTTGTCCTTTTCTGTGTGCCTCTGCTGCACAGTCACATTCACGTTCTATCCCTACCCCAACAGCACACACCCTAGCAGGAGCAGCACCTGCCACCCCATTGGGCCGCTCCCTCCCAACCTTCCGTGCATCTGTGCTGACTTCCTCAGCTCCGCCCTGCTGACCGTATCCAAGCACAGTCATACTCTCTCTTGCTCATCCCTCCCATACCCCTCCTTACCAGTCTCAGCGCCAACTCCTACGACCCCACCAGCAGCAGCAGCAGCAGCAGCGCCCGTCACTCCAGCGGGCCCCACCCTCCCGACCTTCCGTGTGGAGGAGCGCATCAGCGCGGACTTCCTCGGCTCCTCGCTCACGCGCGTGCGCCTCTCCGGCACCGTCTTCCTCACGCTGCCCCTGCCCAAGGGAGCGGCGGCTTCTGGGGACGCCATGGGGGGAGGAGGGCTGCTGGGGGGCGGCGGTGGCGCTATTGGTGGTGGGAAAATGGGTGGGGCGGGGGCGAGGGGAGGGGGGGCGGGTGCGGATGCGGAGAAGGACGGGAGTGCGCCTGATGAGTTCTCGTTCAGGCTGGAGGGCTCTGGCGCCATCAAGGTGCGTGCTGTCCTGTGCCTTGCCTCTCTGCCTCCGCGCACTATTTCTTCTGCTGTCGCATGAGTGCTGACTACAACAACCCCCGTGCCCCCCCTTCCCTCCCCCGGCCCATGGTTCCCTCCCATCAGCGCTGTTCCATCCGCCCCGGCATCGTCAACGATCTCGGCAAGGGCTACTTCCACTTCCGCACGCCTCCCCCAGGCACCACCTTCCCCCCACTCTCCGCCCCCTCCGCGGTTGCAGCCTCCCCCCAGGCCCCCCCCATGGCGGACCTGCTGGGGGAGGGGGACGAGGGCATGGGGGAGGTGGTGAATCCGGGGGAGGAGGGCGCGTGGGGGCAAGGGGGGGAGGGGGCGGATGGGCGGGCGCAGGAGTTTGTGCTGATGAAGTACCGGCTGCAGCCCAGATACACGCCCATTCCACTGCGCCTGAGGTGAGTGGGACTAGGATGCCCACGCATGGTGTTACAGGTAGGTGGGGAATGGTGATGGATGTGAGCAGGCTTGGGTGGCCTCAGCTTTCTGGTTGAAGCTCCTGGTTGATCTGCTATGTGCTCCTGGTTGAGCTGCTGTGTGCTCCTTTCCCCGCTGTTTGCGCCTCTCAGTGTTGCCCCGTTCGCCGTTTTCCTTTGTGCTGCTGCCTGCCAGATTCGTGACAAGGAGGAGTGATGAAGCGCTCTCTCTCATGATCCAGGTGTGTTGCCATCCATCCCATCCACTCACTCCTCTTCTAAGCACACACCACACGCACAGTGTGCACATCACGCACCGCCTAGCATTGCAAGTTCCTCTTCCACGTCCTAACCACACCATGCGCCGTGTACCTGCCTCAACATGTATGTTGAACCCGAAGTCGCAAGCCCCTCTGGTGGATGTGTTCTGGGCATTCTCAGTGCGAGTACGCATGTCCACCTGCCCACCCCCCACCGTGCAGTATGTGGCGAACCCGTATCTGCAAGCCCCTCTGGTCAACGTCACCTTCGTCCTCTCCCTCGCCTTCTCCCCCGCTTCACTCCGCATCAACCCAGAGTAAGCCGTCTCTCTCGGCTTCGTATCTCCTTCCTGTGACCAAATCCACTTTCAAAGGCTTGCACAGTTTTCCCCTTGTAGGTTGTCGGCAGAAAGACTTCTACATGCAGTTTCTTTCTCGCCTCAAAGCGTTGCCTTACATGTGTTCCCCTTTCTTTCAATCCCCGCCAGGGCGCAGCTTGATCCGTGGACCAAGGAGCTGAGATGGCTTATCCCGCAAATCAATGTATGGCCCCCTGCCCGCGTGCTGCACTGATTGTTTCTCTTTTTAGCCTCTTCTGCTTCATACCATCCTGAGTGAATCCCCTTGAATGATAACCCTTCCACACCGTTCCATAATCCTCCTCCCCTTCCTCCATCTTCCCTCATACCTCTCTTATCCCCCAACCCTCCCCACCACCCACTGCCAGCCGCAAGACCCACCGCAACGGCTGCGAGCGCAGATCCCAGTGATTCCAGATGACTTGGTGCAGGGGGCGGCAGAGCGGACAGCGGAGGAGAAGCAGGCAGAGGAGGACCGCAAGGCGCGGGAGATGGCTGCATACCGCGTGCGCGTGGAGTTTGAGTGCCGAGGGTCGTCGCTGTCAGGGGTCACTGTGGGTGAGGTGATGGCCACAGGCAAGCCTCCGTTTGCTGTGGCAGGGCATTCGTTCTCCTCGTCAGAGTACATATGCTCGTGAGGAGATGGGATTGGACTACGACTGTTTATAAGAACTCGATTTGGCAACAAACATACACTACTTCCTATGAGTTTATGAAGGTGGTCAAGTACAGAACAGAGTACTTCAACAGTGAGGTTGCATAGTGTACTGCTTCGTAACAGCAAATATAATAGACCGGTAAGCAATACCATTTATTGGGTAAGAGAGAGGAACGTAACATCGTGATGAGCCAGGGACCAGAGGAAAGCATGGCAAAGCAGTTGTGGACGCCTGTAATGAGACGATGCAGATCAGCTAAGACAGGTGAAGCAATAAAATTCCAGCGACAAAGCAGTTGTAAAGTCTCGCACCAGGAAACTGGAAGGGGGAGGGAGTGAACGCTGACCTCGACAAAGCTGGATCTGACAGACAAGCGGAGGCATACTTCTCAGATGGCCGTTGGAATGGGGACTGTACTTCTTCCTCCAAGGAACGACAGGAAGCTTCCAGATTCATTGTCATCCAGGAAAAGGTCGTCAGGGACCCTGAAGGCGGCATGCAATGCGATCGCAGCAGCTCCCATCACCAAGCCTGACATGAGGATGGATCCGACTGACGTCAGCCCGAAGACGATGACGATGGATATGACTGCCATGGCGAGAAACTTCTCACGCTCGTTAAGGGTCCTTCCAGCGATGATCAGCGCGTCGGTGCGAGCCATGAAAATATAAATCCAAGCAGCTGCGAGGAGAGCTAGCCAGAGAATGGCAGTCGGATTCCAAAGCATGCAGAGGACAATAACCACGATGAGGATCGAGAGGTAATTCGCCTGGAAGTAGCTCGTGTTCTTGCGAAGCCTCCCAAGAGCGTCGTTAAGATTATCGGGTCTGGCGAACAGCGACCGATCCGTCAGCTCGCTCCATGGCCGCTGCTGCGCTATCGCGTTCCGATAAGACTCCTGGAATCTAGCTACAAGCGCCCGCATCCCCGACGGGTTTCCCTCTACCGCACCTCCAGGAACAGACGCCATGGCTGTTGAAAATATTTCACTATTGCTCAATAGTGCTGGAGTAAAGTAGCTATTTCGAACGGTACTGCACTGGCTTAGGTTAGTCTAGAGGTTGTAGGAGAATCTGGCCTGCTGAATCTAGGTTTCTCCCAGAGTTCTGCAGCTCCACAACAAACCCAATGTTTGGGCGAAGACTTGGTTGTGCGAAACAAATGTTACCCTTATAATTCGCACAGCCGGGTACTGAGCAGACGGGTGGCGGGAACCAAAATCTGGCCGTTGAGGCAAACACCAGGTCCGAGCCAAAACTGTCACACGGCGAATTCGCCGAGCCCCTACGCGCCCAACCTACCACCGCTGGTCCGGCAAACTCGAGGTTTCGGTGGCCTCTCGTTGTCGTCAAATTTTGTTCGCGACCAATCAGTGTCTGCCTCGCATCAGATCGCCGAAACGCGTACCGCTCGTTGGGTGTGTCAGCTCCGTCCGCGTCTCCTCCAACCCATCCATCCCTCGCTGTTGTCGTCCCTCCCTCGGTTTCCACCACCAAATCCTCCTCATGCTACTTATCTTTGAGACTCCAGTTTCCAGTTCCCAAAGACTCGCTTCAGACTCGTATTGGTAGCTCTCTAGAAACGCCTGCTTTCGCACACCCGCATATTCCTCTCAATATCGTGCTTGACAAAGCCTCAGAACAGTATTTACTCTTCATTCAGGCCTCCGATTGTTCTTTCGTTAACATCGAGGTTTGATTAGAAGTCTCAAGACGGTGTCACTTCATGGCGGCTGTTGCTCCAGGAGCTTCCATGGCTGGGAATCCATCGGCTTCCGCTGTAAGGTCGCTGATAACTAAAGTCCAGGAGTCATATGCCGCAGCCACCGCTCAGCAGCGTCCATGGAACGAGCTCATTGACCGCTCCAGTCTCGCCAAACCCGAGAGCCTGAATGACGCTCTCAGCCGGATTCGCAAGAACCTGGGCTACTTTCGGGCCAATTACCTGGGAATTCTCATCGCGGTAGTCGTCCTCAGCATGCTTTGGAACCCAACGGCCATTTTATGGCTAGGTCTTCTTGGATCTGGCTGGGTCTATGTGTTCATGGTCCGCACGGAGCCGATCATCGTCGCTGGAAGAACGCTGAACGAGCGAGAGAAGTTCCTGGGGATGGTGGTCATTTCGGTCGTCATCGTCTTCGGACTGACATCAGTCGGCTCCATTCTCATGTCTGGGGTTGTGATTGGCGCAGTGGCCATCACCGTGCATGCAGCATTCAGGGTTCCTGATGATCTCTTTTTGGATGATTCGGATTCAGCTGGCTTCTTGTCGTTCCTCGGTGGGAGGCCCCAAATGCCCCCCGCCCTCTAGATTACGTAGTCAGACAAGCATGCAGTAGTTTTAAAGGATTCTCGTTCACGCTACTTGTCTAGGCCATACCTGCACGACAACCTAATATACCCCTGAGAATCTCTTACATCTGGTCATGTTAGACATCTCCCTCTACTCTCACAGTCTGCAGTTCCTTCAGCTTGGGATGTTGGATGGCCTGGAATGAGGTGAATCACCAATAGGTCCAGCAAATGTTTCATGGCTTTCAGGGGGATTTCAGCCATACACGGGCCTTGCTGACAGTCAATGGCCCAATACCCCACTTGAAAATACTCTTGGCAGTCCAATTGGTGCATTAGTTGTTGCGTGATGTGCACAGATACCATGATGTGTTGACAGCTACAATTCTGCGGTCAAAAGCGTGGAGGAGATGCATTCATTAAGTGATGGTGGGGAGGTGTGTCCCTAAACCATGCTCAAAGATGCAAGCAAATTTTCGAAGGGCAACACGGATTCAGATTCTCTAAACCGCAGTCTACTCTCTTAACATAATAGACATTCCTGTGCATTTGACCTCTAGGGCTAGCTAGCCTAGGCTAGAAAGCAAGAAACCCTTTTTTCTCCTCCGGAAGCACAACCACGTCCATCTGCTCCCCTTGAGCCAGCCGCCACGCTGCAGCCTCCATTGCCAGGCCCGCCATGGTAGGCGGCTTCTTCAGTACGAGTGGCATTCCCTGGTTGGACGCACCAATGGTTGCAGTGTCCTCTGGAATCACTCCCAACAGAGGGAGACCCTGGTTGATAACAATGGCATGACAAAGCAGGGAGGGGGGCGTAGGATGGTGAATGCACCTACAGAGCAATACACAACCCGTGTAGGCGATACAAGACATTGGTTTGGGACCAGAAGAGACACCTCACCAGATAAAACAGACAGCTCAACAAAACCTCCAAGCCTCATTGGTCAACCAAGGGTACTACAGCAATGTCATGGCTATCTATGCCCCTCCCATGCAAATCCTGGAAAGCTAGAAGTCAACACAGAACCTGCCGCAAATTCAAAAGGGAAATTGGAGAGACGAGGAGTCGGGGGGAACGCGCGGGAGGGGGGACGGGGGAGAGGGGGGGAGAGGGGGGAAGACGGGAGGTGAGGACTGGACGACCAGTAGACTCACCAGCATTTCTCTGACGTCCCCAACGGACATCATCTGGCCCTGCTTGATGAGATCCGCCTGCACGCGGTTCACCAGCAGCGACACGTTGGTGATGCCGTCGCACTCCAGCAGCCCCGCCACTCGGTCCGCGTCCCGCAGACACGTCACGTCCGGCGTCGTCACGATAATCGCCTCGTTCGCCGGCGTGATTGCCGTTATGAACCCCGCCTCGATCCCCGCCGGACAATCCAGGAGAATAAAATCCGGACATCCCTCCTCCCGCTCCCTCAAGGCTTCCACTAGGAGAATCAGCGACTTGCCGCTGAAATTTAAATCAATCTTGGACCGGGGTTTGGAAATGCAGAGCAGCTCGAAATTGGGGACGCGCTTATCGCGTACAAGCGCCTGATCCAATCGAGCCTCTCCAGCCAAGACGTCCTGTACCGTGTGAAAGACCCTCGCCTCCATTCCTAGCAGCAAGTCGAGGTTCCTGAGACCCACATCGCAGTCTATCGCGACGACTTTAAACTCCAGCCGCGCCAGGCACATCCCGATATTCGCGACTATCGTCGTCTTCCCCACCCCGCCCTTCCCCGACGTCACCACTATGACACGTGGCGGCGTCCCCTTGTACTCCGGCCGCTTCCCCCATTGGAACACCGCCTGCGGCGCGCTCCAGGGCTTCCGTCTGGCGACCTTCCCCTGAGGTTGGAGGCCTGACGGAGTGGACGCTAGTTGGGACCGAGCGAGCGAATCTCCGAAAAAGGAACTGGCGACGTTTCTCCGTGAATGGGATTTGGTACCACTAGTCTGAAATCGGAGACCGGATTGATGGGTGCAGTGGAGGGAGATCGAAGCGTTGGGAGCCATCGCCAGGCAGGCAGTGCCCTGACGCGCGGAAGGGGACGCAGCGTCGGGTGAGGAGCAGAACCGGTGCTGGCTGACGGCTGGTCTGAGGAAGGACGAAGCCATTGACCGTGAGAAGTAACGCTAGCTAATAAATGAAATCGAAGGAACGACTCGCACGCAAAACGACTCACTTCACAAGGGTAGTATAGGAGCGACAATTTTCTGGGAACACAGAAGCGGCGGAGACAGGAGCATTACGAGAAAAAGGCGAATAATTGGCCGGTTGTGTAACAGGTACGGCAAGAGCAGACACCGGCGTCGAGCTAACTAAGCTGCTCGCTCCTAAATACCTAATTAAGAATTTGCTGTCAGAAGCCTACGATTTGATGGTCCTTTCCGTGCGGAGCTGAGGCGTGAGATGCGCGCGGTTGGGTGGACGAGCGCGCGGGGGATCAGTGGTCCGAGGGAAATTGGGCAGAAAACGGGGGTGCGCTGAAACAGCGCGGAGCAGGTCGCGCAAGGGCGGGCGGATCGGGGATTTGCGGGGAGGTTTGAGCTGACTGACAGACAGATTCGGCGGGCAAAGGGAGTTCCGATCATCCCGCGATGTGATGGAGATTGCTAATAGCGGGTTTGTACATCACAGCCTTTTAGAGAATTCAGAACACCTCCAGATTCATGACACTACATTAATGATCTTCATTCATTATCGTTACTCAACATTCATGGTAATGCTCACAAACTTAACTTCCAATGCAAAGAAAACGGCTGCCCTTACGTATCATAAACACATTCCTCTGTTAGGCTGCCTGCATAAGCATAACGCATTTCCCTGTATACTGCAACACTGCAATTAGGGCAACGTTCGCACGTACACACAGGAGCTCCTTGCACTAATATTCATGAAGACATTGCTAGTAACGATGTTGTGATGTTAGTGATGGTTGAGTTTAGTGACGGGCACGTAACGGTACCCTGGAGGCAGGCGTGCATTGAGAGCACGAGCTGCAGCGTGTGTGGCGAGGTAAGACAGCTGGAGCTGCAATCGCAAAAACATACACATAGGCACACATACGGTAGGACAGCCTGATTAGTACACTTCGGAAAAGATAACTGCAAAAGGCATATGGTGGCCCTATGGCAAGTAATACACATCCATGCTTACCTTCAATAACGGCCTCTTCACATCGCCCGCTTCCTTTTCCTGCGAGCTGTGCTCCGCCCCACATGCCTGTGATCCACCCACCATCACCCTGCCCATCCTCTCACCACCACCCCCTTCCCCCTGCTCCACAAGGCGCATTTTTCCTCCCCGGTCATGCTCCAAGGATTCTAGAGCGTGGCGCTTCACAGGCAAGAGTGGCACAGGGAAGGGCAGGAGGGAGGTGCCACTGTGTAGGTGTGATGTGGGGGAGGTGAACGGCTGGGGATGGCGGATAAATTTGTGGATGCCAGAACCTGCTGCATGGTCCGGGCAGTACAGCTGGAATGTTACAGCTGCCCGAGGGGGGTTGATGGGGGTTGTGGTGTTGAAAGCGGGAGGTAGCGACTGTGGAGAGAGAGAGGGTGGGGAAGAGGAGGGGGGAGGAGGGGCAGTGTTGGGAGGTGAGGGGGAGGGATGGGAGGGCGTTGGAGAAGTGGTGATGGAAGGGAGCGGATGTGGAGGAGAGGGGGTAGCAGCACGTGTCGTGGCAGCAGCAGCGGGTGGAGGAGCCAGGGCTGATGCGGCAGGAGGTGCAGCAGCGAGCGGAGCAGCACCACTATCCACGGTCGCACAGGTTGTGGTGGGAGAAACAGCACCCATGGGCACACTGGCGCTGGCGGCGGCAGCAGCAGGCAGTGGGGGTAGAATGCAGATGCACGAGGAGTGGCGGGCGCACAAGGGGTGGACGACGAGGGGGCAGCCTGGCATGGCGCACTGGAGGGATGGGGTGGGGATGGAAGAGAGGAAGGGCGGAAGCTGGGATGAGAGAAGGAGATAAGTGAAGGAGGGGGCTGTATGGCAAGGAGGGGGCTGTATGGCAAGGAGGTACACAGGAGGAGGACCCCCCCCACACATCCTATTCTGACCTTCTTTTCAACCCCCTGCGACCACTTCGCACCCCTGCCAGCCCTGGACTCTGAATTCCGTACCTGCGTGCATGGTTGAGCAGACGAGGAGTGGCAGAAGGAGCAGCAGCGACGCTGCATGGTGGGGGGCATGGCGCCCTGATGGTGCCGGGTTTAGGGGGGATGGGGAGAGGAAGAGTCTGCTTTTGAGTCGACTCAAAAGCTGATGGAGTAGGGGTGGCGAGGGGGAGTGGAAGAGAGGGGCGGAAGGAATGCCGCAAGGGAAGAAGTGCAGAGGACAGCACGGGATGACGAGTCACAGGGGAACATGTGCAACGGAATCATGAGTGAAGAATGATGAACAGCCTTGCCGTCCCCTTGGCTGAGAGAAGCGCAAGTGCGAGCCACCTAGTGAAGAGTCTATTTTTGAGGCGCCTCAAAAAGAGAAGCGCAAGTGCGAGCCACCTAGTGAAGAGCGCGCCAATGGACGAGCAGGCAATGAGTGGGCTGTGGTCAGCTTACAGTGAGGCTGAGTGGCGCATCCTCAGGCGCAGCAAGCACAGTGCAGTCGGAGAAAATCACCTGGGGGGGGGGGGGGGGGGGGGGGGGGGGGGGGGGGGGGCGCGGGGGGAAGGGGGAAGGGTAGATGGTGGTGGGACGAGGTGCTCTTCCATTGAGTGGTGGACTTGAAAGGTCACACAGTGCAACTGGCAATCAGCGGCTGAGGAGACAATGTGAGAATGTGAGTGGACAATGGGCGGACAGGATTGGTCGAGTGAGTGAGAGATTGAGAGAGTGAGTGACAGGTGTACCTGAGCGCACAGCAGATGCACCCACGCGCCCTGCTGTGTTCGCTTCAACGCTGCTCCTAGCATGGCTGCTGCGTCTGCGGGCGAGCACAGGGCGCACATGGCACGCGGATGGACAACGGCTGCTGCTGGGAGAGGAGGTGATGCCTGGTGACACTGCTGCTGCTGCTGCTGCTTCATTTCTTGTTGTTGCTGCTGTGGCTGCTCCCCTTCTTGTAGCTGCTGCTGCTGAGATTGCCCGCCTGTGTCTTTCCCGTCCACTGCCCAATCACAGCGGCACACCTGGCACAACCACGGCCCGACCTTCCCCTCAGGCACACCGTAGCACCAATGGTGAACTGACACGTGGCATTTATCACACTCAATCATGCTCCTGTGCGGCCCACACTCCCTCTGCCAGCACGCCCCACACTCCCTCCCCACTCTCTCCTCCCCCTCCCCCTCGCCTCCCCCCTTGTAGTCCCCCTCATCCCCTACCCCCCCCCCATGCTCCACACTCCCTCTTTCCCCCACGGCCTGTCTAGCCCCCACTGACCATCCGTGCACCCGCCCATCCCCCCTACCACCCACTCCACTCTGCAACCCTGCAGACACATCCACTCCCCTGCCCCACCCTGCAACTCTCCCTCCCGTTCTCCCCCCTGGTCTCCCTCCCCCAGTCCATGCCCCCCGCCCTCTCCCCCTGCCCCTGCTCCACCCGCCCCTCCCTCGCCCCCCTCTCACAGCCGCGCCCAGCACAGAGCGACCCCCGCCAGAGGAGAAGATGGAGAGGCGGGATGCGAGGGGAGATGCATGCAGTCGAGAAGGAGCGCAACCGCCAGGACCAGTTGCAGCACCACCACTGCTATCAGCCGCAGCAACACTATCAACACCAGCAGCAGCGGGAGAACGGTCAGATTCCCCTGCCAGTCTAGTCATTCCCAAACCCACTCTGCCTCTCCCTGCCCCTCCCCATCCCCTTCCCCACCCCGGAGACACAGCAACCACAGCACCACCACTAGTAGCAGCACCACCACCACCAAGAGTTGAGGGGCCTAGAGCCGGACCAGCAGGACTGGCCCCGGTGGCAGCATGGCTACCAGAGACAGCAAGGCCACCAGGGGCAGCAGGGGTGGCAGCGGGGTCTCTCTTCAAATGCCCCACGCGGGGCGACGCAGCAGCAGCAGCCTCCGCCGCTGCCAGCACGGCCTGCGCCTCTCTCTCCCGCCGGTCCCGCCGCCCCTGCTTGCGCTGCTCGCGCACCATCCCCAGGTACTCCCCCACCGCCTCGCGCTCCTCCTGCTGCCGCACGGCCGCGTGCCGCTCAGCCTGCAGGCGCGGCAGCATGAGGCGCAGCAAGTGGTGCGAGCGGTGGGAGAGGGCGTGGAGGGAGGACAGCAGCTGGGTCTGTGCGATCACCAGCTCTGACGTCACCTCGTCCTCGGGTGTGCCTCCCTCAGGTGTTACCTGCAGCAGTGCTCCATATGAACCGCCCACCTGCATTCCCCTCCCTCTCGTGCCGCCTCTATCCTCCTCTGCCTCCTTCTCGTCCTCCCTTTGGTCAGTTCCCCTGTCTGCCCCCTCCTCTTGCCCTTCCTCTTTCACTGGTCCTAATAAACTTTCTCTCCTACTTCCCACCTCTGTCCCCTCAGCAGTACTCGATCTCTCCAGCATTTCACCATATCTCTGCACGTACGCGTGGCACCGCACCTGCTGACTCAGCGCCAGCGCAGCAGCGCCCTCCCATCTCGGCCATTCTATGTCAGCGTGACAGTCCCTAGCTGGCACCACCTCAGCACTGGACCTTGCTTGCGCCACATCAGCGTGCCGTGACGGCACAGCAGCATCAGCAGCCAACCCCACTGCACTGCGCACCCTCCTCCCCGATTGCTCTATGAGGCCATCCCTTGGCTCAGCTCCTGCTTCCTCTTCCACCATCACCACATCATCATCATCCTCGTCTGACTCCCCTCTTGCCTCTGCTGATGCCCCTGCTGCTGCTCCCGCTGCTGCTGCTGCTGCCTGTGACGGTAGTGGTGCTGCAGCTGCGCCTTCTGCCACTGCTGCTGGATCCACTGCTGCAGTGGTGGCAGCTGCAGCAGACACTATTGCTGGATTCCCTGGTACTGCCTCTGCTGCTGCTGCTGCTACGCCTGCGCCCTCCATTACAGCGTCACGTGCGGCATTAGCATCAGAAAATGCCCCACCAGCATGATCACATGTGGCAGCAGCACTAAATCCATCCTCCCCTCCCTTCCTCCCCCCTTCTGCATCCACTTCCTCCATTCCTACATCCTTCTCCTCCTTCACATCCTCCCTGCCCCCCTCGTCAGCCACCTCCCTGCCCCCTTCCCCTCCTACTCCCCTGCCCCCTTCTTCCTCCCCCTCCTCCTCTCCCTCTTCCCCTTCCTCCTCCCCCTCCTCCTCTGCCTCATCCCCTTCATCCCCTTCCCCCTCATCCCCCCTGCCTCCTCCCTCCCCTCCCACCCACCCCTCTCCCCTCATTCCCGCTTCAACCCTCGCATCCCCCATCTCCCCCTTGCCCCCGCCACCCTGCCCTTTCTCCCCCACCATCCCAATGTCTTCCCCCTTCCCTTCCCCTCCTTTCCCCGCCTCTCCGCCCCCTCCCCCTTCCCCGCCCCCTGCCTGCAGCTGCAGCAGCAGCGGGGGCAGGCGCAGGGCGGAGTGGCGGGGGCAAAAGGCTCTCAGATGCACGCGGGGGGAGCAGGGGGAGGCGGAGAGGGTCATCAGCAGCCCCTGCTGGCGCGCGCACATGGGGTGGAAGGGCGCCGCGCAGTGGCCTGGTGGGGGGGGAAGGGGGGAGGGAGGAGGAAGGGGGAGGAAAAAGTGGTGGGTGGAAGGATTAGTCGACAATTCGTGCAGAAAGTCACATGGGAAGCGACAGCAGTGTCAAGAGCATGACAGGGCCGGATGGCAAGACTCAGTCGCACTCACCGTGGCTGCACTGGATGCACGCGCCGTGCTTCACCCGGCACAGCGAGCACAGCATGCGGCGGCGCTCCCTGCTGACCCCCCCCACGTTGCACACGGGCTGCATGCTCTCCGTGTCGCCCACGTACGTCTCCGGCACCCACTGGCTGCAGAACAGATGCGCAAACTGCTGCTGCTGCTCGTGCTCCGTTCCTTCTTGTTCTTGCTGCTGCTGCTCCTGTTGATGCTCCTCTTGTTGTACTTGCTGCGGCTGCTGCTGCTGCTCTACTTTTGGCACCACATTTGGCACCCCTCTCATAGGTTTCTCTTCTTTATGCTTCGCCTCCTCCTGCTGCTGCACCAGCACTCGCTCCTCTGCGGGGGCGCCTGGCAGGGCGGGCTTGAAGGCACCGGAGGGCACGGGGCAGAGCTCACAGCGCACCTCAGCAGGGCGACTGCTGCTGCACCGCGCACACAGCCACGGCAAACTCGCATCCTCCTCCTCCCCTCCCTGCCCTTTTTTTTCCTGCCCCTCCCCTCCCTTCCCCTCCTCTCTCTGCTGCGACAGCACTGGGAGCACGGCAGCAGCAGGGATGCCGTAGCACTGGCGGTGCACGGGCACATCACACCCATCGCAGAACACTATGGGGTTCACGTCGTCGCTGTCCGTCTGGCAGCACACGTCACACGCCTCCCCCTCCCCACCCCCCTCCTCCTCCTCCACTTCCTCCTCTGCACCCCCTTTCCCCCCCACCTCCACTCCCCCCATCTCCCCCTCGCGCCTCCCTCCCCTCCCCTCGTCCTCCTGGCTGCGCCTTCCCCTTCCCCTTGCAGGCACCTGCCACAGGGGCGGGGATACGACGGTCACTACCATCCCCTCCTCCCGCTCACCCCTCCCTGCCCCTCCCCTCCCCCTCCCTCTGCCCCTCTGCCTCCCCCCCCTCCCGCTGCCAGCAGTGACATGTGAATCACGCACAGCCGCATCAGTCGAACCAGCCACTGCAGCAGCAGCAGCAGCAGCAGGGGCAGCAGTAGCAGGCGAGGCAGATGCAGCAGCATGAGCAGCGTGAGCGCAATGAGGCATGCCAGCAGTAGCAGCAGCACTGATGCTGTTACCTCCACCTCCCTCCCCCTCACAGCCGTCACCCCTGCAAGCCACGAGGTCAGAGGCATGCTGAGAAGAATCGCTGACAGCAGCAGCAGCGGCACTTGCACCAGCAGGAGACCCTTCTGCCAGCTTCTCACCGCCTGCTGCTGCTGCTGCTGCCCTTGCTGCTGCTGCCCCTGCTGCCCCTGCTGCTGCTGCTCCAGTGACTGCCAAGCCAGAGTCTTGAGTAGACACAGCACCACCAACACCACCACCGCCGCTGCCGCCGCCGCCGCCACCCAGTCGTGTGCGCCTCCTCTTACTCCCCGGCACCATCACATCGCCAACACTCACCCCAACGCCCCCCGTCACATCCCCTGCTCCCTCGCCCATCTGCCCCGCCCTCCTCTTCCGCAGTCGCCTGTCACTCCCCTCCACCTCCACCCTCCCCACCCCTCCCTGCTGCCTCTGCCGCCTCCGCTGCTGCTGCTTCTGCTTCTGCTGCACCTGCTGCTGTAACCCCGGCTGCCCCCCGTCCCCCTCTACTTCCCCTCCCATCCGCATTTCTCGCCCCTGACCCCCCGAGTGCCCCGCTCCTGGTGCATTCCCCTTGCCAGTCTCCGTCCCTTTGTCCAGCCCACACCCCAGCCCCTGCCTCTGCCCCACTGCAAGCGCCAGTGGCGTCCCTGCCTGCGTGCTTCCCTTGGACTTCACCAGGGCGGAGTACGACGAGGGATGCCCCACCGGCGGCAGGGCCAGGGCGGGCTCTCTCTCTGTGATGCTGCTGAAGCGCGTCACATACGCGGCGGGGGCGAGCAGAGCCACGTCGGCGGCGGTGACGGGGCGGAAGAAGCCCTCCACGTGCGCCCAGAAGCCCTCGCTTGGCCTCTTGTGAGACGGCTCCACGCCCTGGCTGGGAGTCGCTGTGCTCGCTGCAGCAGTGGATCCAGGCACAGCCAACTGCTGCTGCTGCTGCTGGTGTATTTGTGGCTGCTGCTGCTGCGGCAGTGGCGGCAGTGGGTGGTGTGGCTGTTGGGGATGCGTGACGGCGGAAGGCAGGGAGGTGGGAGGAAGACCCATGGTGGCCTGCTGCTGCTGAAGCAGCCTGTGAGACACCTGGGGATGCTCCTTCCTATCCGCATGCCCATGCCCATGCCCATGCCCATGTGTATCCCTTTCCCCCTGCTCCTGCCTGCCCACGGGATTAGAGTATGGAGCCACATCTACCTCCCCCTCACTGCCGCATGCACCGCCGCCGCCCGCCTCTGCTGCCCCCGGCACTCGTGAGTGCGCCTCTGAGGGGTTCGGGTTTAGCAGTTGCCGCGTTGATGCTTGTCTAGCTGATGGCTGCCGTGTCGACGCCTGCAGCCGCATGTACGGCGCTGCCCCCGCCTGGCTTGCCGGCTGCTTGCCTGTTCGCCCCCCCCCGACCTCCTCCTCCTCCTCCCCCTCCTCCTTGTCCTCCTTCCCCCCTTCCTTACTCTCCTCGCACTCCCCCCTTTCCCCTCTCTTGGCCTCTGCTTTATCCTCTACCCTCTCCCCCGCTTCCTGTGCTTCTCTTCCCCCACCCTCCCCGCCCCTTAAACCCTTCCCAGCACCCTCCCGGCCCCCATACTCCCCCATTCGCCCCTCCGTTTTGCCTCTAGCCAGGATGACACCCCCGCTCCCTCCCCCAACCTCTGCACCTCCGCTCCCCGCCCCCCTTCCCCCCCCTCCCCCTGCTACCTCAACCACGTCCGCTTCCCCTTGCGCCTCTCCCCGACCTTCCGCCAATCTTTCCCCCATCCCTGCCTCTCCGCGCCTGGCGGCGACTGAAGAACTTCCCTCCGCGGGAGCCGCCGCCCCCCACGCCAGTTGCCGTCCCGCGAGCCTCTGCCTCCGCCGCCTGCCGTCTACAGCCGCCTCCCCCGCTACAGCCGCCTCCGCCGCCGTTGGGGATAAATCTTGCGCCGCTAGGATCGCACCAGCGCTTTCTGGGGGGAAATCCGCGCGCAAAGCGCTGACGGGGTGACCGCGTATAGGGGTCACATGCGCAGCGCGCGCGGAAGGAGGGGCGGGAGGAGAAAGCGGAGTCGCCGCGTTGCTCTGAGGTTTCTTCTCTGACTGGCTCCCCCGCGCGCGCTTTCCGCCAGACGCCTCCCCCCGCCCCACTCGCGCGGAAGCCTTCCCGCCTCTCCGCCGCCGCCAGTGCCCAGGCAGCGAGCCCTGACGGGCGCTCCCCGCGGGGTGCGGGGGAACGGTGGCGGAAGCGCTAGCATCGGTGAAAGCGGCGCGCTCGAGAGAGAGAACCTTGAGCGCTTGTGTGTACGCGTCCATGGCATGGCAACGGGCGATTCTCGAGGCAACTCAAACATCAGAGAGCACGTTGCGCGCCTGCGTGTACGAGTCCATGGTACGACGCACGCTGACAAGCTGACGGAGAGTTTGGCTTGCTAGCGGCGGTTTCGTGCGTGGTGCGATCAGCCTTGACGGGCTAACGGAGGGATGGGGATGCTACACGTGCGGGGACGCGGCAAGGCGGAAAGCGGGTGGCAGGAGCGAAGGTGGGGCAGCATGATTGGTTCAGAACGGAAGCTAAGGTTTAGCCCGCCCTTACGTTGGGAAATGGTTCAGGCTCCAACCTTCCGATCTTGTTAGCAACTATCAGGCGATAATGATGTGGCGAGAGCGAGCGAGACAAGCACAGGATTTGGGGCAAGGCAATCCGCGGTAAGCAGACGAGCAGCTATACACTTATCGCAGTGATTAGTATCCATTGCGGTGAATAATACACTTTTTGAGTTGTTGAGCTGGCTGTATAAGACTCCACACGCAAACTTTCTAACAAAAACGTTTTTTTTTTCACAAAACGGTGTAGCAATATATCAGTACAAATCAAAATCCAGAAAGGTCAAAATTTGATGCAGTATAGAGCAAGTCTAGCACAAGCACTCCACGCACATGATCTATCATGCGACTGCTTGGGAGCCCTCCAATCTAGGCAGCTCTTCTAACGAATCCACACTCGACCCTGACCCCGTGCGAACAAGCGATCCCTTGTGCGCCACAGCAGGAGGTGTGGAATCAAGGACGCAAGGGGAAGGAGCAGACCCCGCAGAGCTTGTAGACTGGCTTGAATTGGTGACCTCTGGGCTTGCCGGGATGAGAGGAGGTGTGCGTGGCTCACTCACAGGGCTTGTCACTGCCTTCTTCTTCCCACCTTCACTCCCTCCCTCCTGCTCTAACACAACCACCACACGTTCAGCCTCCTCTGCTTGAGCCACCTCCTCAGGAGGGTTGGAATACCCCCATGGATTCTGCCTAGCCCAGTTCCATTGGTCCCGGCACATGTCATCCAGCGTCAAAGTAGCCTTCCATTTCAGCTCCCTCTCCGCCTTATCCGTCAGAGCATACACCTCGGAGCAGTCTCCCGGCCGCCTGGGACACATTTTCACAGGGATCTCCCGGCCAGAGGCCTGCTCGAAGCCCGCTACCATCTCCAGCACGGACTGCCCCCGGCCGGTGCCGAGGTTGTAGACGTCGCAGGTGAGGGCGGGCGTGGTGAAGATCTTGCGCAGCGCTGCGGTGTGCCCCGCTGCCAGGTCCATGACGTGGATGTAGTCGCGCACCTGATGGGGGCGGGATGCAGGGGGCAGAGTCAAATAATAGCAAATGAGCGCATGATAAGTGGATAAGTAATGGAGTTTTCTGCGCTGCTAGGTCCATGACGTCGGTGGAGTCGCGCACCTGATGGGGATGGGCATGCAGGGGGTCAGGGAAGAAAGGGCAACAGTATGGTGAACATGCTGTGCAGTGCGGCAGTGTGCCCCGCTGCTAGGTCCATGACGTGGGATGTGCACCTGATGGGGGGGTGGGATGTGCACCTGATGGGGGTGTGGGATGTGCACCTGATGGGGGGGTGGGATGTGCACCTGATGGGGGTGTGGGATGTGCACCTGATGGGGGGGTGGGATGTGCACCTGATGGGGGGGTGGGATGTGCACCTGATGGGGGTGTGGGATGTGCACCTGATGGGGGTGTGGGATGTGCACCTGATGGGGGTGTGGGATGTGCACGTCGGTTTGTATGCACGGAGGGGATTTGGGTTATAAAAAGGCAAATCAAGAGATTAACAACAAAGGGTATGCAGATCCTCATCCACCAACCAACCCTCCTTCCCCCATCTCTCTCTCTCTTCCCACCAACAGCGGCCCGTCGAATGAACGGCATGAGGTTGTTGGATCCCCCTGTGGGTCTCTCTCCGTCTTTTCAACCATTACACGTCGTCGTTCCACTCATCCCAGGAACGGGCGGCGCCCCACGGCGACCTGCTGGATGAGGGGCATGAGGTTGTTGGGGATGCCCTGCGGGTCTCTCTCTCTCTCCCCCTCTCCCCCTCCCCCTCCCTCCCCCTCCCTCCCCCTCCCTCCCCTCCCTCCCTCCCTCCCTCCCTCTCCCCCCTTTTCACCCTTTACAGATTCCCTTTCAACTCACCCCAGTGCCGTCCTTCGTCGGGTAGTCGCTGCCAAACACGGAGAGGAAGGGGCGGCGCCCCACGGCCACTTGTTGAATGAAGGGCATGAGGTTGTTGGGGATGCCCTGCGGGTCCTCGCCTATGCGCCCCGACGGGTGCGCGCCCACGGGGTTGAAGTACCGCAGCAGCAGCACCTGCCACCCCGCCGACGCTGCCTGCATGTCCCTCAAGATGTTCTCTATGTACAGCTGAAAGCAGAGGGAGGGAAAAGGAGGGGGGGGGAGGGAAGAGAGAGAGCGCAATGGGCAGGTGAGGCGGAGGCGTAAGCACCCCGAGCGGTGCTTGCCCACAGGGTTGAAGTACCGCAGCAGCAGCACCTGCCACCTGGTGACGCTGCTTTCATGTCCCTCAAGATGTTCTCTACGTACAGCTGAAAGCGTTGAAAGAGAAGACGCGGGGGTAGGGGGTGAGAGGGGAGGGAGAAGGGGTGCAGGCGCCAAGTGAGGTTGAGTACGAAAGGACGGGAGGCAGGCGGCGAGAAGACAGCGAGAGGAGCATTGTGAGGATTGCACGACGAGCAGGAAAGGGACCTGCACTGACCTTGGTGCGGCCGTACGGGTTGAGTGTCTGCAGCTCGTCCTCCTCCGTGCACGGCACCCGCTTGGGCTGACCGTACACTGTGGCGGACGACGAAAACACTATCTGCACGGGTATACGCGGTGGTATGTGAGGGAGGGAAGATTTGGAGTCAGTGGAGCGCCTCTTTCAACATGGGGTGGTTTTGAAACAAGAATGGATGAAAAGTGCCGTGCGTTGTGCCGCAATAAAATTGCACTGCTATTGGGCCCAACGACCACATCATCCCACTATCACCTCACCTTCTTGCACCCGTATTGGTCCATGAGCTCGAGCAGAATGATAGTCCCTGTGATGTTGTTGTGGTAGTACCGCAGCGGGTACTGCACGCTCTCGCCCACCGCCTTGAGCCCCGCGAAGTGAATCACCGCGTCGAAGCTGAGGCGGGAGGCAGAAGAATCAGTGACGAAATCAACGGCAAGAAACGAATAAATGAAGGCATGGGGAGATATCGGCAGAAGTGACCAGCAAAGGCAACAGAGAGGAACGACGACGCAGCAGCTGATTCGGGAGCGAGAGGAGACGGGTGGGCCAATGACAACGGAAAGAAATCAAGAGCCAAAGGGTGGGCCAATGATGCGGGAGTACTTACGCAGTGTGTTTGAACACCTCCTCCAGAAGAAGCCGGTCCAACAGATCGACCTGTACACGGATAAGTAGTCAATCAACGGTCAGCTCGGCTCGACGGACGATGGGATCGTGGGAAGAAAGAAGCGAGATGCAAAACATTCGACACTAAGTAGAAAGCACACCTTGAAGAAGGTCAGGTTCCTTCCCTTGTCGCCGGTGAGCTCCACGACACGCTCGATGGCCTCCTCGGAGGAGTTATCGAGGTTGTCCACCACCACCACCCTGCACGACGCACACCATCGCACCGCATCCAACCGAGTCAGATCGTGTCGTGTCACGGGAGAAAGGTCCGGGCACTGAAACAGCGTCATCTCAACTTGAGACAACGTCAAGTGAAGCTCCAGAACTAACCGTCATACAATCCTAAACTGCCATGGATTGGGTGATACACTAAAAAAAAAAACGCATGTTCCGAATGTCGCTCAAGCTAATGTCTAGTATATCTCACCTATACCCCTCCTCTAATAGCTGGACGCAGGTGTGGCTTCCAATGTATCCTGCGCCTCCAGTCACCAAAATAGTGCCTTTATCCGATGAGCCATTAGCGCGCCAGTCTGAACCTACTTGCTTCGTCATACTGGCCATGGAGTTAACAGTCAGTAACGATACTAAGCGTTCGAAGAGCGTGTGAGTAACGTCAAGGAAATAGCGACGGTAGAAATATTTGTAGTCGTAGACAGCAGGAGATTATGTTGATTGATCAACGAAACACCAGAACAAAAGGCTTTATACGACACTTCTAAAAACTGTGTTGGTTTGTCAGAGAGATGAGTTAGAGTTGAGAGTTCGCTGGAAATCCCTAGGTGCGCGGTGGGGGATTTGGGGGTCTGAAGGAGAGGCGTCCCTATTGGTTGGCTCAGGGTGTTTGTTCGGTGTTGTGTGGTGGTTTGATGGAGGAGATTCCCAATGTGGGGCTCGCGTGAGCAAGACGCCCACCTCACCACCACCAGGTCTTGGTAGCAAATCCGCCTTGTCCAATACTTCCCGTACGATTGAACTTCAAGGGGATTTTCAAGAAGTTTCAACGGCGAAGATCTCGTGTGTGCTGCAATCTCCCACCCCAAGGTTGCGACTCGTTGGCCAGGGCGGCGGAGCCTTGGGTTTGGCTGGGAGTGAGGGAGAGCTGGCTGGTGGTGGAGCCCCTGCCAGCAGCTGTCGCTCTTCTCCGAATGCCCCGCGCGAGGACGTTGGAGCCTGACATGTGGGACGACGTGGTACACCTGTGATTTGAGCCTTCGCGAACAAATCAGCGACCTTTATTGACCACGCGCGCTGAGGAAGCGAAATCTCCAAGCGCAAGTGGTAACTTCGCCGGGGCCTCCCTCCTAGTGGTTCGGAGAGCCTGTTGTTGATGTTGATGCATTGAGCAGGGTGGGTTTGCAGCACGGAGCCAGCTGTGGCAGCCAGTTGTCCAACATGAGCCAGCAGAGGGCTGATGAAGGCCAGCACAGGTCCTGCGAGTCATGACCCGTTATGCTACACTTTCTAGTGTACGTCCCTTTCCAATAACTCGGAAACTAGGATTCGTGCTCGCCTATATGGCACTGATGCGCGAACCTCCATGTGGCAAAATGCGAGATGCAAGAAATCGAGCAGCAGTATATCGGAGCAGATTTCTGACAAGCAACGCCTCACGTGGTCGCCAGCGCACTAGGTAGGGAACATGAGTCACCCTACCTCAACAACGAACTGTTTTCCTCGCGCTGGCGACCGTGTCACCTGCTGACTTTGCTACTCCCGCTGACGCAACCCAAGTGCTAGCTCTGGTGACGACATGTGTGCAGCTTTGCTGAATCTGCACGTGCCATGACGCCAGATCAACATGAACTCACATCCTTCTGATGCTGGCAAACCCCGATCATGTGTCAAACAATGCCCAGCATGGGGGGGGATTCCACTTCCCCCTCTACAATGCCGCCGAACCTGCACAAAACCCCCCACACCTTGGGACTAAAATTCCCAGCAGGGAGAAAAGAGCAAATGCATCAGATTTCCGCTGATTCAGCAGCAAGATTGATTCTAACGCTGATCTACTTCGTTGTGGTAGCCTATCTTCACCAAAGCACGGCTCACTCTGTTCCGTTTTCAAGACATAGGCACGCGTTAGGCGAATACTGGTAGTTCGTTTTTCGTCCGGAGTTTGAGCATCAACACGCTGACCTGCAGTCATGAAGCCCGCTCACCACCATGAAAGCCATCAGCAGGAGAGTGAGCACAAGAAGAACGTGCAGAAGGGGATAGAGCGCATGGAGCGTCACTCGGGTAAGAATTTCAAGAATTTCGTTCATTCTGGAAGGAAGGAGAGTTTTTGTAATGGGTTTTCTCACACTGGCATTTTATCCTCCCTTACCTCCCAACACTTCTCGTCCGTGTTCTTCGCAGGTACCGGAAATCGCGGAGATCCGAAAAAGGGTAACTATTCAGTCAACCTTTTATAAGCTATTTCACCCGATCAACACTTATAAATTGCATGACGCTCAAAATCTCGCCTTCTCGTTTCAACATCGCCTGCTCGTTTTAACAGTTGTGTAATGCATCTGTTTTTTACTGTTTACTTTCCCAGGGGGAGGCGGCGGGAAGCACACCTGGGGGGAAGTCGGAGCGGAGTTCGAGCCCGTGGCGGCCGCGTTGGATAAGAACGACCCCAACTACGACCCGGATGCGGGCGAGGAGCAGCTCGAAGAGAGGTGCGTGTGGCTTGCGCGTGGCTTTACTGTGGCATGCATGTGGCTTGCGCGTGGCTTTACTGTGGCATGCGTGTGGCTTTACTGTGGCTTGCGTGTGGCTTGCGTATGGCCTGTGTATGCCTCCCACCTCTTTACGAGACTTCGACTTCAACTTTCCATCTGAGCCTCTGGACGATGCCGTTTTCGCTTGATGAACGGACGAACCAAAGATATCCAAGACGATGCTGCCACGCACGTTCTATTGCATGCATTCATCTGTCACATGCATTCATCTGTCACATACATTCATCTGTTACAATCATTCATCTGTTACATGCATGCATTCATCTGGTACATGCATTAATCTGTTACATGCATGCATTCATCTGTTACATACATTCATCTGGTGCATGCATTCTTCTGTTACATACATTCATCTGGTGCATGCATTCAGGTTTACTGAACCGTTGGAGAAGCTGGAACCCAAGAAGGTCGTCATGGACTGACGGCGGACTCCAGCCATGGGACCATGCAGTCAAATTGCTGGGAATTTCGTCGCTGGGGTCATCACCTGCTGCATGCTTCATACACTTGCCAGATTGTAAACGCCTGACATAGGCCTAGGAGGATCTGGGATTATTGTGGTGCACCAATACTGTATAGATGGCTTACTGGGAGACCAGCAGATGCCAGTGCAAGAGAGGCACTGCCAGGACGTGAGCATTCAGAATGCAATTGGATGGGTAGGTAGCAAATGGAAGGCGGGGATGACTAATGGCACCTCATCAGATGGTAACTTCTGCTCCTGCACTTGTCTGTGTTGCTCAGACATTCGTTCATCATCAAGGATAATGGTCCCACAAAAACATTATGGCTGTATTAGTCCCTCCATGCTGCAGCACCTACCGGGTCTGATTCCACAAGTCGACCATGTGCTCACCGCTCAGCATTCGCTGCCCCCCCCTAATAGAGGATGACTGAATTCAGGGCATTTTGAACTACCGGATGGGGTGAGGAATCAGGATAATTAGTTAGCTCATGGAGGCATAAGTCTTCAGACAGCTTTCAACTAGTGCAACTGAACCTCAGGCAGTACCATACCATGTCACCGTCTGCTGACTAACCAGTGACACTAGTGAGGAACATCTGAAATGTAACCAGCACAAGGATGTCCTGTCCTCCCACCTCTGACATGTAACAGCATGGATACCCTCTTTACAAGCAAGGCACATCTACGTTATTTTGAACAAAGATACTTTCACACGTTATGGCACCCAAAAAGGGCAGCAGCAGGAGCACACTGTAATAATTTGATAGGTGTTGCAGGAGACTAAGTATAGAAAATATTTGGTACACACAACACAACGCAGGTCCGCAAAACATCTACCACATATTTGGTGGTAGATGGAATTTCGAGCACCAACACAACAGCAGACATGCCATTATGCCATAGTTGGCAGCTCAAGTTAACACCACTCGACTCGACAGAAAAAACAGAGACCCCACAAGTCCATTAACAGTCCCGAGGTGTAACAAGGCATAGGCATAGTCCAGAATTGGGCATATGCCCAATTCACGAGGCAAGGCCATTGGTTCCAGAGACAGGAGGGTGAAATCAGGACTGCATGGATGCAGCCTCGGGGAGGGCAGGGGCGCTTCTGAGCAGGCGCTCCAACTCGTCATTCACCTCCGCCTGCTGCTTCCACTCCTGGCAGGGGGAGAGGGTTTGGTGAAGCGGAGAAGGGGGGGGGGAGAGGGGACAGATTGGTGGGGGGTTTGAGAGGACTCAGGAGCACCTCGCTGTTGACCTCCGCCTGCTGCTTGCGCTCCTGGCAGGGGGGGAGGAAGATGAGTGGGGTGGGGGTGCGGGGAGACAGGATGAAGCAAATGAAGACAGGATGCGGGGTAGGGACAGGATGAGACAGGATGAGACAGGATGCGGGGTTGGAGGGGAAGGGAAATGAAGGCGGGGCGCTTCTGAGCAGCCGCTCCAGCTCGCCATTCTCCTCCACCTGCTGCTTCCACTCCTGGCAGGGGGAGAGAGGGTTTGGTGACGAGGGGGGGGGAGGGGGGAGAGGAGGGAGAGGAGGGATATGAGTGGATGAGAGAAGTAGGAAAGGGACAGATTGGGGGAAGCATGGCCTCTCAGCCGAACACCGCACCAATGGCCACTGTCACACGGCCACTGCCACACGACCACCGCCACATGGCCACTGCTACATGGCCACTGCCACATGGCCAAGTTGACCCATGAAGCTACTGTTCTCCCCCTTTCACGACCCTTAACCCCTTCCAGCCTCGTCTCTCACCTTCTGCAGGCTCTCGACCTCCATGAGGCGCTCGATCTGGTCCGCGATGCTGGCCTGCTCAAGCACCCAGCAGCCCCAAGGAAGGGGAAGAAAGCAGACGCAGGGAAGGGGTGCGAAGAGATGCAGGGAGGGGCGTGATGAGATGCGGGGAGGGTTCTTGCAACAACACCAAAAAGCAAAACGAGAGGATCAACACATCACTTATTCAGAATATTAACCCCCTTGTGGCATGTCCACCTTGTGGGGATACCGAAGCAAGACTCACCGCAGCGCCTGCTGCCTCTGCTGTTGGCACGTCCGCATCCATCTCAACCTCTATCTCTATCATCGACAGAACCTGCGCGGAGAGGGCACACAAGAAGAGAGAGGAGAAAACAGCTTCTGTCGTCGAGCACGGTGGCACGTCTGCATCCACCTCAACCTCTATCTCTATCATTGACAGCACCTGCGGGTAGAGGGCACACACGAAGAGAGAGGAGAATGCTGTTTCTGCAGTCGAGCCTGGTGGCACCTCCGCACCCATCTCAACCTCTATCTCTATCACCACGGGGTGTGTATTTTTGAGGCGCCTAAAAAATAGACTCCTCACGCATGGTTTATTCACAGAGAGGTTTTCTGAGGCGCCTCAAAAATAGACTCCTCACTGCAGTCGAGCCTGGTGGCACGTCCGCATCCATCTCATCCTCTATCTCTGTCACCACGGGGCAAGTGCCCATCACCACAGTAGTGCACAGCACCACGGTAGTGAACACGCACCACGGTAGAGCACGGCACCACGGTAGTGCATGGCACCACGGTAGTGCACGGCACCACGGTAGTGCAAGGAACCACGGTAGTGCACGGCACCACGGTAGTGCACTGCACCACGGTAGTGCACGCCACCACGGTAGTGCACAGCACCACGGCAGTGCACGGCACCACGGTAGTGCACGGCACCACGGTAGTGCACGGCACCACGGTAATACACAGCACCACGGTAGTGCACGGCACCACGGTAGTGCACGGCACCACGGTAGTGCACGGCACCACGGTAGTGCACGGCACCACGGTAGTGCACGGCACCACGGTAGTGCACGGCACCACAGTAGTGCACGGCACCACGGTAGTGCACGGCACCACGGTAGTGCACGGCACCACGGTAGTGCTCAGCACCCCAAGTGGTTTCCCACTGGTTTCCCACCACCCCGAGTGGTTTTCCCACTGGTTTGCCACCACCCCAATGGGTTTCCCACTGGTTCGCCACTACCCTGAGTGTTTTCCAATGGTTTGCCTCCATCACCCTCCATTACCCATCACCCTCCATTGCCAGTGGTTTGCCAATGGTTTCCTAGTGTCAGTGGTTTCCTAGTGTCAGTGGTTTCCTAGTGTCAGTGGTTTCCCAGTGTCAGTGGTTTCCTAGTGTCAGTGGTTTCCCAGTGTCAGTGGTTTCCTAGTGTCAGTGGTTTCCTAGTGTCAGTGGTTTCCTAGTGTCAGTGGTTTCCTAGTGTCAGTGGTTTCCCAGTGTCAGTGGTTTCCTAGTGTCAGTGGTTTCCTAGTGTCAGTGGTTTCCCAGTGTCAGTGGTTTCCTAGTGTCAGTGGTTTCCCAGTGTCAGTGGTTTCCCAGTGTCAGTGGTTTCCTAGTGTCAGTGGTTTCCTAGTGTCAGTGGTTTCCTAGTGTCAGTGGTTTCCTAGTGTCAGTGGTTTCCTAGTGTCAGTGGTTTCCTAGTGTCAGTGGTTTCCCAGTGGTTTGCCACCACCCCGAGTAGTTTCGCAGTGGTTTTGCCACCACCCTGAGTGGTTTCCCAGTGGTTTGCCACCACCCTGAGTGGTTCTCGAGAGGTTTGCCACCACCCCGAGTGGTTTCCCGGTGGTTTGACACCTCCCAAAGTGGTTTCCTACTGGTTTGCCACCACCCTGAGTGGTTGTCAAGTGGTTTGCCACCACCACGAGTGCACCCTAATGAGACGGGCGCGCTATAACGAGACGAGCGTGCTCTAATGAGACGGGCACGCTCTAATTAGGCGGGCCCGCTCTAATGAGACGGGGGCGCTCTAATGAGACGAGCATGCTCTAATGAGACGAGCATGCTCTAATGAGACGAGCATGCTCTAATGAGACGAGCATGCTCTAATGAGACGAGCATGCTCTAATGAGACGAGCATGCTCTAATGAGACGAGCATGCTCTAATGAGACGAGCATGCTCTAATGAGACGAGCATGCTCTAATGAGACGAGCATGCTCTAATGAGACGAGCATGCTCTAATGAGACGAGCATGCTCTAATGAGACGAGCATGCTCTAATGAGACAGGCGCGCTCTAATGAGACGGGAGTGCACTAATGAGACGAGCTCGCTCTAATGAGACGGGCGGGCCTAATGAGACGAGCATGCCCTCCAGCCAGACCAGCAGTTGGGGAAGCACGTCCTCACATGTGCGTTAGAAGCACGTCCTCACATGTGCGCTAGAAGCACGTCCTCACATGTGCGCTAGAAGCAAGTCCTCACATGTCCCCACCTTGGCATAGCTATCAATCAGGTTGATTCTCGCCAGTAGCCGCTGGTCAAGCCCTTTGCGTGCGGCCACTACTCGGTCCCACCGCGCACTGCGGGGGATAGGAGCACGGGGAGACGGCAGGAATGGGGCGGATAGGAGAGGGCGGGAGTGGGGAAGACAGGAGAGGGCGGGAGTGGGGAAGAAAGGAGAGGGCGGGAGGGAGGAGTGGGAAAGCTGAAGCAAACACGTGAGGGGTGGTCCATAGATCGTGCATTGCTGAGAGACGAGTGGGGTGTGGAGCCATGAGGGAACGGAGATAAGGGCTTTCAGAAGATGCCAATGATAGGGCTGCTGGCATCACTACCTTAAGTAAAACCCAGAGATCACAGTGCTACTGCTGCTACCCACGCTAAGGAGACCTGTCATTAGCAAGTGGGTGGCACCTGTAAGTGGATGGCTGGCCAATCGACTGCATCTTGTTCTGCAACTGGCACATGCGAGCCAGCATGCGCACCTGGTGTGCATAAGCACATACGGGCATAAGTATACACATGCATGCATGCAGCCATTGGCACACACGAACACATGGAAGGCAGGGCACATGAATGTGCACCCAAACATGCATGTGCATGCACAGATGCAGACAAGCACACAGCGAAGAGGGAGTGTGGTGCATGCAGCAGTGGCAGGCTGCATGTTCACACACAACTCAATCTCCCTTCCTGCGGCTGAATGGGTGTGTTGTGCATGACAGGCCAGGATGGGTGAACAACTCGAAATGCGTGAGTGCATGACAGGCCAGGATGGGTGAACAACTCGAAATGCGTGAGTGCATGGTGGTCAGAATAGAAGCGGCAGCACCTTCTGACTCGCCTCGTCAGCCGCACAGAGCGCCTCTAGTAGCTGTCTCAAGGCAGCATGGTGCTCCAGAGGCAGGAGATGCCTTTTGAGTCGACTCAAAAGAGCAGCATGCTGCCTTGGGCACTGATGCTGCAGCAGAGGCAACAGTGGCTCACCTCGTCAGCCGCAGCAGCGGAGAGCGCCTCTAGCCTCTGCCTCAGCGAAGCGTGCTGCTCCAGCAGCTGCTGCCGCACTGCCATGCCGTCCACCACGCAGCCTGGGAGCTGGGAGGGAGGGGTCGCAACAGATACAGGAAGAGCACAACATGAACGAGCACCCTACGGCTTTGCATGCCCCAGCAGCTGCTGCAACACTGCCATACCGTCCACCACGCTGCCTGGGAGCTGCGGAGAGGACAGAACAAGGTGGGCAACAGATACTGGGCAGCAAGAGACACGGGGAAGAGGTGGGCAGCACAACGTGATCGTACTGCATAAGTCTGTCTGTGAATGCTCCAGCAGCTGTGAAGCTGCCGCCGCACTGCCATGGCATCCACCACATTGCCTGGGAGCTGACGAGAGGGAGCGGCGTTCAAGGGGGGGAAGAGCAGCAATGTATGAGCCAAAACCATCGCCATCCCTCCCCTCTCACCTCTCCCCGCCCAAAACCCCAACCCCCGAACCGTAACCCCCCAACCCCTCCCCCCCATTCACCCCCCTCGCTCCTCTTCCCCCCTACCTCTCGTAACTTCGGCAGCACGACATAGTTGTAAGCCCCACCTGCTGCCGCTCCTCCTGCCGCCACCCACCCGACCACGCTCCCCATCGTGCCGTCCGTGATCGCATTCGGCTCCATCACCCCCATGCTCACTGCTGCCGCCGCAACCACGTTCGCCGCCACCAGCGTGCCGCCCAGCGGCAGCACCCAGGGCGGCAGCGACAGGCTGCCGCTGTCTCTAGTGGCCTTGGGTGGCGCGCGCAGCAATGCCAGCGTCTGCCTCGTAACATGATTGGTCAGCGCCATGGGCTCACTGGGATTCCACCCCGGGGTTCTGTTCGCAGGAGCCGGGAAAACCCCGGCTATTTTCCGCTGAGAGGAAGAGGGTCTTCGAGAGGAGGAAGAGGATGAGGAGGGGAGGGAGGAGGAGAGGGAGGAGGCGAGGGAGGAGGAGAAGGAGGGGGCGGCGCAGGCGATGGTGAGGCGCTCGCCCGACTGGGCGGGCACGGAGGGGGTGACGGTGGCGAAGGTGTTGATCTGCGACGTGCCGTCGGGGGCTTTCAGCACCACGCTGTGCACCGCTGCTGGCGGGTCGCCTCTTTTGATACGAACGAAGCGAAGGACCTTGTCTAGTATGGGAGCTGAGTCACTGGTGGGAAGGGGGGGAGGGGGGGAACGGGGAAAGGGGAGAGAGAGGCGCTCTCAGCACCATGCTGTGCACCGCTGTTGACAGGTTGCCTAAGTTTAGGGGAACGAAGCGAAGGACCACGCAGGCATGAATAAGGTTACACAGATAAACATATATATGTATTATGTATAAGTCAGTCAGTATATCCACCCGTGTAACACTCACATGAGTGTCTCGGAGTCGCAGGAGATGAGGTCCCCTGACACCAACTCGTACTCGTACTTGCACCCTGCACACCCCACCACCTGGGGGACAGGGGAGGTGAGCCACACATGTGGGACGAGGAACAGAAGCAATGTTTCGATGCAAGCAGAGGTAAGCTGAAGCACAAGCTAAGGGCTGGTGAAAGTGTGGAACTAGGAGGAAGGGGTCCCTCCCTTGAATCACATCAGCGCCAACAAAGCAAGGGGTAACCGCACAGAACACAGCCATAGTGGCACAACGCACAGAGGTGCCAGCCAGGCCGTAGGGGGGCCTCCCTCACCTGCCGGCCTTGCTGCGGCTGCACCACAGAAAACGCCTTGCGACACGTGGGGCAGTCCACTGTCACTCCAAATGACACCTGGCATGGCGGGACGCAAAGGTGTAGAGGCACATCAAACCCCCTCAAGGCATGGCACATGCCACCACAGCACCTATGCAGCACAGCATGCGCCACCCTTCACCATGACCGCTACCTCCCTTCCTAGTGCCCCAACCTACCTCTCCATCCCCTTCGGAAACTCCCCACCTCCCCTCCCCCCCACCCCCCCCCAGCATCCACCACGATCCGTGCATTCACCCGTGCATCCATAACACCTACCCCCTGTCCCCCTCGGGCAACCCCCACCGCTGAACCCGCCCTCCCCCAGCAGCACTGCACGCATCACCTTTCACCGTGACCCCTACCTACCTTGCTAGTGTCCAACTCTCCTCCCTGTCCCGCCCTCAGGCACCCCTCGCCGCTGCACCTCGCCCACCAGCGCCGCTGCATGAATCACCTCACCATGGCCCCCTCTGCCTTCCCACACCCCCAACCCTCCTCCCTGTCTCCCTCAGGCACCCCTCGCCGCAGCACCTCGCCCACCAGCGCCACTGCACCTGTTGCTTCCCCATCCCTCCCCCCCCACCCCACTCTCCCCTCTCGGCTCACCTCTCTGTCCCCCTCGGGCACCCCCCTGCGCTGCACCTCGCCCACCAGCGCCACTGCGTCCGCCACTCTCAGCAGTGCTGCCAGCCCCCTCACCATCGCCGCGTACAGGCGCACGCCTGCTGCTGGCCACACGCGCATGCGCGCTGGGGAGAGAAGAAGTAGGGGGGAATGGACAGTACGTGGAAGGATCAGAAGGGCATACGCCACCGTCAGCAGCGCCGCCAGCCCCCGCACCATCGCCGCGTACAGGCGCACGCCTGCTGCGGGCCACACGCGCGCACGTGCTAGAGGGGAGTGGAGGCGGAAAGATGGGAAAGGGCATGGGAAGGGCATATTCTGCCATGTCCTACTGCCTGCCGCACCTGCCTGCCATGTACCATACTGCCGCACCTGCCCCGGGCACGCCGACATTAAGCGCCAAAGAAGAAGTCTTGCACGCATTCAGCAGCGAATAGGCGAGTGTCACGTTGCCCGCTGCCAGGCTCCCCTCCATCAGCCATGCCACGTCACGCCGCGAGAACCTTTCCGCCTTTCCCGCGCTCCCCGCCCCTGCGCCTGCGCCGACTTTCCCCCCCGGCCGTTGCCCCATCCCCGCGCCCTGCGCTCTGCTGGCACCTGTCGCTCCCCCTTTCCCTTGCGCCTCCGTAAATCTCCCCTGACCTTGCGCTCGCTCCGCCTTACCCCCTGCCGTTTCCGCCTTCTTATCCTTATCACCCCCCAGTAGACTCCCCAACCCACTGAACCATCCCCCGCCCGCCTTCTTCTTCTCTTCCGCGGCGGCTGCTGCCGCCGCAGCCGCCGCCGCTGCCGCTTCCGCCTCCGCCTTTGCCGCAGCGGCGGATGTAGCTTCCGCCGCTGCTGCTTCCGCCGCGGCTAGCGCTGCAGCTCCGCCCGCCTCCCCCCGCAGAGCCGCCAGCTTCCCCAGCAGCAGCTCCGTCAAGCTATCTGCGTCCTCCACTTCCGCCAACCACCTGCTGACGTCACGATCGTCAGCTAGTCTTTCCGCTAGCGATGGTAACCGTTGGCGAGATTTCGCTCGCGATTCACTGCCATCGCTCCCCTTCGCGTCCTCTGTGTCCGTCTCGTCGTCGAAATCATCGTCATCGTCGTCAGTAGACTCGACACTGGAGTTTAAACCGAGAGCGGTTTCTGCAGCTCTTAATAGCCGCGTCGATTCCTTCTCCTCTACCAGCGTCGCGGCCATGGCGGAATCTGCTAATTTAACTCCGTCCTTATCACTCGCGCTGCCACTTAAACTGGACCGAATGCCACGTGGCGTTACTCCCTCTCGCACGATTCGGCCAACTCTGCATCCTACTCTGCGAAACGCTGCACTGTTACTCGTCGCTGGTAACACTCGCCTAAGCCCGTCATGCTGAGGAATCTTGCCCCAGCTGCTCCCTGGAACCCCAACGCTCCCTTGCGCAACCTCGGGCTCTCCGCGGAGAGCCGGAGACTGCGCCAGCGGCAGAGACGCGCTCGCGCGAAGAGCCGCCATTGTTATCCTACGGCCACGGCGTCAAGAGCTTACCGTGGCCTGGTCCTAGTAGGGCGTCCTGGCTCCTGAGCTAGGCTGCTTGACTAAGGAAAAGGGAACGTATGTAAAGCAAGCAGAACATACGGAAGCAACTCATGGCGAGTTTGTTTTTCGTCGGAAACCCTACCCAACCTTTTTCGAAGTTTAAATAAACTTTCTGGAACGTATAGCACCTCACTTAACCGTAACAAAATGAACTCTTGTGCTCACCCTTAGGACCAGAAGGACTCTCGCCAGGAGGGAAAGCAGCGGAACGCGGAAGCAGATGGGCTGCAGGCACGCACGGGCAAGCGGATGCACGTGAAATTCCCAAGGCTCTGGCGGAGAAGGGCAGGGGCTGAGCGGGCGAACGTCCGTGGGCGCAGAAAATGTTGCCCGGACGGGGCAGATAATGGATTTGCCTTGTTGGAAAGGCGAGAGTGTGAAGTAATTGACCAATCATAGGCAGCAAAGAGAATTTTGGTTGACCCGGTCTCGCTCAGGAGTGGCAGGAGCTGATCTTCAATTCCTCTGACACGCGCCAAAAACATTCTGCAAGTCATGATCGACGACGAAAAACTTTCGCATTTGCCATGTAACCCTAGAGAAGCGAGAAGCCCGCATTTCGCCACGTTCGACAGCAAAACCTCCGCAAATCTTCAAGAACACGCTTTTCCTCTCCAAGTTCCTCCCATAATTCAGGTTCCCCTGGGATTACTTTACGGTACCTTGGGATTCCTTCAAGCCAGTGCTCTGGTGTCATAACTTCTCAACTCATGTTCCGCCACTCCACGGTCCTATATCTCTACCGTCTACAATAGTCTTACTGACGTCCCATATCAGAAGCAGTAGGCCGATCTGCATGCATCGGCTGCTGTGGCTTGACGAGAAATACCACCTGAGCCGTCCGACTTCGCGGTAGTCTCGTAACGCTGGCGTTTTAATGGCTGTAAGATTCATTATTTTCTCGGATTCTTCTCGGCGGTCCGCTAAGAATCACCAGCCTAGGCTACGATTCGTCCATTCCTTACGGACTAGAAACCACTCGCTACGTCAACCGTTTTGGCGATTGGCGATTGGTGATTGTCGTTGTTACGGGTTCTTTCCACTCCTAGTCTTAGTTCGCTCATTACCTCCCTGTAAACTATCCCGTCATCATTGTCGCTCTTCCGCTAATAAGTGCTCGGTTAGATTCTGGCTTTCAATACTCGTGCACCCCTTCTCCTCTCTCGCGTCTTACCCCCACAGGAGAAATTCGCGTGCATGCCGTTGAGCGAGGTGCCTGGAGCGGTGTGTGGATCCAAGTAACTCTCAAATGCGCGTCTTACCCCAACCATGAGAAGTACACTTACACGCCGTTGAGCGAGGTGCCTGCAGCAGGCACAATCATATGGATCCTAACTTGCGGAAGCATGTCTCAACCCCCACCAGGACAAGTATGTGTACACGCCGCTGAGCGAGGTGCCTGCAGCAGCGGGGCAGAAGGTCCACGTCATCGGCGTGGTGGTCCTGGCGGACAACATCCGCCACTCCCAGGGGACTGGTACTTTTTGTTTAAAGAAAAAAACTCGTTTCGGTTTCACGTATTTCACGTGCCTTTCTGTCGCTCTGATTTTCTCCCCCTGCAAATTTTAACCTAGGCATTTCATTTCCGTGGATCTCATATCGCCTCACGTCCCGTGCTTTGCAGACTTCTTCTGCACGCTGCTGCTGGCGGACACGACGTGCCACAGCCCTGGCTACGCCGTCAACTACTTTGCTCACCCCGCGGATCAGCTGCCTCCAGTCGCCAAAGTCGGCGACATCATTCGCATCCACCGACTATTGGTCAGTAGCGTCGCACTTTGCATCCAACAGCTCAGTACTTTGCGTCGCACTTGCGTCATCCACCGATGACAGGATCCCACGCCAGCTGCCGTCCACTTCCTCTTATTCTTCTCCTCCACTCGATAATCCACCAGCCCGTTGATCCGGTGCTCCTCTAATTCCAACTTTCCCCTCCTCATCTCAGAAGCCTCATTAGTGAATCATCCTGCTATGCTTGGCTGCCTTTCCGCACTATACTGCGCAGAGCACGGTGATCCACACCGGTCCCCTGGGCACGGCTCGTGGAAATCTGTACAGCAGCTACGCGCTCTTCTCAGGAGCGCCAGGCGCTTCCCTGCACCCGTACGCCTTCTCCCACGAGTCCTTCTCGCCGCTATCCCGCGCGCACCAGCAGCTCATCCAGCAACTCAGGCTCTGGGCGCATGGCTTCCCCTTCCCCATCCGTAAGCTGGGGTGCGTAGGGGGACAGTGGGGAGTCAGGAGAGAATTGGAGGAGTGGGGGGCGAAGTTTTTTTGTCATGGAGGGGAGTGCACGGCATTCGCTCTGTAAAGAAGCGTTCTGGTTCCCTGCCTCCCTCCCTCCCGTCCCCTCCATGGCACCTCGCAGGGCCACTGAGAGCGCCAGAGCCGTTGCTGACCATCAGCAGCATCGATGCAGACATCGCCTTTGACCTCTGCGTGCAGGTCAGCCTTTGACCTCTGCGTGCAGGTCAGCCTCTCCGCATGGCAGGGTTGTATGGTCATGTTGGTGTTCTCGCTTTCTGCTCTTCTGGTTTGGTGCAGTATCGGCCACTTTCACCACCATGCTGTGCATGTGTGAGTGTCTTTGTTTGTGCGGGCAGGTGTGGCACATAGTGAGGAGGGATCACACGGTGGTTCTCTTCGTGTGGGACGGCACCGACCTCCCTCTCCCTTCCCTTTCCGCGTCAGTCATTCTATCTCCTCTCTGCTTCCATCCCTTCGCTCCTTCACTCTCCTTCCTTCCTTCCTTCCTTCCTTCTTCTTTCCTTCGCTCACCTGTCGCTGCCTCCCGTGCCTCACTCTGGTGCCGTCCCCTCCTCTGCTATGCAGGCCACCAACGCCAATCCCTTCCGTGCAACCGTCACAGCACATGCAGCCGCCGCGCACAGGCCAGCCCCTCTTTTCCATCGGAGGTCGCCCCACCCCTCCTCTCTCGGTGCTCCGGCGCATTCCCCCCCTGGGCTCCCTGCTCCCCATCACGTGCAACGTGGAGGACCCCCACTGGCTGCTGCACCGCCTGCACCCATCTGTACCGCAGACGCTGCAGCAGGGGGTAGCAGGGGGGGCGGACAGGGCGGGGCGAGCGGGGGAGGGGGGAGAGAGACACGGGGAGGGGGGTGGGAGGAGAGGAGGTGGGGAGGATGGAGAGGAGGGCGAGGAGGGGAGGGTGGCTGGCGTGTGGCAGGAGGCAGGCGTGCTGCCATGTTGGGTGCGGCTGAGGAACATCAGAGCCAAGTGCCATGGCTGCAGAGGGGACTGGGTGGGGATTTTCGACAAGAGCAGCCGGCTGAGCCTCGTCAGGGACCACTACTCCGATGTGGTACAGCTAAAAAGGTATGGCCTGTGCTGCCGTGTTCCTTACAGCTTTTAGATTCCATGATAAGCCACCCAATCTGGATTCTGCCGTTTCTGCCCTTTCTGCCGCTTCTGCCCTTCCCTTCCCCTGGTTCCTCACCCACCACAGCAAGTATGCGGGGAGGGAAGCGAGTGAGGAGGCACACACGCGGATTGGCAACATGGCTCTGTGGGCTTCCATCAATCAACACACTCGTCAGTCCATTTTACCCTCCCTCCTCCCGCCATTCCCACAACCCCTCTCCTTTTCTCTGTGGGTTGATTGACATGTATTTCCCACCCGTCTTCTGGAGCCCCTCTCCTACCCGCGCTTGCAACAAGCTCTTCACATCCCGCCGTGCTGTGCCCACCTGTTCAACGCCAGGAATCGCCCGTAACCTTCAGCCCTACTCCACGCTTCGCCAGATCTACACCCACCCATTGGTGAGTGCTGAACTTGGGGACTGTGAACCATGCAACCGGCAACTCTGGCATTTCTTTCCCTCTGTTTCCTGCCCCTGACTTTTCCTCCACGGGCTTAGTTGTGTTCCTAATGACTGCAGGTGCTGTACCGCTTCTGCTCTGCATATGCGTTGTCTGCCTTTTACCTCTTGCACTTGAATCCTCCCCTTTCACCTCTCACCCACGTGCCTCGCACCAGGTGCCGTACCGCTTCCGCTGTGCAGCGCGGGTCGTCTTTGCCTCTGCTCTCCATCCCAAGTACTTCACTGCCCTCTCTGCCAAGGAGGGGACGGTGGAGGGTGGGGGGGAGGGCAAACGGATAGGAGAGGAGGCCGTAGAGGGGGCGTGTGGGAAGCTACGCAGGGGAGAGGGTGATGCTGACGTGGCAAGACTGGAGAGGGCTGTGGTGCCGCTTGAAGACACTGAGGCTGATGTGGCAAGGAACGGAGTAGAAATGGAGGCAGAAGAGGGAGAAGCCAGTGGTGTGGGGAGGGCAGCGCCAGGGAAGGGAGATTCCGCACGAGAAGACGGTTCAGGGCGAAAGAGGAAGTGGGCGGCGGGGCTTGTCCTGGTGCTGGAGGATGCCACGGGTCGGCTGCTTGTGCGCCTCGCGCCACCCAATGCTGTACGATGTCTCTGCCCCTCTGTTCCTCTGCTCTTTCCACCCCTGTTTCAACAATGCCCGTTGGGTCTCGTTGCCACAAATTCCGTTATCCATGCCATAGTCTGTCTTTCCTTTTCTCTCCTTCCTCTCTCGTCTTCTGATCCCTCTCTTCCTTCCCATTCTCCCTGCTTCACCAGGAGGTCTTCTTTTCAGCGACAGCAGAGGAGTTGCGCATGGATGCAGCGGTGTGTGCGCAAGCAGCAGGAGGCATGGCCGCGTTGTTAGGTGTCTCGAGAGACCATGCGCAGTATGCGGGAGGGGAACGCGAGCAGCAAGGAAATGCAGGGTCAGAGGCGAATGCAGCTATGGATGAAAACGGGGCACCTGGAATGGAAACATGGCCACGTGTCCCACCGTCCATCGACTGCTGCGTCTTCTCATACTATCGTGTGAGGAAAGACGGGTGCTCGAGAGAAAAGATGTTCCAGATCTTCCAGACGAGATTGTTGACCCAACATGACGGTGCATGATGCTCCACTTCAGATTTTCACTTCACTCCTCATGGAGTCCAGACTCGTTGCTAGGCACTACAGGGAGCTCGTTGCACATATCTTTCGCGAGGTATATAATGGATGCGTATGTGTAACACGTTACATCGTTCTGACATCAAATTACGTTCGTTGAAGCGAGTGACGCCGTTGACCCGGTTTCGTCATCGCCGATCGTGATTTCATCCATCTCGTCGCACGCTGGTGACTTATCGCCCAACCACCTGCCCACACGAACCACTTCACTGCATTCCGAGCCCGCGCCCAACCTGGCCCCCGTTTCTTCAAATGCGCCCCTACTTGCCTGTCAGCTGCGAGCCTCCTGTCAAATGTTCCCCTACCTGTCAGCTGCGAGCCTTCTCGCATTGCGGAATCCCCATGTCATCCAGATGAGCTCAACTTGCGCTATTTCTCTAAACCCGACCACTGTACTGACAGCAATAGAGCTGTCCATAAAATACTATTTCTCCCTTCCCCGCGTTTAGCGCCGTCTCTAAAACTCCGCGCGATGGCTTTCGTCCCTTTGCTTCAACGCCTGCAAGCCACGGTCACGCCCGCGAGCCCCGCTCTGCCGTTCCCCGTCGAGCGCCTCCCCGACGACGTGCTCGCGCTCGTCCTCCGCGCGCTCGCGCAAGATTCCTTCCGCTGCGCGGCGCTCGTGTCGAAGCGCTGGCTCCGCCTCGCCGCCGCCGCGCTCTCGCATCTGACCGTTCAGCACCGCGGATTTAAATCGAATCATATTATAGAGATACACAATCCCGAGCACAATCGAAACAAGCAACTCGCGTGGCTTCCGCTCCCCCAACTCCTTTCCGCGCTGGGGCGCTTCCCCACCCTCACGCACGTGTCGCTGGGCGCATTCTCGATCTTATCCGCCGACGGCGACGCGATCTTCCAATGCCTGGCTGCCACGTGTCCAGGCCTGACGCATCTAACGGTGGAGCATCAGTTTCGCATGACGGTTACAGTTACCGGCCTCTCGTCTCTCTTCCGCGGGTGCCGCAAGCTCAGGGAGTTCCGGCTTCTCACCACCTACGCCCTCCCGCATCTCCCCGCCTCCCTCTCCCTCCTCACGGACCTCCACACCCTCCACGTGTGCTCGGATCCTCACTATGGAGAAGATTCGTTACAGAAGCTCGTTTCGGCTCCCGAGAGCATCATCGGCGCGCTTCAGCAGCTGCGGGAACTGCGGATCTGCGCGGGGGCGAATTTCCAGGGACTCTCGGAGTGCGTCGGCAGCCTGAGTAACCTCCGAAGCTTAAGCGTCAGTAATTGCTTCTCGGAAGCTGTTAAGAAGCTTCCCGACGCGATCGGCGAATTGGGGCTTCTAGAAACCCTAGAAATCGAATTGGATGGGTTGGAGTGCATTCCGGAATCCTTTCAACTGCTGACCGGGCTGAAAACCTTTTCCCTTCGATCGGAGAGTTTACAACATCTGCCCGAAAATGTCGTGGCGTCGATGACTCAGCTGCAGACTCTCTCCCTCACTTTCTGCAATTCCCTTACAGCCCTCCCTGATGCCATCTGCTTCCTCCCCCTCTCCTCCCTCTCCATCTCCTCCTGTACCTCCCTGGACTCACTACCACAAGATATCGGGGCCTTGTCTCATCTGCGAACCCTAATTCTCTTCCACCTCCCTAATATCTGGTCGCTGCCCGAAAGCCTGGGTAATTTACCCCGGCTGAAAACGCTGAAGCTGGAGCTGCCGGAGCTGCAGCATCTGCCCAAAGGATTTTGTGAAGGAAGCCTGCGCCATTGCCTGGAAGAGCTGAAGCTGTATCGCTGTGAACAGCTTAGGGAGCTTCCTCCTTTCCTGTACACGCTGACTCGATTAGAGAAACTCTGTATCGCGTCATGCTCCCTTATAGAGTCTTTGGAGCCGCTGACCCCTGCGAGCCCTCCTGATAGTTCCGGACCAGAGCCAGAATCTTACGGTTTCATGGAAAGGGTAGTCATTGCAGCACTGTTCACAGCTGCAGTCTTTACCTCGATGATTCTGCTTTCTGTGTCGCTGCTCGCGATGGAACGGCTCATAGTGCCTCCCTCCAGTGGCCTAGACTTCATCCCTCCTGTCCTGCTAGTGCCAGCCGCAATGCTCACCTTTAGGAAATCCAGTAATGCGGCGGTGACGGTCGTGTCTCTCCTTGTTGCTGTAGTGGTTCTGCTGATTGCTGTGCTGCCCAGGGCTTGGCTCCTCCCTGCCATGCTGCTCACTGCTGCTCTGCTCGTGGCTGCATTCCTTAGTAGCGGTAAAGTCAACACTGCTGCTGACACCGACACTGCTGCTGCCACCGTCTCTGCCCATCCCCCTGCCTTTGTCTCTATCCCGGTCTCTGACTCTGCTACAAACAGCACAGACTCCCATCCTGGCCTAGTCTCCCTGACTGAACTAAAAGTTTCCAACTGCCCGCTCATCTCCTCTCTCCCCAAAAACTTTTCCTTCCCTGCCCTCCACATGCTGACCCTGCGTTCCCTGGGAGACCTGAGCAATGACCTGGACTCGCCACGCTGGCGGCTGCCGAACATGCAGTACATGGAGTTGGACAATGTGCGTGGCACTGGGGACGCGGGCTCGTGGCTCATACGCTGTCTTGCCAGTTATCGCGCGGGGAGGCAGCAGCTGCTGCTGCATGAGGAGATTCTCTTCGTGCTCGTGCAAGGCTTTGATCTGCTGCTCCAAGCGGCGTGGTGCTTGGTGGTGGGCCCGTTTTATGCGCCGCTGCGAGGGGCGTGCACCTGGGTGACTTGCACTGTGTGTCGATTGTACAGGCTGAGCCGCTTACTGTGTAGGAGTAGTTGTAGGAAGCTGCAGTGAGTGACTGGTATGTCATGCCATATTCAAGGGTTGTTATTTGCACTCCCCAGCGTTGAGGAAATACCGTATTCCCCCATATATATCTGTTAAAATTATATATTGTGTTATATAATTGTTAGGCTTGGTAGGTTACTGAACTTTACAGTAGAGGGTACAACACCTCTCCTTGTATCCCTCTCTCTTCTATTCCCAACCCCTTTTCTCTCCTCAACTTTTCTCCTTCCTAAACCTCACGCCACTCCATGGCTCCTCCTAGCTAAACCTTGTGCCATTCTATGGCTTCCTAGCTAAGCTAGTCTTGTGACATGGTATCAGAGCAGTTCGTTCCTTGTGGGCTGCTCCTCACGTTTCCGCTGCGTGCTTGTTTCTCTCCCTCTCTCGCACGTCCATGGCGCCCGCGTCCAGCTGCTGTGGCCGCGTCGTCGTGCCGCGGCTTCGTCGTCGCGTCAAGCTTCTGTGGCGACGTGACGGCGCCGTCGTGCTGCCGTCGCAGCGTCGACGTCCTGCCGCCAGCGAGGGCTGGCGGTCTCGATCGGCATGCTGCAGAAATGGAGTCGGAAGTACATGCGTAAGCACTACCCCGGCATCGACTGGCGCGCCTCGTCACGGTGGAACTTCCGGTTCCGCGCGCGCTGGGGACTGACGAAGCTCGTGAAGACGAAGATGGGCCAGCGCGCATGACTGTAGGTACGTAATTTGACGTGCCGCGAATACTCCCTGCCCTCGTCATCTGCACTAGCTCTCATCATGCCTCCTTGTTTGCTGACCGTACTTCTGCTTTGTCTGTTTTTGTTTTTTACTATTTTTATTGGCAGAATGTGACGCGAAGGTTGAGAAGTCCGGGGAGTTCGTTCGGCAGCTCCGCACGCTCAACGACTACCCCGACGATCTGATCATCAACGCGGATCAGACGCCACTATCCTTGGAGATGCTGCAGGAGACCACACTCAAAGTCTGGGGCTCGAGATTTGTCCATGTGCGCACGGCCGGCTACGAGTAGGAGAGGCTGATCGTCATGCTGGCCGTCACAGCAAGTGGCAAGAAACTAAAACCGTACGTCATCTTCAAGCGGAAGACACTACCTCGGATCCGCGTCCCGCCCGGTGAGGATTTCGTGCCTCTTTTTTGTGCCGCCACCGGTATATTTTTCGTAGCCGTCTTTCCAGGGCGAACTCTAATGTTTCCTACCTTGCGCTTGCGCAGGAATTATGATCAAGGCCCATAAGAAAGGGTGGATGGACGAGACCCATATCAAGGACTGGGTCACCACCGTCCTGGTGCCGTTTCTCCGCTCGATACCCTCGCGGCGAGGTGGCCGTCAGAAGGCTCTGGTGGTCCTCCATTCGTACAAGGGACACCTGATGGAGGGAGTGTCCCAGTTGATGTGACTCTTCAAGCTGTCCAGGGCTGTCATCCCCGGCGGCTGCACGCCCATCGTGCAGCGTCTAGACGTGGCGGTAAACCGGTATGTCAAGGGGCATGTCCGGAGGTCCTACAGCGAGTGGTTCGAAGAATTCGGCTGCGATTCCACAACCCCTGCTAGTGAGTAACGCCTTTATTGTTTGTCTTTATAACCTCTAACTGCATCGTGATTTTTAAAACCATGCCTTGCATCTCTCCACCACTACTCCTAAAGCCCCCGCTTACTATCTCGTCGTTGTGTTTTCCCCTGTAGGGAATCATCGGAATATGTGGAGCCAAGCGCCACGCCCAGCACGGAGGAAGACGATCCCGATGTCGAGGCTGAGATTGAAGCTACAGATACTGCCTCATCATATGGTGCATCGGGAGCTACAACAGCTGTGCCACCATCAGAGGCGTCTGGGAATCCAGGAGCCTGCACAGCACCAGCAACAGCCTCTACAGAAGCAGCGACAGAGGCGGAGATATCAGCTACCGAAGGTGACGAAGGTCTAGAGATGCCTGCGGCGGAGGTTCTGGCGGGCCTGGCTGCATCACGCTGGACTGATGACTTTGACTGGGACGACATCACTAGTGACGACGAAGATGCTGAGGTGTGGCATGCAGGAGAGGACCACGATGAGGACGATGACAGAGACTAGCTATTGACTTACCTGCTAGGACATGTAGCTAGCTGTTGGATTATCAGTGTGTGCTGAGTGAATGGTAGTGGTAGCTTAGGTAGTCGAAAAAGGACTAGAAATGCCTCGCACAACGGACTAGTGTTGTAAAACTGTTGTCTAATGATTAAACCTTGACGCTAGACCAGTAAAATCCACAAATCCTCAATGGAGGGTGTTATATATAATTCGCGCCCCAAAAAGTGGGTGCTCTTAATAATGCACCATATGCTAAACTATCTCCCGCATATGCCACCCATGGGGTGACTATTTCGGTGGGTCTTATATACGGGGGAATATAGTACCTAAAATTGAAGCTACTTCTGTGTAAAACTGTATAGCGGGCAGTCTTGAGCGTTGGGCGATCTTGAGAGTTGGGCGATCTTGAGAGTTGGGCGATATTGAGCGCTGGGCGATCTTGAGCGTTGAATGATCTTGAGAGCTGGGCGATCTTTTGAGTTGGACGATCTTGAGAGATGGGCGATCTTGAGAGTAGGGCGATCTTGAGGGTTGGGCGATCTTGAGGGTTGGGTGATCTTGAGCGTTGGGAGATCATGAGAGTTAGGCGATCTTGAGAGATGGGCGATCTTGAGCGTTGGGCGATTTTGAGCGTTGAGCGATCTTGAGCGTTGGGCGATCTTGAGCATTGGGCAAAAGTGTTGGACGATCTTGAGCGTTGGGCGATCTTGAGAGTTGGGCGATCTTGAGAGCTGGGCGATCTTGAGCGTTGGGCGATTCTGAGGGCTGGGCGATCTTGAGGGTTGGGCGATCTTGAGCGTTGGGCGACCTTGAGAACTTGGTGATCTTGAGAGCTGGGCGATCTTGAGAGTTGGGCGATCTTGAGAGATGGGCGATCTTGAGAGTAGGGCGATGTTGAGGGTTGGGCGATCTTGAGCGTTGGGAGATCATGAGAGTTAGGCGATCTTGAGAGTTGGGCGACCTTGAGCGTTGAAAAATATTGAGAGTTGGGCGATCTTGAGCGTTGGGTGATTTTGAGTGTTGGGGGATCTTGAGAGTTGGGCGATCTTGAGCGTTGGGCGACCTTGAGAACTTGGTGATCTTGAGAGCTGGGCGTTCTTGAGAGCTGGGCGAACTTGAGCGTTGGGCGATCTTGAGAGTTGGGCGATCTTGAGAGTTGGGCGATCTTGAGAGTTGGTCGATCTTGAGCGTTGGGCGATTCTGAGGGCTGGGCGATCTTGAGGGTTGGGCGATGTTGATCGTTGGGCAATCTTAAGAGATGGGCGATCTTGAGCGTTGGGCAATCTTGAGCGGTGGGCGATCTTGGGAGTTGGGCGATCTTTTGAGTTGGGCGATGTTGAGAGATGGGCGATCTTGAGAGTAGGGCGATCTTGAGGGTTGGGCGATCTTGAGGGTTGGGTGATCTTGAGCGTTGGGAGATCATGAGAGTTGGGCGATCTTGAGAGTTGGGCGATCTTGAGCGTTGGGTGATCTAGAGAGTTGGGCGATCTTGAGAGTTGGGTGGTCTTCAGAGTTGGGCGATCTTGAAAGTTGGGCGATCTTGAGAGTTGGGCGATCTTGAGCGTTGGGCGATCTTGAGCGTTGGTCGATTTTGAGCGTTGGGCGATCTTGAGCATAGGGCAAAAGAGTTGGGCGATCTTGAACGTTGGGCGATCTTGAGAGTTGGGCGATCTTGAGAGTTGGGCGATCTTGAGCGTTGGGCGATTCTGAGAGTTGGGCGATCTTGAGGGTCGGGAAATCTTGAGCGTTGGGCAACCTTAAGAGTTGGGCGATCTTGAGAGTTGGGCGATCTTGAGAGTTGGTCGATCTTGAGCGTTGGGCGATTCTGAGGGCTGGGCGATCTTGAGGGTTGGGCGATGTTGATCGTTGGGCAATCTTAAGAGATGGGCGATCTTGAGCGTTGGGCAATCTTGAGCGGTGGGCGATCTTGGGAGTTGGGCGATCTTTTGAGTTGGGCGATGTTGAGAGATGGGCGATCTTGAGAGTAGGGCGATCTTGAGGGTTGGGCGATCTTGAGGGTTGGGTGATCTTGAGCGTTGGGAGATCATGAGAGTTGGGCGATCTTGAGAGTTGGGCGATCTTGAGCGTTGGGTGATCTAGAGAGTTGGGCGATCTTGAGAGTTGGGTGGTCTTTAGAGTTGGGCGATCTTGAAAGTTGGGTGATCTTGAGAGTTGGGCGATCTTGAGCGTTGGGCGATCTTGAGCGTTGGTCGATTTTGAGCGTTGGGCGATCTTGAGCATAGGGCAAAAGAGTTGGGCGATCTTGAGGGTCGGGAAATCTTGAGCGTTGGGCAACCTTAAGAGTTGGGCGATCTTGAGAGTTGGGCGATCTTGAGAGTTGGTCGATCTTGAGCGTTGGGCGATTCTGAGGGCTGGGCGATCTTGAGGGTTGGGCGATGTTGATCGTTGGGCAATCTTAAGAGATGGGCGATCTTGAGCGTTGGGCAATCTTGAGCGGTGGGCGATCTTGGGAGTTGGGCGATCTTTTGAGTTGGGCGATGTTGAGAGATGGGCGATCTTGAGAGTAGGGCGATCTTGAGGGTTGGGCGATCTTGAGGGTTGGGTGATCTTGAGCGTTGGGAGATCATGAGAGTTGGGCGATCTTGAGAGTTGGGCGATCTTGAGCGTTGGGTGATCTAGAGAGTTGGGCGATCTTGAGAGTTGGGTGGTCTTTAGAGTTGGGCGATCTTGAAAGTTGGGTGATCTTGAGAGTTGGGCGATCTTGAGCGTTGGGCGATCTTGAGCGTTGGTCGATTTTGAGCGTTGGGCGATCTTGAGCATAGGGCAAAAGAGTTGGGCGATCTTGAGGGTCGGGAAATCTTGAGCGTTGGGCAACCTTAAGAGTTGGGCGATCTTGAGAGTTGGGCGATCTTGAGAGTTGGTCGATCTTGAGCGTTGGGCGATTCTGAGGGCTGGGCGATCTTGAGGGTTGGGTGATCTTGAGCGTTGGGAGATCATGAGAGTTGGGCGATCTTGAGAGTTGGGCGATCTTTAGCGTTGGGTGATCTAGAGAGTTGGGCGATCTTGAGAGTTGGGTGGTCTTCAGAGTTGGGCGATCTTGAAAGTTGGGCGATCTTGAGAGTTGGGCGATCTTGAGCGTTGGGCGATCTTGAGCGTTGGTCGATTTTGAGCGTTGGGCGATCTTGAGCATAGGGCAAAAGAGTTGGGCGATCTTGAACGTTGGGCGATCTTGAGAGTTGGGCGATCTTGAGAGTTGGGCGATCTTGAGCGTTGGGCGATTCTGAGAGTTGGGCGATCTTGAGGGTCGGGAAATCTTGAGCGTTGGGCAACCTTAAGAGTTGGGCGATCTTGAGAGTTGGGCGATCTTGAGAGTTGGTCGATCTTGAGCGTTGGGCGATTCTGAGGGCTGGGCGATCTTGAGGGTTGGGCGATGTTGATCGTTGGGCAATCTTAAGAGATGGGCGATCTTGAGCGTTGGGCAATCTTGAGCGGTGGGCGATCTTGGGAGTTGGGCGATCTTTTGAGTTGGGCGATGTTGAGAGATGGGCGATCTTGAGAGTAGGGCGATCTTGAGGGTTGGGCGATCTTGAGGGTTGGGTGATCTTGAGCGTTGGGAGATCATGAGAGTTGGGCGATCTTGAGAGTTGGGCGATCTTGAGCGTTGGGTGATCTAGAGAGTTGGGCGATCTTGAGAGTTGGGTGGTCTTTAGAGTTGGGCGATCTTGAAAGTTGGGCGATCTTGAGAGTTGGGCGATCTTGAGCGTTGGGCGATCTTGAGCGTTGGTCGATTTTGAGCGTTGGGCGATCTTGAGCATAGGGCAAAAGAGTTGGGCGATCTTGAACGTTGGGCGATCTTGAGAGTTGGGCGATCATGAGAGTTGGGCGATCTTGAGCGTTGAATGATCTTGAGAGCTGGCCGATCTTGAGAGTTGGGCGATCTCCAGCGTTGAATGATTTTGAGAGCTGGGCGATCTTGAGCGTTGGTCTATTTTGAGCGTTGGGCGATCTTGAGAGTTGGGCGTTGTTGAGTGTTGGGCGATCTTGAGAGTTGGGCGTTCTTGAGTGTTGGGCGATCTTGAGAGTTGGGCGATATTGAGCGTTGGGCAATCTTGAGAGTTTGGCGATCTTGAGAGCTGGGCGATCTTGAGCGTTGAATGATCTTGAGAGCTGGGCGATCTTGAGAGTAGGACGATCTTGAGCGTTGGGCGATCTTGAGAGTTGGGCGAACTTGAGCGTTGGACGATCTTGAGAGTTTGGCGATCTTGAGAGTTGGGCGGTCTTGAGCTTTGGGCGATCTTGAGCGTTGGGTGATCTTGAGAGTTGGGCGATCTTGAGAGCTGGGCGACCTTGAGCGTTGAATGATCTTGAGAGCTGGGCGATCTTGAGAGTAGGACGATCTTGAGTGTTGGACGATCTTGAGCGTTGGGCGATCTCGAGAGTTGGGCGAACTTGAGCGTTGGACGATCTTGAGAGTTGGGCGATCTTGAGCGTTGGGTGATCCTGAGAGTTGGGCGATCTTGAGCGTTGGGCAGTCTTGCGGGTTGGGCGATCTCGAGCATTGGGTAAAAGAGTTGGGTGATCTTGAACGTTGGGCGATCCTGAGGGTTGGGCGATCCTGAGGTTGGGCGATCTTGAGAGTTGGGCGATCTTGAGTGTGGGGCGATCTTGAGCATTGGGCGATCTTTAGAGTTGGGCGATCTTGAGCGTTGGGCGATCTTGAGCGTTGAAGGATCTTGAGAGCTGGGCGATCTTGAGAGTTGGGCGATCTCGAGGGTTGAACGATCTCGAGGGTTGGGCGATTTTGAGCGTTAGGCGATCTTGAGAGTTGGGCGATCTTGAGAGTTTGGTAATGTTGAGTGTTGGGCAATCTTGAGAGGTAGGCGATCTTGAGCGTTGGGGGATTTTGAGCGTGGGGCGATTTTGAGAGTTGGGCGATCTTAAGCTTTGGGCGATCTTGAGTGCTGGGAGATCTTGAGCTTTGGGCGATCTTGAAAGTTGGGCAATCTTGAGAGTTGGGCGATCTTGAGCGTCAGGCGATTTTGAAAGTTGGGCGATTTTGAGTGTTGGGCGATCTTGAGCTTGGGTGATCTTGAAAGTTGGGCGATTTTGAGAGTTGGGCAATCTTGAGGGTCGGGCGATCTTGAGGGTTGGGCGATCTTGAGCGTTGGGCGATCTTGAGCATTGGGCGATCTTGAGAGTTGAGCAATCTTGAGAGTTGGTCGATCTTGAGCGTTGGGCGATCTTGAGAGTTGGGCGATCTTATCCGTTGGGCGATCTTGAGAGATGGGCGATCTTGATCGTTGGGTGAACTTTGGAGCGGGGCGATCTTTAGAGTTGGACGATCTTTAGCGTTGGGCGATCTTGAGCGTTGGGCGATCTTGAGCGTTGGGAGATCTTGAGAGTTGGGCGATCTTGAGAGTTGGGCGATCTTGAAAGTTGGGCGATCTTGAGAGTTGGGCGATCTTGAGAGTTGGGCGATCTTGAGAGTTGGGCGATCTTAAGCGTTTTGCGATCTCAAGCGCCGGCGATCTTAAGCGTTGGGTGATCTTGAGAGTTGGAAGATCTTGAGCATTAGGCGATCTTGAGCGTTGGACGATCTTGAGCGTTGGGCGATCTTGAGCTTTGGGCAATCTTGAGCTTTGGGCGGTCTTGAGGGTCGGGCAATCCAAAAACTTAGGGCGATCTTCAGAGTTGGGCGATCTTGAGAGTTGGACGATCTTGAGCGTTGGGCGAGCTTGAGAATTGGGTGATCTTGAGAGTTGGGCAATGCGTTGGGCGATGTTGAGAATTGGGCGATCTTGAGCGTTGGGCGATCTTGAGCGTTGGCCGATTTTGAGCGTTGGGCGATTTTGAGAGTTTGGCGATCTTGAGCGCTGGGCGATCTTGAGCGTCGGGTGATCTTGAGCATTGGGCGATCTTGAGCATTGTGCGATCATGAGTGCTGGGAGATCTTGAGCTTTGGGCGATCCTGAAAGTTGGGCAATCTTGAGGGTTGGGCGATCTTGAGCGTTGGGCGATTTTGAGCATTAGGTGATTTTGAGTGTTGCGCGATCTTGAGCGTTGGGCGATCTTGAGCTTGGGCGATCATGAAAGTTGGGCGATCTTGAGCGTTGGGGGATCTTGAGAGTTGGGTGATCTTAAGCGTTTGGCGATCTTGAGAGACGGGCGATCTTGATCGTTGGGTGATCTTTGGAGCAGGGCGATCTTGAGAGTTGGACGATCTTGAGCGTTGGAAAATCTTGAGCGTTGGGCAATCTTGAGAGTTGAGCGATCTTGAGCGTTGGGCGATCTTGAGAGTTGGGCGATATTGTGCGTTGGGCGATCTTGAGCGTAGGGCGATTATGAGCGTTAGGTGATCTTGAACGTTGGGTGATCTTGAACTTTGGGCGATCTTGAGAGCTGGGCGATCTTGACTGCTAAGAGATCTTAAGCTATGGGCGATCTTGAAAGATAGGCGATATTGAGTGATGGGAGATCTTGAGCCCTGGGCGATCTTGAAAGTTGGGCGATGTTGAGCGTTGGGCGATCTTCAGAGTTTGGCGATCTTAAACGTGGCGATCTTGAGGGATGGTCGATCTTTAGAGTTGGGCGATCTTGAGCGTTCGGCGATTTTGAGCGTTGGGCGATCTTGAGAGTTGGGCAATCTTGAGCGTTGGGCGATCTTGAGTGTTGGGCGATCTTGAGAGTTGGGCGATCTTGAGAGTTGGGCGATCTTGAGAGTTGGGCAATCTGGAGAGTTGGGTGATCTTGAGAGTTGGGGGATCTTAAACGTTTGGCGATCTTAAGCGTTGGGTGATCTTAAGCGTTGGGCGATCTTGAGAGTTGGAAGATCCTGAGCGTTGGGCGATCTTGAGCGTTGGGCGATCTTGAGCGTTGGGCGATCGTGCGCGTTGGGCAATCTTGAGCTTTTGGCGATCTTGAGAGTTGGGCGGTCTTTAGGGTTGGGCAATCTAAAAAGTTGGGTGATCTTGGTGTTGAGAGTTGGGGGATCATGAGTGTTGGGGGATCTTGCGGAATGGGCGGTCTTGAGCGTTGGGCGATTTTGACCGTTGGGTGATCTTTAGCGTTGTGCGATCTTTAGCGTTGGGCGATCTTTAGCGTTGGGCGATCTTCAGTGTTGGACGATCTCGAGGGATGGGCGATCTTAAAGCGAGGGGCTAAAATAGTGAAGGCGGGTCCAACTTGAAACCAAGGGACCCTCGATCTTTTCTAAGGGGTTCTTAGCCTTACTCGGCAGAACCAGGGCAGTTCCATAACGCAGTCGCGCTGTTCAGAGGGAAGAAGCGCGAGCACATGATTGGTTGGGAAATTTGTAGGACAGGGTTTGCGAGCTGTCACAGGTCGCAGGTACTTGTGCGACCCCATTGCCTCGTCATTCTCCAAATGGACCCAACTTGATTTCCAACTTGGACCCGGGTTCACTACTCATGCAAGAACACAACTGGTTTTCTGATTGGTCGAAATTTTCCCCAACGTAGGGCTACCAAATCAAGGCGTGTTTACTTCGACCTCCCGCCAACCACACTTTTTCCCATTGCGTGTCCACCATTTTGAGTTTGATTGAACCGCAACCAATCGAGGTCGAAAGAATACGGTTACAAACGAGCCCCAACGAGGCGAACTAGCTAGTATTATGGGTATAAACAGAACCATGTCCACATATCCGAATTTGTCGCGCGGGCAGGTGCTTTTGCTGCTGAGTGACTGCCCGCCCCGAAACGACGTTTTCTTCTGCCTGCTAGCTTGTCCCCCCTATATCTGTTCGAGGGTCCCAATCAAGTTGGGCCCAACTAGAAAGATGGGTCACTATTATAACCGCTCGCTTTAAGCGTTGTGCGATCTTGAGGGTTGGGCGATCTTGAGGGTTTTGTGATCTTGAGCGTCGGGCGATCTTGAGAGTTGGACGACATTGAGCTTTTGGCGTGAATGTTCCACCTCTGTCATATTCCTTCCTAGAAGGTGCATTTGTGTTATCACGCATATTTGAACTGTCATGTGTATCACATCCCGCGGCTTCCCATCCTCGACATTAAACTTCCCCTTCCCCGGACTGCCAGTTGCTTTCGCCAGATCGTTCCGCTCGCCTGTTCCGCTCGCCCGTTCCAGTCGCGCCCGCGGAATTTGGCCTCAGGATTGCCTGTCTGATGACCCTCGGGATCTCGCTGGGCCAGGCTCACCTTGTTCTTATTTTCCCTCTCCTGGTACAGTGGGAGATCAGGATCCAGGTCCTTAGCACCTTACCTCTGACATAATCCCTCATAAGACCCCTTCTTAAAGCGGTAGTGATAGCGGAGATGGGGCCGCGCGTGCTGTGCGTGCTCGCGGTGATCGCGGTCTGCCTGGCGGGATGCGCGGCGTTTTCGGAGGAGCGGCCGACGGACCAGCGCATCCTGGTGCTGCTGGACGATCTTAAGAATAAGGACGCCTACTCTATCTTCTTTAAGAACCTCGCAGGTAATTAAGAGCGTCGTAGGTATTCACGAGCCGCGGTAGTTGCTTGAGATCTTGCAAGATGATTCGAGTCCCGCTGTAACGGAGAAATTCAGTCCGAAGGCGATCATTTTCAAGGCTCCGTTTCTTCATTTCAACCCGTTACCTACATAGACGGTCTGACGGCCGACGCATTCAGTTTCCGAGCACGGATTGCACTTAGATCTTGGGGTCTACGCTCAAACTGTTCAAAGATCTTGCGCCCGGATCTTCGGTCTTTCGCGGATTGCGCTTAAATCTGTTGACCGATAGTATGGATCTTGGATGTGTGTAGACCGAGGAGTGCATTTTGTCCTGTCATAGCAGTCACGTGCGAGCACACGGCGTCATGCCTCTAGTCGCATGCGACAGTGAGATTAGCTCAGGGAATCGGCGACACAGACATTAGTGCGGAAATAGGCGACGTTGATACGGTACGGGAGATATGGGACGTTGTCATAGCCGAGAGAATCAACGTCACTTGTTTATCTCAGGAAATCGGTAATGTCAGTAAGGGAGTCGGTGACACACCGACATTAGCGCAGGGAATCGGCGACACTGACATAGCTCATGGAATCGGGCACTATCTGTCATGGAATGACATTAGCTGTCGAATTCGGCGACACGGACATCAGCCCGTCGTCTCTTAGATCCACCCGCGCATTGCGCGTCACTTCCCGTCTGCCACTCCGCTATCCAGTCTCGCGGCACCTCCCGTCCCTACCGCTGAATAACGTCCGCATGTCGTGTCCTGTCGGCTAGCAGCCTGACCCTGACGGCACCGGCACGTTCCTCACGGCCAGCCTCGTCGTCAGCATCGTCCGTCCCTCCCTTTCGCCCCATTCTTTCCCTCGCTGTGATGTCCCCTCTCCTCTCACTCCCGTGCGTCCGTCGCGCTCTTGCGTTCCCCGCAGATCGCGGGTACGACCTGGACCTGCGCGCGGCGAGGGATTCGAGCCTCGTGCTGCAGAAGTACGGCGAGTACCTCTACGACGCCGCCATCATCCTCGCGCCCAAAGTCTCATGTACGTGTGTATGTTATATGTGCATATTTAGATATATATAGATGTGTATATATTTTTGCGACTTAGGCGACTATAGCGAATACCTCTACGACGCTGCCATCATCCTCGCGCCCGAAGTCTCGTGTACGTGATATATATTCGCGCTGTAAGGTGACTCGATAGTACCTCCACGATGCCGCCATCATTCTCGCTCCTAGAGTATCGGGTACTCGTCCTCGTCATTTCCACTGTCTCCATCCTCGTGTTCTCCATGCCCTAGCGTTCGGCGCCGTGGTTGACGTGGCGGCGATCCGCGACTTCGTCGACTCTGCCCCCGTGGCACGGCCCCATCCTCGCTGGTTTCTCCTTCATTCCCTCTCTCCTTTCCCCCCGTTCCCCGTGCTCCCTGTTTCCCGTACTCAACATGCCCCATCGTTTGGCGGCGTGGTGGACGTGGCGGCGATCCTCGACTTGGTGGACTCGGGCCACGATCTCATCCTCGTCCATTCCACTACCCCTTCCCCCTTCCGTCCGCCCCTCTCTTCCTGTTCTCCCTCCCCACGCACGCACCGCTTGCTTCCAGCGTTCGGCGGCGTGGTGGACGTGGCAGCTATTCTCGACTTTGTCGACTCGGGCCACGACCTTATCCTCGCGGCGGACAGTGGCGCATCCGACACCATCCGCGATATTGCACTGGAGTGCGGCGTGGATCTCGATGAGGTATGTGCTGACGCGCATCGTGAGTCCGAACCTATCCGCGACATCGCACTCGAGTGCGGCGTGGATCTCGATGAGGTACGTTCTGGGGTCGGTGTGTGTGTGTCTATTCGCATCATAATTGCGACTCATCCGCGATATTGCGCGTCAGTGCGGCGTGCATGTTGATGAGGTGAGTCTCGAGTTATGGGGTCGGTGTGTGAATGACTGGTCTCTGGTACGATATCCCCAACGGGTTTGCCATTGACCAGGGTTTCTTTGCGCACCCACCGCCCTCTACCCTCGACGCTGTGCACCCCAAATCCATTCAATCTGATGCACGAATCTGGGTGCGGAACCCCAAGGGCGTGGTGTCATCGCCATCATTCGGCTCAACCACCACCCTCTACCCTGTGCACCCCCCTCCCTACAATCCCTGCACGAATCTGTGTGCAGATCCCCAAAGGCGGTGGTGGACCACCAGCAGTTGGCCTTCCATCACCCGACTATCCCATGCACCCCATGCTCCCCGCCACTTTGTTCTCTCACGCGCGTGCAGAACCCCAAGGGCGTGGTGGTGGACCACCAGCAGTTCGCGCGGGTGAGCGGGCGCAGGGACGACCACACGCTCGTCGTGGGCAGCAATCTCCTCAACTCCTCCGTCATCCTCGGTCCCGCGCCCATCAAGGTATGCTGGTCCGAATTTTGTCAACTTAGCTTGTTCGCCTCGCAGGGTTTCGTGATCTCTGATGGTTGTGCCTCTCTTGCAAACAAAGTGAATCATGCCCTCCCCTTTGTCTCCGCCCCTTCCCTTGTCTCCTTCCTCCACCGCCACCCCTCTGCATCTGTGCTCCTCTTTCTCCCTCCGCATGCCCACCCTCCGCATCCCCACCCTCGGCATGCCCATCCGCTGCTCTGCAGGGACCCGTGCTTTTCCAAGGGGTTGCCATGACTGTCTCGCCCACGTCCGAGCTGGTATGCCATCTCTTCACACAAACTCTCCCTCACTTCCCGCCCTTCGCTCAACACAACCCCCGCGCTCTCTCTCTCTCTCTTACGCCCTCCCCTCAACTCAACACCTTGCAAAATCTCCCTCCCCCTCTCTCGAGTTTCTTGCAAAGCCACGGTTTCTCGCGCCCTCGTTTTCCGCCTCCCGTGCCGAGCCACTCTTGCATGCTGTTCTCCTGTGCCGCTCCTAGATCACTTTCCTGCGAACCACAGCACGCACTCTCTCCGCCCACGTCCCTCCTCTCGCCCTCCCCCCTCCTTCCTCCCACCCCCCACACGCGACGCCATTAGGTGGTGTCCGTGCTGTCTGGCTCCCCCTCAGCCTACGCGGCGGACTTAGCTGCTTCCCTCTCAAGGAGTCAGGGGGGTCTTTTCCAGTCACTTGTTGAAACGAATTACGTTTCCTTCCCTCCGGCCCCACACACAACGCCATCAGGTGGTGCCCGTGCTGTCTGGCTCCCCCTCAGCCTACGCGGCGGACCCAGCTGCCACGCTCAAGGAGCCCCCGGCGCTGCAGGGCAAGGCGGTGTCGCTGGTGGCGGCCATGCAGGCGCGCAACAACGCCCGCGTGCTCATCTCGGGCTCCCTCGCGCTCTTCACTGACAGGTGGGGTGCTGCTGTAGTGAGTCGACCACCCTCCATCCTCCTATTCCCCTCGCCCCCCGGTTCTCCCCCCCCCCCCCCCTGCTCTCCCCTCGCCCTCTGCTCTCCCCTCGTCCCCCGGTTCTCCCCTTCTCCCCCTTTTCTCTCCTCATTCCCCTCCCCTCTCCTCTTCCCCCCTCTCCACACCTCCCTCTTCGCTCCCCTTCGGTTCCCACCATGCTACCCGTGAACGTCTGTCACCAGCAGTGACCCCTAGGCCCCCCTCATCAGATGTGTTCTGTTTTTTACCCCAGGCCCCCCTCGTCAGATGTTTCAGAGTATATTGGAAGAATACCACTGCTCATACCTGCTCATATTCTCTCATACCCTCTCTTTCTCCGTCCCTTCCTCTCGCCCGCTTCAGCTTCTTCCGCGCAGTGGTCGACGTGTCTGCCACCACCAGCGACGCGGCCGCACCAGACGCCAAGACGTCCCAGTGGCTCTCGCCGTCCGGCAATGAACAGTTCGTCTCGGAGCTCTCCAAGTGGACCTTCCACGAAAGGGGGCACCTCAAGGTGCGAGATAGGCCATGTGATCACACCTCAAGGTGCGAGATAGGCCATGTGATCACACCTCAAGGTGCGAGATAGGCCATGCGATCACACCTCAAGGTGCGAGATAGGCCATGCGATCACACCTCAAGGTGCGAGATAGGCCATGCGATCACACCTCTAGGTGCGAGATAGGCCATGCGATCACACCTCAAAGTGCGAGATAGGCCATGTGATCGCACCTCAAGGTGCGAGATAGGCCATGTGGTCACACTTCTAGGTGCGAGATAGGCCATGTGGTCACACCTCAAGGTGCGAGATAGGCCATGTGATCGCACCTCAAGGTGCGAGATAGGCCATGTGATCGCACCTCAAGGTGCGAGATAGGCCATGTGATCGCACCTCAAGGTGCGAGATAGGCCATGTGGTCACACCTCTAGGTGCGGGATAGGCCATGTGGTCACACCTCAAGGTGCGAGATAGGCCATGTGATCACACCTCAAGGTGCGAGATAGGCCATGTGATCGCACCTCAAGGTGCGAGATAGGCCATGTGATCGCACCTCAAGGTGCGAGATAGGCCATGTGATCGCACCTCAAGGTGAGAGGCAGGGCATGTCGTGATGACACCTCAAGGTGCGAGGCAGGGCATGAAGCTGCAATCATTAGGGCTTGTCTCCTTCAAACGCGGATGGGGGCGCGGGAATGTGATGACGGGCCCTTGGCTCGTGGCTCTCGCTTGGCGCGTGGCTCTCCCAGCCCTCCAAGTGGACCTTCCTTGAGAGGGGGCACCTCGAGGGATGATTGAGAATTCTTAAAGATTTTCCTCGAGAGGGGGCACCTCGAGGTGGTAGAGCACTTGATTGTGGAAACCAGGGCTGTTGAAGGTGAGGGTAGGGAGACGTGACTGTGCTGACGGGCCCATCTGAGGGTGGCTCGCGCTTGGCGCGCGGCTCTCTCAGCTCTCCAAGTGGACCTTCCTTGAGAGGGGGCACCTCAAGGCGAGAGGTAGAGCACTTGATTGTCGAAACTAGATTGTATAATTCCTAAGGTGCACAGTCCTAAGGTCTCTGCTCACCGTCCCGTCGCCCCTCACCATTCCCATCCCCCCTCACCATTCGCATCTCCCCCCTCCCACTACGCCTCACAATTTCACCCTCCCCTCCTCAGGCTGAGAATCTGCGCCACAACAAGGCGGGCGAGAGCACGGAGCCCGCCATCTACCGCGTCTCTGACCAGCTGGTGAGCCTGGCAGCATGGCCCATTGACTGGCGCGTGTGCGTCATTGCAAGGGGTCTTGGTTGGCGTGTGTCATGTTAGGGTTCTCAGGCCGCATCAAGGCGGGCGAGAGCATGGAGCCGGCTATGTACCGCGTCTCAGACCAGCTGGTGAGCCTGCTTGTTAGGCCGGGCACCTGGTCAAGGGGGTCAGCTGGTGAGCCTGCTTGTTAAGCCGGACACCTGGTCAAGGGGGTCAGCTGGTGAGCCTGCTTGTTAAGCCGGACACCTGGTCAAGGGGGTCAGCTGGTGAGCCTGCTTGTTAAGCCGGACACCTGGTCAAGGGGGTCAGCTGGTGAGCCTGCTTGTTAAGCCGGGCACCTGGTCAAGGGGGCCAGCTGGTGAGCCCGCTCGCATCTCAGACCACCGGGCATGCCTGCTCACGCGTGCACCGACCTGCAGTGTTTCCCCGCCTGCCTGTCTGCGTGCCCGCCATAACTGATCTGTGCAGGGGTAGCCAGTCCGCATCTCCCCTTTCCCCATCGCTCTCTTGCTCCCTGCCAGGAGTTCGCAGTGGACATCTTTGAGTGGGCGGGCAGCGAGTGGGTGCCATTCAAGGGCGACGACGTGCAAGTGCAGTTCTACATGATGAGCCCCTACGTGCTCAAGACGCTGGCGCATGATGACAAGGTGAGGCTCTGGCGCATGAAGTTGTAACACGTTCCCATGCATGCAGGGGCGACGACGTGCAAGTGCAGTTCTACATGATGAGCCCCTACGTGCTCAAGACGCTCTCCGTGATGACAAGGTGAGATGCATGTGGTCTGGCAAGTAGGTTGATCTCCGTACTTATGATGATTAATGTCTTATTCTGTACCCACATGTTCCATCGCAGTGTGGGACAGCGTCTTCCAGCTCAACCTCCTCTCCCCTCTCGCCTCTTTCCCCTTGTGCCTGCCCTCTCTCTCCTTTCCTCAGGGTCGGTTCTTCACGTCCTTCCAGGTGCCGGACGTGTACGGCGTGTTTCAATTCAACCTCCTCTTCCCTCTTCCCCCCTCTCTCTTTCTGCCCCTGTCTCTTCCCCCCCAGGGTCGCTTCTTCACGGCCTTCCAGCTGGACGTGGACGGCATCTTCCAGCTCAACCTCCTCTCCCCTCTCGCCTCTTTCCCCTCGTGCCTATCCTCTCTCTCCCCCCCCCAGGGTCGGTTCTTCACGGCCTTCCAGGTGCCGGACGTGTACGGCGTGTTCCAGTTCAAGGTGGAGCACAAGCGCCTGGGCTACTCCACCATCTCGCTCTCCAAGCAGGTGAGGGAGAAGGCTCAACAGGTGAGAAGGCTCAACAGGTGAGAAGGCTCAACAGGTGAGAAGGCTCAACAGGTGAGAAGGCTCAACAGGTGAGAAGGCTCAACAGGTGAGAAGGCTCAACAGGTGAGAAGGCTCAACAGGTGAGAAGGCTCAACAGGTGAGAAGGCTCAACAGGTGAGAAGGCTCAACAGGTGAGAAGGCACTACATGTCATGTCACTCACTTCCCTGCCTCCCCAGGTTGCGCCCTTGATATCTCCTCAGTATGCTGACATCGCTCCCTTTCATCCGATCATCCCCTTCACTCTAGCCCTCCAACTTTTGCCATTCTTCCCTCCTCCTGTCTCCCTCTATTCCTCATCCTCCACGCCTTCCCTTCCTCCCTGCCTTGGCGTCTGGTCCGCCCAACCACCTCCATAGATCCCCCGTGCATCCCTGCCTCGATGTGTTTGAGCTGTTCATTCCCCTCGTCGTTTTAAGACGGCTCAAAGCAACCCTTTCCCCAGTGTTCCCCTTCCCTCCACCTCCAAGCCACCTCTCTCTCCCCGTTTGCACTATCCATGAGCGCCACGTCTGCCACGACTAGTTCCAGCGTTTCATCGACCCAAAAGCCACCAAGTTCCAGCGCTTCATCGACTCAAAAGCCACCAAGTTCCAGTGCTTCATCCCCTCCGCGCCAACCCTTGCCCCGTGCCCTGATGCCCCGCTCCTCCCAACCACCGCACCCCTCCCGCAGATCCCTGTGCGCCCCTTCCGCCACGACGAGTTTGAGCGCTTCATTCCAGCCGCCTTCCCCTACTACGCCTCCACCTTCTCCATGGTACGCCCCTCGTCTCCTGCCTTCTCCCTGCCACGCCTCTCCTTCTCCCTGCCACGCCTCTCCTTCTCCCTGCCACGCCTCACTCTGCCTCCATCCACCTTCTCCATGCTAGGTATGTCCTTATCTCTCTATCCAATATCCAACACCTTCAGCCCCCCCGGCCGCCCCCTCTCCCACCCTTTTCCTTCCTTCCCTCATGTGCCATAGCAGAACTCGATTCCTCTCTGGCTTTCTGCATGGATCGGGTTTGCCTTATGAATGTACTAGCTGGGGGCTAAATCTATACTTGCTAGGAGCACACGATACTGTGCGTTCTGTCCCATCACTTACCGTTGCCATCTTCTCCCTTGAGCACTACTCCCCTTCTCCCCCCTCCCCACGCCTACCCACCCAGTCAGCTCTCGCGTCCACCCTTGCACCTTCCCTTCCCATCCTCCCATCGCTCCTTTGCACCCTCCCTTGTGCCTCTGCACCCTCGCATGCCTGTGGTCACCAGATGATAGGGTTCTTCGTCATCGGCTTCGTCTTCCTTTACCACAAGTAGCTCCTGCAGCAATTCCTGCTCTTAAAAGTACAGTGGTGCCTAGATGCCGTGCCTGGACCCCTCTCTCTAGTCTGCTTACACTACCACAGACAGACCATTTGGGACTCGCTGAATTGTGCTCTAAAGCTGAGCTGACAGACAGTGTCCCTTGGGGCTGCATGTGCAGCAGCGATGCCTGGATTCTATATTGTAACCCCCGACACTGCACAGATCAAATGAACAGCAACTCAGTGTGGCTTCCACTCCTTGGCTTTTGGTCTCACCATCACAGTGCCAAAATATTCTTGAAATATACACCGAGTCTTTTTGTTCAAGTAGAGAGTGCCGTACTACAATTTATTCAGCAAAAATCGAACATTTGTCTGCAGGGAAGGACCACACCACACCACACTTCAGCAGGGCGTCTGGCCATATGTGTCAAACATGTGTATTTGTCATGTTTGTATAGACTGTATAGAGTCACCTCTTAGAGGATATAGACTGTATAGAGTCACCTCTTAGAGGATACAAAACTTAGATATATTTGTGTGTACTCTCACTTTACCATCAATATGTACCTTCAAGCACGACACCCTCAAGTGGCCAGTCGCTCACTGCAGCATATGACTGTAGCTTCCTAAAGCCCCTCCTACACAATCAGCCATGCAGCCTGAACAACCAACATGCAAGATGAGCCAACCACGCGCCCACCCCTTTCACCGCTGAATACACGCGGCCTACCAGCAGCACAGCCACCTCGAGCAGCAACTCCACTCCCAGCAGCAGCATGCAGAGAAACCTGTCATGCAGCAGCAGGCGCAGCCTCCGCGCCCGAGCACCAGGGAGACTGTCTATCAGCCACGTGCCAGCCTCCCCACCCACCTCTTCCAGGTCCACGTGCTGCAGGTTCGGTAGCCTGCTGGCTGACAAGTCCAGGAGATTGCTCAGGTCGCCAAGGGAACGCAGGGCGAGCGTGTGGAGGGCGGGGAAGGAGAAGTTTTCTGGGAGAGAGGAGATAAGCGGGCAGTCGGAAACTTTTAGTTCGGTGAGGGAAACTAGGCCAGGATGGTGGTCTGTGCGTATTGGAGCAGGGTCAGAAACAGGGATAGAGACTAAGGCCGGGGGAGGGGCAGAGGTGGAAGCAGAGATGGAAGCAGAGGCAGAAGCACAGAAAAGAACGGAAGACAGATCAAGAGGAAGGGCCGAGACAGTGGCAGTGGCAGTATCGGCGCCAACGGTAGTGTCTTCTTTACTGCAACTTAGGAATGCGGTCACGAGCAGAGCAGCGGCAAGCAGCATGGCAGAAGGGAGCCACGCACTGGGCAGCACAGTGACCAGCAGCGCCACTATAGTAACAAGGAGACATCCAACCATTGCAAAAGCGTTGGTGAATCTGCTGAAAGCGAGCATGGCGGCCGGGAGCAGCAGGATAGGGGGGTTGATGACAAGCCCAGTGGAGGGAGGCGTTATGATTCATTGTATGGCAAGCAGCGGCATGGAGATCAGTGCCATGGCGGCGAAAACTGCAGCTGTGAGCAGTGCTGCAGTAACCGCCTTTTTCGTGTACCCGAAATTCTCGGATGCAGTTCCGGAAGCTTCCGGAGGGTTTGGTGAGGTCAGCGGCTGTGATGACTCTATAAGGGAGCACGACTCGATATGGATTTTCTCTAAGCGAGTCAGCATGTACAGTGAAGGAGGAAGCTCCTTCAGCTGCATACACCCCGTCAATTCGAGCTCTTCCAGGCAATGGCGCAGGCTTCCTGCACACAAATTCTCGGGCAGGTGCTGCAGTGCGGGCAGCTCTAGCTTCTGCGTTTTCAGCTGGGGTAAATTCCCCAGGCTTTCGGGCAGAGACCGGATATTTGTAAGGTTGAAGAGCTCTAGGGTCTGCAGATTGGACAAGGCGCCGATGTGTTGTGGTAGTGAGACCAGGGAGGTACAGTAGCAGATGTAGAGGGAGGAGAGGGGGAGGAGGCAGAGGGTATCAGGGAGGGCTGCAAGGGAATTGCAGCCGGTGAGGGTGAGTGTCTGCAGCTGAGTCAGCAATGCCACGACATTTTCGGGCAGATGTTGTAAACTCTCCGATCGAAGGGAAAAGTTTTTCAGCCCGGTCAGCAGTTGAAAGGATTCCGGAATGCGCTCCAGCCCATCCAAGTCGATATCTAGGGTTTCTAGAAGCCCCAAGTCGCCGATCGTGTCGGGAAGCTTCTTAACAGCTTCCGAGAAGCAATTACTGACGCTTAAGCTTCGGAGGTTACTCAGGCTGCCGACGCACTCCGAGAGTCCCTGGAAATTCGCCCCCACGCAGATCCGCAGTTCCCGCAGCTGCTGAAGCGCGCCGATGATGCTCTCGGGCGGCGAAACGAGCTTCTGTAACGAATCTTCTCCATAGTGAGGATCCGAGCACACGTGGAGGGTGTGGAGGTCCGTGAGGAGGGAGAGGGAGGCGGGGAGATGCGGGAGGGCGTGGGTGGTGAGAAGCCGGAACTCCCTGAGCTTGCGGCACCCGCGGAAGAGAGACGAGAGGCCGGTAACTGTAACCGTCATGCGAAACTGATGCTCCACCGTTAGATGCGTCAGGCCTGGACACGTGGCAGCCAGGCATTGGAAGATCGCGTCGCCGTCGGCGGATAAGATCGAGAATGCGCCCAGCGATACGTGCGTGAGGGCGGGAAAGCGCCCCAGCGCGGAAAGGAGGCGGGGGAGCGGAAGCCATGCGAGTTGCTTGTTTCGGAAGTGCTCGGGATTGTGTATCTCTATAATATGATTCGATTTAAATCCGCGGTGCTGAACGGTCAGATGCGAGAGCGAGGCGGAGACGAGGCGGTGCCAGCGCTTGGAGACGAGGGCCGCGCAGCGGAAGGAGTCCTGCGCGAGCGCGCGGAGGACGAGCGCGAGCACGTCGTCGGCGAGGCGCTCCACAGGGAACGGCGGAGGTTCGGCGGGGCGCGCGGGCGAGACCGTGGCTTGTAGGCGACACAGGAAAGGGACAGAAGCCATCGCGTGGAGTTTTAGAGACGTCGCTAGGGAATGGAGAAAGAGCAACGCGTAGGCAGCTTCAGTAGTGCTCTCGGTAGGTACACTGTAGTCTGGTCAAGAGGAAGTAAGCAGGGGCGTTTTTGACGAGATTGGGGGCGCAAGGTGGGGGCTCGGCGCGCAACGCGGTGAGGTGGTTGGTTGCGGTGAAGTAGTAAAGGTTAGTTGGGGACCCCCTTGGGCATTACCCCCGGCTGTCGGTCGTAATCCGCCTGCCCAATTGTTAACCCTTGGCTGGGTCAACGAGGGTGGGATATTCACGCCCAGGGAGCATGTGCGAGCCCTTTTCTGAGGACTTGGCAGACACGCCTGCACGCGGGGTCGAACCCGAACCCGAACCCTCTCCCATCGGAGGTAGCACGACCATTGGGCTACCTCACGATGGTTGCGGTGAAGTGGTTGACGATAGAGGAAGGAGAAATGACGTGGCAGATACAGCAGGACGAAGTCAACAGCGTGCGAGGAAATTGATCCGCAAAATTAGACAGGTGTCGCTGGCCTCAACGAGGGAAAATCCGTTATACGACGGCTCGATGTAGTAGAGTGTTTCAGATCCGACAGATGTTATGCGTCAGACAGTAAACACATAGACGCTATCATTGGAGTGTCCCGTTTTGAATGACTCAAGGCCGGTTTTGAAGAGAGACAAGCACACGGATCGCCGTCTTCACATCTCATGCACCCTCCCATCTGCGTTCCTATAAGACAAGCTCTCAAAACTATTCCTCTTGGGAGGCTTTGCGTTGCGACCTTAGAAACCATCCATTTGTGGTTCTAACGTTCCACAGATGGACAGGGTGACAGCTGCAACAGCGACAATATGATTGCACCTGCTATTGTTCACGATTGCATGAGCTACATGCTGTCAGAGACGTGCCACGGCAATATCCCCCATGCTCCATGCATACTACCCTGCTTCGACAAAGCGTTGCGATGTGAGAGCCTCATCACCTGCCGCCCTCCCTCATGCATACCCAACAGGTCAAGCCATGCCATGCCTAGCCATGCCACGATAATCATCAACCCTCTGATCGTTCTGAACGGCTGATTATTTGCCATGCTCATTTTCAATCGCGCGAGCCACAGCCATTAGCCCCACTGCTCATACAGTCTTTTATAGAGCAGCGCAATCAGGCAATCACTGCCCCTCCTTTTCCCCCAAGAACCAGAATTGGACATGCCGTGGCATGTCCGAATCCAACATAGACGTGCCATGACGGCCGCTTTAGACATTTTCGTAGCATGTCATGGCATGGTGTCTGCTCTTTGCACGCACATCATGTCATGGCATTGTTTGTACATGCCATAGCATGTCACGGCAGCTGTTTGTGCGTGTTTTGTGCATGTCACAGCATGCCATGGCATGCAGAGCAACCCCCTCATTGCAGATAAAGCCTCGGCTGAGGCCGATAGACCTGCTAGGGAGGGCAGCGGGAAGCAGCCGGAAGCAGGAAGTGGGAAACCGGAAGCTGCGGGAAGTGGGAGGCGGAAAGCAGGACGCAGCGGGAAGCGGGCAGCGGGCAGCGGGAAGCGCGGGAAGCGGGCAGCGGGAAGCGGGCAGCGGGAAGCGGGAAGCGGGCAGCGGGCAGCGGGCAGTAGGCAGCGGGCAGCGGGAAGCCGGCAGCGGGCAGCGGGATGCAGGAAGCGGACAGAGGGCAGCGGGAAGCGGGCAGCGGGCAGCGGGCAGCGGGCAGCGGGCAGCGGGAAGCGGGCAGCGGGCAGCGGGCAGCGGGAAGCCGGCAGCGGGCAGAGGGATGCGGGAAGCGGGAAGCGGGCAGCGGGCAGCGGGCAGCAGGAAGCGGGGTAGCGGGGAGCGGTGGACAAGAGTTGGGAGAGGTGCAGCGATGACGGCGCAACGAGCCCGGTTCAAGAGGTGACCAAATGGGGCGAGCAGCGACCTACGTAAAGTCGATCTAGAGGCAATCCGCGACGTACGGCGACAGGATAATGCGTCACTTGCGCCTAGTCCGCAGCGCACGGGTGAGCCTGTTTACTTGAGTCGCGTTCTGAGGCGGACTGTTCGTACCGGCGGAAAATACTGGGAGATTCCTACCAGTCAGATCCGACGAATAAACGCTCTACGGCTTGGAGCAAGATCTACAGCTGCGATCTACGAAATTAGGAACCACACGACCTACGAGCTAGGTGAAGGAATATTATGACGCAGATCAAATACTAAGGTAAGGCACAGCGCAAGTGCTAAGGAAAGGCACGCTAGCGCTTCATCGCCCATCCTAGCTCACGATCGCTGCTAGGAGAGATTGCGAATTCGGTTGCTGTTTCCACGACTTTCGTCACGCCACCGACTTAGAACGTGAGATCTGGCGTGTTCTAGGTTCTTGGAATTGGAATGGAACTCTCTGCTGCGTTGTTGACTTGTGCGGCTGTGGCTACAGTATTTGCCAAACCACCACCTACAGCAAGGTTGCGCGCGTTGTTGAGTTCGTGCGCGCAATTGCCTCACTCATTTCCAAACCACCACCACAAGCGACGTCGCACATGCGACGTGCGCGAAAGTGTCGAGTCGAGACCTTACATGGTTCGCATGATACCCATTCGTGCGTGCGACACTGGGGTGTGCGTGCGCGCGCGCGTGAGTGGTGGAAGTGGTTGGCTCATCGCCCCAGCCAGTCCAATTCCTCGTTGGTAACTTCGGAGCCAATCAGAAGGAGACTCCGAGCCACTTTATAATATTGTACAGTGCCTCGCAACAGTACGGGACGGAAAACAAACCGTTCTGTTTGATACAGTTCTCAGCCTGGCAGGGGACAAGGGTCCGTCCGTCTTGTGTCCGTCAAATTGACGGAGAAATTTGTCGGCTTGGGCTTATCTTGGGGAGTACAGTATGAGTATCTCAGTTTACTCGGTCTTGCCTCCTAGGAATTATCCTTCTGACATGAACCAACTCCCAGGTTCAGTATCTAGAGGGAAGTTTCTAGCAAAGTAGTCTTCTATTTTCGCTGCTCCGAACCGTTGGCTGCACAATCGCAATCAGCACAGCCGTTGACGTGACGACGGTAGACTGTCCTCGCAGCATTGCTGCCCTTTCTTCTCTACGCTCCAGCCCGTATGGAGTGAGAGCGGCTCGGCCGTAATCGTGTTAGGCTGGACGGTTGTCATCCATTACTAGTTTCCGTACGGCACGTGTTAGCCTCTCTGTCGCTCCCGCCGTTCGGCCTTACTGCTTAGCGAGAGGAAGAAACTGCCCGAGGACAATACAATAGAGTAGCAGCAGCAGCGGAATGGGAGCGTAACCGTCGATTCTCTAACTTTACTCTAGGTCTAGAGCCGAATGCTAGCCGATGGTTCAATAGGAGCTCCTTCGCCGCGTCGAAAGACCCACCCGAAGAGAAATGGGCTGTCTTGGGTCGAAATTCGGTACGCATCGTCCTTGGGCTGTCACCCCTCGGCTGCTCTGATTTCTCGCTCTGTCTTCGGGCTAAATATAATGGCATTTTTGTCGTTGACTGGGTAGTCGGGTTTTCATTACGCTCCGTTTTGAAACGGAAATGTTTAACGTATGTTCAGGTTTTGGCCCACGGGAAGTATGCTTTCAGTAGAACCGCCGCGCTCAGATAATTGGATTTAGAGCCGAAATGTAGGCTGCTTCTTATTGGCTCAAATTCGATGACTCTCGACGTCTGTCCTCCTCTCCCTTCCCCTCCGTCCCTCCCCTCCGCCCGAAACCACCAGACAACCCTGGGAAGAGCACCGCCATCACGGACCAATACAGCAACAATATTTCCTCCTTCCAGACCAATTCCTCCAAGGACTCCGATATCTTCGTCTCAGCCGACGAGTCGATCGCCACGCGATCCAGCTCCGGCGGCGCCCCCGCCCCCGACCCCGCGAACCTCGTCCCCAGCTCCCTGCGACAGTTTCCGTTCGCGGCGCTAGAGGCTGCGACGAGCAAGTTCCACCGGCGGAACTGCATCGGCGAGGGCGGGTTCGGGATCGTGTACCGGGGGGTCCTCCAGCCGGGGGCCAATGGGCTGGGCCCGACGCCCTCGGAGGTGGCCATCAAGCGCATGCGCGAGTCGAACGAGCGGTACACGGAAGAGTTCCTGGTGCGTGGGTCGGTTTGTGAGTGCATGAGAGGCCTGGTGCGTGCGTGGGTTCGTGAGTGCGCGAGGGGGAATATGTGGTGCGTGCGTGCGAGTGGTTCGTAATACACGGGGATGTTAAGCGGAAGTTTAGGTTTCGTCCAACCCGAATGGGCTGGGCCCGAAACCCACGGAGGTGGCCATCAAGCGAATGCGCGAGTCGAGCGAGCGGTAGACGGAAGAGTTCCTGGTGAGTGGGTTCGACTTTTGAGGCGCGTAAAGAAAAGGAAGAGTTCTGGTGCGGGGGTTCGCGAGAGGCGCTCCCTGACCGGCGGGGAAGAGAGCTGAAAGGCGGAGACGCGTGGCGGGCCAGCGCGTAGTTAAACTGGCGTTGCGTGGGAGTAGTCTGAACGCCCGCTGCATGGCGCGGGACGACGCTTCTGAGCCGTCGGCTCTTCCCCTCCCTTCTCCTCACTCCCTTCCCCTATCCATTCCTCTCCCCCCCACGCCACCCCTCTTCCCCCCTCTCTCCCCCTTCCACCCTTCCCCTTTCGCTGCCCCCACCTATTCAGAAAGAGGTGATCGTGCTGGGGCGGCTATCGCACCCGCATCTGGTGCGGCTGCACGGCTACTGCATGGAGCGCGACGAGGCTTCCGAGCAGTCGGCTCTTCCCTCCCCTTCTTACCACCCCACCCACTCCCTCCCCTCCCCCCCACCCTTCCCCTTTTGCTTCCCCCCGTTCAGAAGGAGGTGATCGTGCTGGGGCGGCTGTCGCACCCGCACCTGGTGCGCCTGCACGGCTACTGCATGGAGCGCGACGAGGCGCTGCTGGTGTACGAGTTCATGACGGGCGGCTGCTTGCACCGCGCGCTTGTCGACAGTGAGTGCGGCGGGTGGGGGGGGACAGGCAGTGAGTGCGGCGGGTGGGGGGGGACAGGCAGTGAGTGCGGCGGGTGGGGGGGGGACAGGCAGTGAGTGCGGCGGGTGGGGGGGGGACAGGCAGTGAGTGCGGCGGGTGGGGGGGGGGGACAGGCAGTGAGTGCGGGGCTGGCAAGTGACTGCACTGAGCGGGAAGAGGCTCTTCTGGCGCACAAGTTCATCACAGGAGGCTGCTCAGGAGGCACCGCGCCCGAGTAGACAGTGAGTGCGGTGGGGACAGTGAGTGGGGTGGGGACAGGAAACTGGGGCTCACGAAACGAGGGTTGTTGTCACAGTCTCACTGCTTTTCAACCTGGGTTACACTCCGCTCTCCCCTCTCCTTGCTCTTGTTCTCTCCCCCCCCCCCCCCCCCCCCCTCCCCAACCTAACCTTACATGTCACTACTCTCCGCCATCTCCCCATCTCCTTGCGCCTGTCTCTCTTCGGGTGCCAGCGGCGAGCTCTTCTTCACCTGGGACGTGCCTCTTTCTAACCCCCCCTCTTGTGCCGTGCTCCGTGTTCCTGTGCCCCCCCACCCCCCTCTTATGCCGTTTGAACTAACCCTGCGCCTTCCCCCCCCCCCCCCCCCCTCTTCCGCTCACCCCCCAGGTGCGAACGGCGAGCTGTTTTTCAGCTGGGACATGCGGCTCAAGGTGGCGGTGCAGATAGCGGAGGCCCTGGCGTACATGCACGGCCTCAACTTCATCCACCGGGACCTGAAAGCAGCGAACGTGCTGCTATCTCCTGTGAGTGCACCTGGGCGCCCCCAGTGTGGGGTGGGGGTGGGGGTGAGGGGGGAAGAGAGGAAAGGTGTCGCGGCTTACATGCACGGCTCTACTTCATCCACCGGGACTTGAAGGCGGCAAATGTGCTGCTATCGCCTGTGAATGAGGTGACTTTTGAGTCGACTCAAAAGTCACCTTGCTATCGCCTGTGAATGCATGGTGCAGGTTTAGAGGGGAGGTGGGTTCTAAGGGCAGCGGGGGAAAGGTGGCAGTTTGTGTAGCCAGGGGTCCTGGCGTACATGGCATGGCCCATGACTCTGGCGTACATGGCATGGCCCATGACTCTGGCGTACATGGCATGGCCCATGACTCTGGCGTGGACGAAGCAGTGAGGGGCTTTGGTATGGTGCAAATGATGGCTCCATTCGCTCATGCTGACATACTTGCGGGTGATGGCTCCATTCACTCATCTTCCCCTCCACCCTCCCTCCTCTCCCCCTCCCCCCCCCGCGCCCTCCACAGGTATCTGATGCGAAGCTGACGGACTTTGGGATGGTGCGGGTGATGGCATCTTTCACTCATCTCCCCCTCCACCCCCTCCTCCTCTCCCCCTCTCCCCCCCCCTGCCTCCACAGGAGTACGATGCCAAGCTGACGGACTTTGGGATGGTGCGGGTGGGGCCGGAGGGGCAGCTGGAGTCGATAGTGTCGACCCGCATCATGGGGACCGAGGGGTACATCGACCCCACTTACATGGAGACAGGTATGGTGCTGAGCGTGGATGACAAGTCTGGCAGGTATGGTGTGGGTGTGCAGACATGTATGGCAGGTATGGTGTGGGTGTGCAGACATGTATGGCAGGTATGGTGTCCAGCGAGTCCAGCGAGTCCCCTGTCCAGCGAGTCCTGTATTACAGCCCCCCTGGACTGCCGGTACCCTCGATAGCTGACAAACTTAATGGGGGGGGCTTTCCCCCAAATCTGACAGCAGATGACCGACTACAGGTCCAGCACTACTTGTGTCTTTGCTGGAATAAAACCGAACATTCACAACAAACCGTAAACTAGGCTTCGACCAAGGTGATTCCGAGTAGCTGTAAAAATTGCCCTGACTGGAATGGGTAGCTGTTGCAAAAACCCTGTGAAAACTAGGGTGGCCTAGCGCAGTACCCTGTCTCCAAGGGGTAGAGGGTGGGGGGCACTCTGACTAGAAAGACAAAAAAAAACCCAAAGCCAAAGCCCTGCTCTCATAGCGTTCTCAAAGCGCTCTCAAAGCGTTCTCAAAGCGTTCTCAACAGCCTGCAGCCCTCATATGCCCCTCTCCCCCTAGCTCGTTCTCAATCATATTTCTTTCCTCATTCCCCCACGGTCATTTCACCACCCCTCTCCCCCCCCCAACCCCCCTTCCATTTCAGGTCACCGGGGCGCCAGGAGCCCCTAGCGGGTTGCTGCATGCTGGGCGGGAAGGAAGCACTTCCGCACTTCCTGTGTGTGGCGGAGGAGGGCAGCAAGTTAGTTGCTGACTGCGTGGTGCTCCCTTCTTCCACCCCAACCCCCCTGCTTCCCTCCCCTCCACCACCCCTTCCCTCCCGCAGGTCACCTGGGCGCCAAGAGCGACGTCTACTCCTTTGGCGTTCTCCTCTTGGAGCTGGTGACGGGGCGCAGCGTGGTGGACGAGGGCAGCAAGATGGTCACTGAGTGCAGAACGCGCTTCTCGGACCTCAAGCTCAAAGCAGCGGCCTACGTCGACCCGAAGCTCGGCAACCAGTATCCAGAGCTGGGCGCCCGGACCTTGGCGACTCTGGCTCGGCACTGCGTGGCTGAGAGTCGGTCGAGCCGGCCGGAGATCAGCAGTGTGCTTGAGAAGCTGAAGATGCTGGTAAGGGCGTGTGCGCATGCCGAGGCGAAAGCGGCAGCTAAAGCTGCAGCGCTGGCAGCAGGGGAGTCGGGGTCTGGTGAAGAAGCAGGGTCAGAGGCAGAGGGTGCAGAGACAGAGGTTGCAGAGGCGAATGGGGTTGAAGAGGGCCCACCACCACAGTCAGCTACTGCGCCAGTCTAGGTTGCTGGGCTGACTTTCCTAGTCATCTCAAGTTTTCCTCTCTGTAAGATAGGAAAGGAGGAACACTTATGGTACTGTAGTTGCACAGAAAATAAGTGGAAAGACATCATGGCACCATGAGATAGCAGCTTCATGGTGCGCTCTGAAGTACACTTCAAGGTTATGGACGTAGACGAATAGTGTATGTAATTCTCCTTGTGCCATTGGCTGTTGAAATCGACCACTGATTTCAAATCATGATTGCTACACGGCAAGGGTTGCATTGCATGCATGCAGATCGTATGAAGTGGGATGATGCATAGAAAATGAGTTAGAGTGGTGATGTACATATTTGACCAACCTCCTGTCCGTACTTTCTATAGAGGCAGCTTTTTTGTGCTTGGCCTACTGGATGCCATGTGGCGACCGCTGAGGCCACCACGTCTCGTTTTCGCCAATGTGGCCGTCCGTCTTTGGCTGCCTCGTACCCTCCGATTCTTTACACGCTCCCCCGCCTTGGATTAGCCCGAACCTGCCTGAGGCGTCCAGAACTCGCCGCGTCACTCGAGCCAGCACACCGTTAACATTCATCACCAGCAAACCCCAAGATTTGTGACGTGGCGCCTGGTGATGCGTGGGCTGTTGACGGTCGGGCAATTTCGAGGGACTGGGCTGGCTGGCTGGGAGCATTCACCCGCGATTCGCCGAATCGAACCCTTCAAAACCCCACCGGAAGTCCAAAAGTTGTCAGTCCACGCTGTACACTTCCACGTTAACTTCCATCTTGCCTACAAAAATCCTTCGTAAGCGGATTCACGACGAATTAGTTCGCTCGCCGAAGCAAATTCATCTGGCGTTTGGGATTACGTGAGTTCGCGAGTTACCGCATTCCTCCCTCAGAGAACCTCACTTCCGCGTTCACCTCCCTGCCCTCGAGATTTGCCACCAACCTCCCCACCCCACCTCCTTATATTTGACCCTTCTGCGGCCAGTTTCTAGTAGTGCTCGCTGCTTGCCGCCTGGTACCCAAGGTCGCTTCTCCATCGCTCCAGCTTTGAATTGCGCACCTTTATTCGGATTCTACCCTCGACCGCGCAATCTTAGTTCGCAGCCATGGCGGCCCTCTCCGCTCCCGTCTCGGTCACTAAGAACACTCTCCTCGGGTCAGACCTTAAGGGCCAGCGGCTCACCATCTCCGGCAAATCCGCGAGAGTAGTCGCCGTGCCGGCAACCCGCGTCGTCGCATCCGCCGACGGCGTCAACGCCTCTAAGCGCTCCTTCCTCAAGAAAGCCCTCGGCGCCGCCGCCGTCGGCCTCCCCCCTCTCCTCCTCAGCGGAGCTGCGCGCGCGGAAGGCGAGCAGCAGGCGGTCGCATCGTCCCGCATGTCGTACTCGCGGTTCCTGGAGTATCTAGACATGGACCGCGTTAAGAAGGTGGACCTGTACGAGAACGGCACGATCGCCATCGTGGAGGCCGTCAGCCCGGAGCTGGGCAACCGCATCCAGCGCGTGCGCGTGCAGCTGCCCGGCCTCTCCGGCGAGCTCCTCGCGAAATTCCGCGAAAAGAACATCGACTTCGCCGCGCACAACCCGCAGGAGGACGGCGGCGCCGTCTTCCTCAACGTGCTCGGCAACCTCGCCTTCCCGCTCCTCCTGGTCGGAGGCCTCTTCCTCCTCTCGCGCCGCTCCCAAGGCATGGGCCCCGGCGGGCCCGGCGGCCCCATGGCGTTCGGGCAGTCGAAGGCGAAGTTCCAGATGGAGCCCAACACGGGAGTGACGTTTAACGATGTGGCGGGCGTCGACGAAGCCAAGCAGGATTTCATGGAGGTCGTCGAGTTCCTCAAGCGCCCCGAGCGCTTCACCGCCGTTGGCGCGCGCATCCCCAAGGGTGTCCTGCTCGTCGGCCCGCCCGGTACCGGAAAGACGCTCCTCGCGAAGGCCATCGCCGGGGAGGCTGCCGTGCCGTTCTTCTCGATCTCCGGGTCGGAATTCGTGGAGATGTTTGTCGGTGTCGGCGCGTCCCGCGTGCGCGATCTGTTCAAGAAGGCCAAGGAGAACGCGCCTTGCATCGTGTTCGTCGATGAAATTGACGCCGTTGGTCGCCAGCGCGGCACCGGAATCGGCGGTGGGAACGACGAGCGCGAGCAGACGCTGAATCAGCTTCTAACGGAGATGGACGGATTCGAGGGCAACACCGGCGTTATCGTTATCGCGGCCACTAATCGCGCGGACATTCTCGACGCGGCTCTGCTCCGTCCCGGACGATTCGACCGTCAAGTCTCCGTCGACGTCCCGGATATTAAGGGACGGAAAGAGATCCTTAAGGTGCACGCGTCCAACAAGAAATTCGCCGAGGATGTTAACCTCGATGTTGTCGCGGCGCGCACGCCCGGATTCAGCGGCGCGGATCTCGCGAACCTGCTGAATGAGGCGGCGATTCTGACCGGGCGGCGCGGCAAGACGGCGATCAGCTCAAAGGAGATCGACGACGCGATCGACCGCATCGTGGCGGGGCTGGAGGGCACCGTGATGACCGACGGCAAGAGCAAGAGCCTCGTGGCTTATCACGAAGTCGGCCACGCTATCTGCGGGTAAGTCCTTTTTTCAATTGGCCACGCGTTCTTAGTAATAGCACGGAATACACACCCGACCCCACTCCATGCATGCCTTTCGGCCCCCCCCTTCCCCCCTCCCCGCCACCTCCCCCTCCTCTCTCCGCCTTACCCGCTGACGTATTTTTCTCAATTTACACTGGTATCTTTCGGACACCCGTGCTGCTCGTTGCCCGTTTGTCATAAACCGTCCTCCATGTCTTCCCTTCTCTCCCGCCGTGCCCTCTGCCAGCACGCTCACCCCCGGCCACGACGCCGTGCAGAAGGTGACCCTCGTGCCACGTGGCCAGGCGCGCGGGCTCACGTGGTTTATCCCGAACGACGACCCGTCGCTCATCTCCAAGCAGCAGATCTTCGCGCGCATCGTTGGCGCGCTGGGCGGCCGCGCCGCCGAGGAGGTGGTGTTCGGCGACGCCGAGGTGACCACGGGGGCCTCTAGCGACCTGCAGCAAGTCACGGGCATGGCGAAGCAGGTGAGCGAGGGAGCTGGTGGGAGTGTGGCTGGTGTGAGATCTGTGGATGGTTCGTACTCGGAGTCACGCTAGCAATGAATTTGATGTCCTTGGATAAGGGAAGCAACCAGTTCAAACCAAGGAGTGTAGTCACTCTCCTGCCCGTACCCCTTACTCACCCCTCACTCACTCCCGCCCCACACCCATGGTGTGTGTCACCGCATGGCATGCGTGTGCGCATGGGCTCTCACCCCCTCAAATGTTGGACTGTCTGTGGCTGGCATCTGCGAATGTTCCCTTGCGGACCCTGTGGGTCACTCGTTAGCATCATAGTAACCATTCGCATCTCCCATCATCTCCCACCCGCATTGCAACAACAGATGGTGACTGTCTTCGGCATGTCCGAAATTGGCCCCTGGGCGCTCATGGACCCGGCTGGGCAGGGCGGCGATGTGATCATGCGCATGATGGCGCGCAACAGCATGTCGGAGAAACTGGCGGAGGACATTGACGCCGCCGTCAAGGCCATCTCGGACGAAGCCTACCAAGTGGCTCTCTCCCAAATCCGTGAGAACCGCGAGGCGATCGACAAGATTGTGGAGGTGCTGGTGGAGAAGGAGACTCTTTCTGGGGATGAGTTCCGGGCTATTCTGTCGGAGTACACCGAGATCCCCAAGGAGAACATGAACTTCACCCCCATTACTGCTTGAAGGGGAAGTTGAGACCAAGGGAGCCAGCAGCAGCTGTATCAGTGAATGGGACCTGGTTTTTGGCTAGTTATTAGGATTTTAGGTTATTTTATGCGACCTCCGTACACTGCGTTTGTACCTGCTTGACCTGTACATTCTGCTCGAAATTGTCCATTACCGTATTGATGTTGATCTCTACCTCTGCTTCCTCCGATTGAAATGCCAGCAATAACGTTATGGTGTGAATGCACCAGTGGCCAGCAGTATGCACCACCACAGTCCTCAGTGTCAACATGGCAACAGAACACTGGAGTGCACAAGCTATTAGCAACGAGAACATGTAGCGCACCAGTAGCTGCCAGGCAGCCAATGAATACGATGTAGCAGAGCAGGCAGCCACAGATGAAGACAGAGGAGACATTAGAAGGTGAAAATCTGTAACATGGAGGAATGAGGTGGTAGCAACTAACTCGTGTCACAAAGCTAGGTTAGCTAGGTAGGAAGGTAGGCGGCCATGAAATGTCGAGAGGTTTATGAGCTAGGAGAGAAAGTTGACGAGAGAAAAGAGAGAACTAGAAGAGAGAGAGGCATACAAGGAGAGAGTTGAACCCTCTATAGTAGAGTTCGATAACCTACCAAGCCTACCAATTATATAACACAAAACATAATAAAAATACACCCCCTAGGCTTGGTAGGGGCTGTTTTGAAGTGAGCTAGCAAGGAGAAGGCCGCCATGGAATGGCGGCCGATGTTTAGCTAGGGAAGGAGAAAAGTGACGAGAGAGAAGGTGAATCAACTAGAAGAGAAACAGGTACAAGAAGGGGAGTTATTGTTCAAATTATATAAGTTATAATTTAATATAGGCTTGGTAGGTTGTTACTGAACCTTTCTGTAGGGGGTACAAACCCCTCCTTGTACTCCCCTCTCTTCTAATCCAACCCTCTTTTCCTCTCCTCAACTTTCCTAGCACCTAAAACCTCTCGCCATTCTCATGGCTCCTCCTAGCTCCTAGCTAAACCTTGTGCCATTCTATGGCTTCCTAGCTAAGCTAGTCTTTTGACATGGTATTAGAGCAGTTCGTTCCGTGTGGGCCTGCTCCTCGCGTTTCCGCTGCGTGCTCGTTTCTCTCTCTATCTCGCGCTGCCATGGCGGCCGCGTCAAGCTGCTGTGGCCGCGTCGTCGTGCCGCGGCGCCGCCGTCGACGTCCATGGCGCCCGCATCCAGCTGCTGTGGCCGCGCCGTCGTGCCGCAGCTCCGCCGTCGCGTCAAGATGCTGTCGCGACGTGACGGCGCCGTCACGCTGCCGCGGCGTCTACGCGACAGCGCGCGGTCGGCGTAACGGCGACGTCGTGCTGCCGTCGCAACGTCGACGCCCCGCTGCGGCATCGACGCCGCTCCATGACGGCGTCGTCGGGCTGCAGCCGGCCGTGTGACGCTTGTGGCGCCGCTAGACCGGCCGCCCGCATGTCAGCCTGTGGCGCCCCCCCCCCCCCACCCCCCTCCTTCCCCTGTGCCCTCTTCCATTCCGCAGACGACGGCTGACTCCCGCCGGCCGTCCCACCGTCGCGGGGCCTGGCCACGTCACCGAGAGGTGCGGGTGCCGCCGCCGCTGCCGCTGTTGTCGAAGCCGCCGCCGCCGCCGCTGTCGCCGCTTGCGTCGGGGCCACGCAGCCGCACGCCGCCGCCGCCGCCGCTGTCGACACTGCCGCCGCTGCTGCCGTCGCCGCCGCAGCCCCTGCGGTCGACGTCGCCGCCTCACGCACCGTGGGTCGACCGACCTAGAGTCGCTGTCACTGTGGCTGGAATGGGGGTGCTAGGTTAGGGGGTGTGGGTGTGTGTGGGCATGCGACTACCAAGCCTAGGGGGTGTGTTCAAATTATATAAGTTATAATTTAATATAGGCTTGGTAGGTTGTTACTGAACCTTTCTGTAGGGGGTACAAACCCCTCCTTGTACTCCCCTCTCTTCTAATCTGTTGAAAGTACATCAAAAGACTTAAGCGTTTCTGAAGTGTAACACTACACTCGAGGAAGATTGCAAGGGGTACGCGAGTCAACGGAGGTTACACAAGGGGGCGGACAAAGAACACGAAGGGTCTGGGACTCAAAGGGTCGCAACTGGAGGTTGCGACTGACCGTTACAGCATCACGGATGGTAACCGAAGCGGCAATCGAGTCGCTATGCGACTCGATAAACCGTTCCTGTAACTGTACTCTGCAACTGCTTTCTTATCTTCTATATATTGCTGTATGCTTGTTTCTTTAATCAATCACTTGTTCTCACATACTAGTACAAGGGTTCAACTGCCTCAACTTCCGCTGCACTACTCCAAGTCTCAAGTCTCTACAGCTGGGACTTAGTCTCTGCAAAAGATCCTAAGGGCTTTTCTCAGCCCAACATGGTATGAGAGCTGGTCAGAGACCAAACTCCCAGCAACTACGCTCCATCAACGACCTGCAACTCAACTTGATTCAACAACTCCATTGATTACAAGACATGGACAACAAGGGCAAGAAAGTCTCTACGGGCTCACCCAGCGCCCAAGAAACTCAACACGGCAACTCTGGTCTGCACACCTCAGGACTGCAGACAGAGACCGGGACTACTCAAGAAACAACGGGAAGAGTACCAGAGATGGTGACTCCGTCTCCCTCTTCAAGTGTGGACCCGAATCTCATGGAGAGATTCTTCAGCTTCATGTCACACTTCGACCAGCAGCAGCAGACAAGGACACCTGCGCACTCAACACAGAGCAATGGAGGGAATATGGGATTAGCGCCGATGAGCCTCGACAACTCATCCTTCGGGCGACACAACCAAGCGCCTACCTTTGCGCCTTATCATTCTTCGCCGGGGACGTTCGAATTCATGCCGCCCCGTGCCCAGCCAACAGCAGCTGCATCACAACAAACACCGAATGAAATCTTAAGTTTACAGGCGCAGTTCTCACACGTGATCAAACTTCAGACATCCTCACCGTTCAACGGACACGACTTCTTTACCTGGAGCTTCGAGTTCGAGCTGCTGATGGAGGCCGCGCATCTTCTGGGATACTTCAACGGGTCCCTGCCATTCCCAAGCAACGGCACTGGGAAGGAACAAGAAATCTTCACGTATCAGTCGCTGCTGGCGTATACGGTACTCCTGAGAAACCTGTCACCACAAGAGCAGCAGAGCATCAGAACGTATCGAAGTTATGGAAACTCCGCGGAACTCGCATGGCATCATCTCAAGTGCCTCTATCAAGCAAACGACAGCGTGACTCAAAGCAGACTCATGCAACAACTGACAACAATACAGATGAAGACCGGGGAAAAGGCGATGCAGTATATGAGTCGCTGCCAGACCCTCCGCGACCGCCTGCTTCGGTGCGGAGGAACGATCACTGAAGAAAGCTTCGTGACACTTGTCCTCGCCGGGCTCGGGCCAGAATGGAGAACCACACGATCACTTCTTCGAGCCCACGGAAGAATTTCGGAGATGCACCTCTGCGCCGAGCTTCACGCTGAACAACAGGAGATGGATCTGTTCGAAGAAAGACAACCAAGGAAGCAACAGCAGTTAGTCTTCTACACTCAAAGAAGAAATGACAACAACTACAACCGACGCAGCAAGCAAGATCAACGCGACAACCGAGGACTCACCATCGTACCGCCGTTCTGCCACAACTGCCAGACTTCCGGGCACTCCAAAGTCAACTGCAACCGCCCTCGCGTTTACCGTGCAGCAGACCCACAAGTCACTTCCACTCAAGCAAGTCCTCCAAGGCGCTCTTCAACATCTGCACAACAAACACCCAACATCATCAACTGCATGGTACACATCGACAACTGCGCACCCGGTTCACCACCCACTTACGCACCAGACGAAGAAGAATTCTCGCCGCCGCGCTCGCAAGGACTTCAGGTCAACCCGACATACGCTGCAGTCGCCAACGCCGAACCCACCGGGCGAAACACCTGGTTCTTGGACAGTTGCTGCGGTCAGCACATGTGCTCCTCCGGACGCTTCGTACAACACGAGCGACGCCTCAACCGTGACGTCGTCATCACCGTCGCCAACAACGAAAACCTGAAAACAAATAGACAAGGCGTGGTTCAGTTACAATCAATGGAGACAAACGTTATTCTTCAGCTCAACAAGGTCCTCATCGTCGACAATCTGGGATACAACCTATTAAGCGTAAGCCAACTAATGGCTAAGGGGATTCACCTGGAGTGCGACTCCTTCTCCAACGAGTTCCGACTTTACCACGGGAAGGGCGGTCTCTTCATCGGTCGTGCCCTCCTGAAGTCCGGTGTCTTCGTGTTGGACTTCGTCCCCGACCGCGGAACTGCCGACAGCGATGGCATCGTATCGTTCGCCGCCTGGACTCACCCGCCGGATCTTGATCCCGACTTCGACAGTGACGGCTTCTGGCACTCCAACACCATACCTGCAGCAGAGAGAACACGAGCATTAGCAGTTACAGTGGCGGATTAAATTGTCCACATGTTTTGCCTTTTTTGGCATTTTTATGAGTGCAGAGGCGTATACATTAAGCCTTAATGTAAGGTGTGCATTAACGCTGAGAAGTTCAGTTAGAGCAGTCACTCCAGTGTTCAAACACCAAAGTAGTACCACACATGGTCCTTAAACTCCTAAGCATAGCATGGGAGAACATGTGGACAATTTGTACCGGAAAATGGTATCACACTAGATTCTAGGAAAACTAGTACCTAGTCCAGCGTCCCTTTGCCCGAATCACTGCCTTGATCCTCCTCGGCAGGCTGTCGATCAGGTTTGCACACACCTCCGGCGGTATCTTGTCCCATTCCTCCTGCACCCTCTCCCACAGCTCCAGCATTCCCCTTGGCGGCTTTTCGTACTTCCCCAGCTGCCTTTTCAAGTATGCCCACAGGTGCTCAATTGGGTTAAGGTCCGGGGAGCACGACGGCCATTCCAGCACCGCGTACTCCTGCTCCCCAAGCCAGTCTTGGACCAGACGACACCTGTGCTTGGGATCATTGTCGTGCTGGAAAATGACCTCTGAGGGGGAAAGCTTGAAAAAATCGATGGTCTGTTTGAGCTCATCTTGCAAGATGCTGCGATACAGCGGCCCATCCATCCTGCCATCTATCTTGCACATGAACCCCGCCCCCTCATACGTCATGCAACCCCACACCATCACAGAACCGCCCCCATGCTTAACTGTCTGTTGGACTTGGTGGCTCCGAAGGCTGGTGCCCTCGCGAATCCAGGCGTACG